ATATTGATTTAGCACTTCAATTCTGCATTCAAAGTCGGAAATAACGCAAGCAATGTCGTAAGCATTACATTCCGTACACCATGTCGTTACCGTCCGCAGCACGATTCACCGAGTCGCGACAGTGCAGCTCCATGTTCGCCACCAACGCCGGCGTGATGAACTTCATGTTGCTCTCCGCAGCGCGCTCCAGGATGCGCATTTGGCGCTCGGCAAGCGACAGCACTTCTCCGTTGTGATCAGGCTCTCGCGAGCGGTCACAAATCTCTTCGCGGTAAACCGCGAGATAGTTTTTAATGTGCGCCTTCAGCACACTGAAACATCCTTCTATAGGATTGCACATTGGGGAATAGGGTATTAATCGCAACAGCTCCATGTCCGGGTGCTTCATGACGCGCTCCTCCGTCTGGCGGTGGGCAGGAGCGTTGTCCAGCACTATCACGATCTTCTTGTTCTGGAAGCCGGTCTGGAACACGTCGGAGGCCTTAACGGCTTCGTAGATGTCCTCTACGAAGGCTGCGTTCTTGTCCATGCGTATGCTTCCGCGCTGAAGCCGGTAGGTCACCAGCCCGATAGCTGACGACACCGCACATTGAATTTGCAGATTCGCTCCTCTTGAAGGAGGAAGTTTTACGACAGCTCGCTGTCCGCGCTGCGCGCGCCCTCGCTGTCGCTTCAGGTACACGTTATAGTTAGTCTCATCGTAATAAACAATACAGTTACCGTCACTTTGGTGCGCCTTCAGTTTCTCTGCAAACACGCGACGCTTCTCCTTATTTACGTCATTGTTGCATGTTGTCGGCTCGATGCGAACTTGCTTCACTGTGTAAAGCAAGTTCAGCAAATGGCGGCTGATTGTCGATGTGTGCACCTTCACGTTGCAGTCAAGAAAGAGCATGGTACGCATTTGGTTCAGCGTGTACGTGCAGTCGTCATCGAGATATCTCTCGAGGCATTCCTTGGCCTCTTGCGTCATCTTGACGTGCCTTGCTCCACCACGAGGAAGGTCCGTAGCTTGCCCGCGTCGCACCAAATCATAGGCGGTGGTGGGTGGGATATCGTTGCTAGCCGCCACGGCTAGCCAGTCGCGACGACCCGCACGATATGCGTCGAGGACACGCTGTTTTTCGAGGACCGTGTGCTTTGAAGTGCGAAGTTGCGATTGCATCTTGTAGTGCAGATGAGCGCGAATTGGGAAATGAGCGTCTGGCCAAGCTTCTTCCTCTACAGAATACACTGACACACGCGCTAGCTCTGTTTTCGCGCTCGTTTAGCATCTCTATTTGGCGGGAGTTATCCTGGGCCTCTCGTTTTAGCGCCACACGACATTGATTGCGTTATTTCCGACTTTGAATGCAGAATTGAAGTTGCTAAATCAATATTTGTAAAAAATTGACAGAAAGAAATTTGCGACTCTCGAGTTTGATTGCAGATTACTACGAAGTTGGACGCACAAAGGTGTAGCAAGCAGGGCAATGAAGTGATTGTGTAAAAACTGTTGTTTAACCCTTCTAGTCCTGTATGCTGTATAATACAGCATAAGTATTATAAGAGGTTTTAATATGCAGCGAACAATGAAACATCAAACTTTTTCGCATACTGGAATTTGTATTGGTCGGTTGCAAATCCTAACGGTGACTGGTTTCTCGCACGTCGTTACTGATCTGGGGTTAGAGGAGCCCGTCTACGGATGCTATCGGGTGGATAGAGGTTTGTGTCGATCGCGCTATCCCGCTCCCTCCCCACTACACTTGAAATCTCGGTCTCCCTCCGCCCCGCTCCGCCCAACTCGAACAGCATGGAAAAAACGTTCAAGCAGCTCTGGCGAGAGCTTTGCAAGCAAGGGTGGACACCGAAGCCCCCCACCGGCCTAAGTAGTGACCACCGCTACGTCCGCCCGGGAAGAAGCGTGAAAGGAAAGGATGGCGTCGACTACTTCACCGGTACAGCTCGCACCACTAGTTTGCATCGATTACAACAACTTTACTAACCGATTTGTCCCCTCAGGCGAGAAAGCGCTACTGGAGTTTGCTCGACAGCGTGGCTGGTTAGAGTATAGTGTTATCGCTGGAACTATTCCTCCGTCCCCTTCGTCGACAGCCTTGACAGCACCGCCTGCAGACAGCGGAGCGTGCGATGATAGGCCCACCTCTGCCGCAGCTGATCGCGTCGAAAGGGAGACAGCACCAACGACTACCCCGCCTGCTAAAGAGAACGTGCCAGCTACGACGACCTCTACTGCGACGGCAATCACTGTAGCCAGTACAATTCAAGCTCGGGCTTCGAGTCCAGTTACTTCGGCTAATACAGCACAAGCTCGGCCCTCGACCGCAGCTGCTCGACCGGCTACAGCACAAGTTCGGACTGCGAGTGTGGCTACTCGGGATGCTACTGTACAAGCTCTGACTGTGCGTCCTGTTACTCTGGCTTCTACAGCACAAGCTTCGAGTGTTATCTTGTCTGATACAGCAGAAGAAAACACAATGACGCTGCCTCTGCATCTTGATACAGCAGAAGGTCATGCTGCAGTAGAGGAAGAGGAAAAAGGTGAGGAGCCCGAGCTTGAAGACGTTGCAGAGTTCAACATGCACGATTCGAATGGATTCATTTTCGCTTTGTCCAAGTGTGAATGGTCTCAAAATGCGGATGCAGACGATCCCAATCTCTGTGACTCGGACTCGGAGAGCGACAAGTCTGATGAGATTGATACGGAAGATTATATTCACGAAGTAATGGACACGGAAGTGGGCTTGGCAAGTAATGCCGCCGAGGATGCTCTGAGCGACAACGATGACGGATTAGATGACGCCGAATTCTTCGAGGATGTTGCTGATGATGACTGGTCCCCTCGAGAAAATGCCAATGCCAATCCTGATTTTCTCCGTGACGCGGAATTGAAGGCGGTTTCTTCTGCGTGGGTTGTATACGATCAAGACCACAGTGGAGACCTGCAAGTAGATGGTGCATCGGATCTGTACAATGGCCGGTGGGGTCCAACGGAGTCTGCGCGAACGTATGCGGAGTCACCTCTTGCCATGTTTTACTACTTCATGCCGAAGTTGATGTGGACCAAAATTGCTGAGGAATCCAATCGATATCGTGCGAGTGTGGTAGATGAAGTCGCTATCCAGAAGCAACGCCGTCAGCAACAGTGGCAACTTACACACCCAGATAGTCGAGTCCAGTCGTTATCGGATATCAAAGACACTTTGAGCAAGGTGAAACCCTTTCAAGCTCACGAGATAGTTCACTACATTGCACTGCTTATAGCTCGTGCACTGTGCGCCCACCGGCGTTCACTAGGAGATCACTGGTCGACGTCTGAGAATGGGGCAATTCCACGAGGCACGTTCGGCAAATTCATGACTCGCAAGCGATTTGAGGAGATCACGCGCTATCTACACTTCAATGACAATGCGAACGACCGGCGTAAGAAAGACAAAGCTTGGAAATTGCGTCCTGTCCTCCAGATGATTGAGAAGACCTTTCGAAACGGATACCGAATGGGTTCCACGCTTTCCTTCGATGAAGGGATGATTGGCAGCAGGCATCAATACAACCCGATGCGAATCTACATGAAGGACAAACCAACGAAGTGGGGAACCAAGTTTTACATGGTTTGCTGTTCTGATACAGCATACTGTTCTCGGTAAGTCGTCTTATGATGTAGCCTACAGCAGAGCGCGGATGGTATCTAATGCTGTGTGTTTATGGTGAATCATACAGAATAGAGATCTATCGCGGGAAAGAAGACACCGAGTCAGCTATTTCGAAAGCGGTGATCCGCAACTTGACCAAAGCGTTGCGAGGGCAGCCTGGAAAGCGCCTAGTCGTCACCGACAACTACTACACCTGCGTGCAGCTAGCCGAACGCCTTCTGAGAATGGGAATCTACACAGTAGGTACAACACGCGTGAATCGGAAAGGCTGGAGCGAGCGGATCCAGTTCCCCAGTAAGAAAAAGCAAAAGCAGTTGCAACCTCAGCAACCTGCAAACAAAATTGAGCGCGGAGCGTACCGTGTCGCGTATAATCCACGGATCCCAGGGTTGGTCGCCGCTAGCTGGAAGGATTCAAAGATCGTCAACTTCATGGCAACGGGATGCAGCACGAGACGGGTTATTGTTCAGCGAAAGCGTAAGGGGGATGGCGTCTCTCTTGAAGTTGCGTGCCCCGAGCTGGTTCGTATCTACAACAAAGGCATGGGAGAAGTAGACCAACACGATCAGCTGCGACTTCACCGCTATTCTATCCAGAAAGCACTGCGCCATCGATCCTACTACAAGAACCTGTTTTTCGGTATCGTTGACATGGCATCAGTCAATGGGTTCATTATCCACAAGTTAGTGATGAAAGAGCAAGGCAAACCTGTTCCCACCCATGCTGACTATTTGGCGCGGCTACACGTGGAGCTGCTTGCGCAGCAAAAGGTGGACTTTCAAGGCAACATGCACGCCCAAAATTTACTTTCGACCCCACTGGCAGGGTGCTGACAAAAACTGCGGAAACCTACAAGAACAAAGTCCGTCAGTATTTATGCAAAGTATGTTCGGCCTATTCCGACAAGGAACATCGCAGCTTCGAGACGCCGTACTCTTGTGAAGAATGCTCGCTTACCTTTGGGGGTCGCGTGGCTCTTTGCAACAAGGTTCGCAGAGAGGAGCGAGGCAACACCGACACGTGCCATCAGACATGGCATATCACCTGGAAGAATGGCACCATCATCCCACCGGACATGAGAAAGAAAATTAGATTCAGGAAAAGAAAGCTGCTAGAAGTAGATGACGAGTAGCTCACCTCTGATCTAATGTGGAGGAAACTTTGCCCATTTGTTGTTTACACAAGTCTTTGCTTGACAAATGGGCAAAAGTTTTCTCCGCGGAAAGCGCGGGGTAGCTGCAGCGCTCTCCACGCCACCAGTTTTGGCGCGAATCGCCACGACGACTTCCGTACATCGAGTGTGAAAGGGTAACGAGTGCTACAGACATTTTTCACGATTTTGCACAAAATGTATCCATCAATCTAGCCAATTAGGACTCTTGCATTTACTGGTAGCATCATAAATTGTACTAGAATCCGGCTCGATTGCTAGAAGGGGGCTACAAACAGATAAACTTCACACAGGTACGCCGTCATACTATAGGAAAGCTTATTCCTTTTGCTGTATAATACAGCATAAACAGAGGGGCTAGAAGGGTTAATATAATGAACCAGATTTCAGATGTGAGTTTCAAATTGATCTTAAAGGCTTTTATAGCAAGTTGTTGGCTACCGACCTAACAAGAGCTGAAGACTCTCAACTGCTCTATGCCTAACATCGTGTACCTCAGTCGAGTAGGTAAATTTCTTCAAAGGTAGACGACAATGTTCCTCACTGCTGCTTTCGCGTTCGCTTGCAAATATCTCGTGCGTTATTGCTAGCAGTAGCTGGTCAACATATCTGGGGGTAGACCGACGCAACAATGCACTAAATAACCGTTCGTTACGATGAAGCTTTTAATAACTGTAGAGGTACCCCCCCCCCCCCAATATACTTTAAACACGTACGAGGTGTGCTCCGAAGCAAGTCAAGATACGGATGTTGTATCCACGAAACTGTCTTCAACCATTTCCTCATCCAACTAGTTATCGACAATAAGAGACGCAGTAGTTGCGAAACTTTTCTCATTGCCTACGGATATCCTGTCTGCCTTAAGAATCTGCGAGGGGTCAAACTACAAGAATGAAAGCAACTACGTCGTCGGTAAACTGGAAGACAACGGATCAGCGCCGATCGAGTTTTACGTCGAGGAGAAGTGTTTGTCGATATCATGGAGCTCTACAGCATCGGTAAGTAAGGCGGGGTACTGGATAATCATTCATACGATGCTAAAAACAAAGTGGTACAGCAGCAAGGATCACCAAGCCAGCAGCTCCAGTGGTTCAGCATTTGGAACCTCGAATACTGGTAATGGTCTCAGCGCGGGGGCGATTGTCGGAATAATTTGCGGCTGCGTTATTGCTCTACTTCTCATAACCATTGTTTACATTTCTTATGCCTGCGCCGTTCGACGGGAAAGCAAAGAGATCAGTTGACGACCACCAGAAAGCATAGAGATGAGTTGACGGCCACCCTTTTATCTGACGACATGGATTCACTCCAAACTGCTAAAAGAGACTTTGATTATCACTGCCAAGCGAGTTCCTCAACATAAAAGTAAAAGTGAAGAAACTGCTGAGTCGCGGGGCTTTTGAAGAAGTCTTCATAGGTGCGTTCAATGGGCAGCAAGTTGCGATCAAAACTGCGACGCGGTCTAGCATTCCACATGCTAACGACTTCCTCACTAAAGCCCAGATGACCGCCACCACGCATCACCCGCCCATTGTGCGTTCTGTTAGCGTCGCTTGGGACTCACTTTCGGTTCTTTGTGTCGTGCTCGAGTTCATGGATGGTGGTGACCTTTGTGCTCTGCTCGACAAGTATCTGGCGTCGAAGCGACAATTTGGATTTGATAAAGCAAAAGGCAACGAATGCTCTTCATGTTTGCCAGGTGCTGACGTATCTACACTCCCTCGCCCCTCAGGTGATTTACCGCGATCCTAAATCCCGTACGTCAATTGACGGATGCACGACTACAATGTAGTGTTGCGGAAGTTGACTTTTCGAAATGAGTCCTTATTGCGATAGCAGGGAAAAGATAATAAGTTTTCAGAAACTCTCAAAGTTTGTGAGTGCCTTCACTGTTCATGAACACTTCTGCCCACCGTCTCATCATCTTGTACCCATCGAGTACTGGCATTCAGTGGAGAAGTCGTGTTCATAATAGACAACCTTTCGCCATTGCGACTCTTTCTGCGGCAATGTACTCGATCGCAGCGAATTATTCCGATGGAATTTGCAGCGCCAGCACTGTGTATCAAGTTCACGCAGTCCAAGTGGCCAATTGTACGGCACAATCCTGTTCGAATGGTGACGGGTCAAGCGCTTCGAGGTCTGGCGACGTCACGTCGGCCGAGTGCTCCACTGACTATGTGGCCAACATGGCAAACATGCTGAGTAGCTTCTCCTACGTCGTCGTTCTTAGATTTGAAGACAGTAATTGCTCCACTTTGTACTACGGCTATGGGACTACAGAGCTCGGTGAATGTGTCGAGAACAAATATCAAAGAGGATACTCGATCAGTACTCTGGACGCAAACAATTCAGCTTCAATTGAGTATTTCGCCGATTCGAGTTGTTCATTGGCGTATGCATCTGAGACTGCCACTAATGCTGCCGTGATAAACCAAGAATGCAGCTCCAACAACTATGTGTGGTATACGGGAAGAACTCAGGAAGTTGTGAGTAGTAGTAGCAGCGATATCAACACCAGCTCTTGGAGCAGCAGCCACAGCGAAGATGGCGGAAAATATGCACCCATACCTGACACCCCCACTGCTGACACCCCTCCGACTTCAAAAGAGTCCTCCAGCAGTGACGTTAGTGCTCTTACCATCGTTAGTTTTGTCTTCAGCTGCATAGTGCTCGCACTGGTAGCTGTTATCATCGTGTTGTATCGACGCCTGAAGAGACAGACACCAGTCGAGAGTCGCAGTGGCCTCTGGGACGACGACACCATCACCGCAACTCGAATCCCGCGAAACAAGATTTCCGTCGAGAAACTTTTATGCCGGGGAGCGTTTGGAGAAGTTTACTCGGGAGTCTTCAACCGACAGCAAGTGGCCGTCAAGATGCTGCTACCAGCCACGCGCTCCAACCTCCAGCACGTGAATGAGTTTCTAACCGAGGCCAAGATGACTGCGATGATGGACCATCCACATATCGTCTACTACGTCGGTGTCGCGTGGGACTCGCTATCCGATCTCTGCGTCGTTCTCGAGTTCATGGACGGAGGAGACTTGCGAACACTCTTGAACAAATACGAAGCCGAGCATCATCCTGTCGGGATCGACAGACAGAAAGCCACCATCGCGCTTCACATCTGCCACGCGCTCACATACCTGCACTCGTTATCATCGCCTGTTATTCATCGAGATCTCAAGTCGCGCAACGTTTTATTGGACCAGTCGATGACGGCAAAGCTGACGGATTTCGGGATTTCACGCGAACGACTTGACAGAACCATGACGGCAGGTGTCGGGACTTCATTGTGGATGGCCCCTGAGGTGATGCTGGGGGAACGATACGGCGTGAAGGCCGATATTTTCTCACTTGGAGTTGTCTTGTCGGAGCTGGATGTTCACTCGCTGCCCTACGCACGAGTAAAGCAGCAAAGTCGCGAGACGAAGGGTCGTGAACTGGGCGACGCCACGCTTCTGCAGCGAGTGTCGACTGGGAAAATCACTGTCGAGTTTTCCTACCTGAGTCCGAGCTCGATTGTCGAGCTGGGAAGTGCGTGTGTGTCACTAGATCCAGCAGACCGGCCGACGGCAGCGGGGGCAATGTATCGGCTACAAGTCATTCTGGCCCAAGAGCTGGCATCGCCTCGTAACGCCGTTCTTTGAATCCTATTCCTGCTTCCACTTTGGCTCTAGAGTTATCGTGACTCGGTCCGTTTGAACGCTGCTGCTAGCGTGGATAGATATGATGGATGCATGTGAGTGCCATCTAGTCGAAAGTTTGGTCGAAGCTGTACATGTTACACGTCAGTGAATGATAACGAAGCTACCCGTGTGTTTAATAGCGCCTACCTTTGGCGGATCTTCACACACCAATTCATCGAAAAAGTCCAACCACCTAAGAACAAGCAAAACGTGAGAGGTGCGACCCATCCGATAGCAGCGATATCGAGTCCGTGATGGTGACTTACTTGCAGATGGAGCTCTTGACAACACGTTTCTCAAAGAGCTTGTTGTACTGGATTACCAACAAGCGTGTCTCGTCCAGCACTGGTACGACTGGATGGATGTACACATCAAACGCGTATTTCTCCACTACGTCAGAAAGAACGTCCATGAAGATGTCGATCGTGTGTTTCATGCCTTCCTCGATCGTCTAGAACACGCATATATCATAAACTTTGTCAGGCTGTCAACAAATAGGGGTACAGTCATCATAGGGCTTACCTCGTATTTGCACTTCTCGACAGCCTCCAAGATCCCCACGCGGCAGTCGATTTCACCAAATAAAAAGATGACTCGGGATCTGTTCGGGATGTTCGCAAGGACACGCCAGAAATTCAGTTTCGGGTAGAAAGTCGATTCCTTGCGAAGATGCCAATGCTTGAGACCAGTCACAAGCGCCGGTCGGAACAGAATCGACCGATCCTCCACGTTGATTTCGCGCCATGCGGTGGCCAGAGTGTGCGAGTCGCCACAGACATATATCGCATCGATGGAAGCGTCTGGGGACGCTGGAGGCGACATCACCAGCGTCTTCTTGACCGAGAGCAGTTGAGCGATACACGCATAGTAAGCTTGCTCATTGCGAATCGTTGTTCGGTGCAACTCACGCCCCAGACGAAGTGGTTCAAGTACACGAATCAGAGCTGGCAGCACCAACAATCGACCGTTGATGAAGAGTATTTTGACGATCGTAAAAAAACAAGCGAGGAGATCCAGCTCTGCATCCGATAAAGTCGCCGACGTCTTCTTGTTAGCTTGTACTGTCTGAAGGTTTAGCGGTGCAACTTTCACGTTTCCCATGGGCAACTTGGATTCGGAAGCTGGCGGAGTCACTTTCGCGTAGCCCTCATCGCCAGAAATCCACTCGACGCGCCACCGACCCTCCTTGATGTTATTAGGCATGTCAGCTGCTTGCTTGCTGTTGTGTTCGCCCTCCCACGCCTTCGCCCGATCGAGGATTTCAACGAATGACCCAGCCATCAATTTAGGCGTCTCATCGCCACCAGTTCCGATGTTGAGGGTGCAATTCTTGCGAAAGAACGTAGTCAACACATGAAACGCTTCGGTATATCGACAACAGGCCTCTAGCGCATGTGCATGGTTAAGTGCGTACGAGGCGTTGAGCGGATCACTGTCTTGAGCCAGTTGGAAACACAAAATCGCCTTCTCCACAGCGCCAAAGTCTTTTAGAATTGTGGCTATAAACGCATAAGCAGCAGCTGCTGAGGGACCACAGGGAGGAACAGCACTTTTCAGACGCTCCATCCAACCAGAGTCCTTTAGAAACGAAACAAACGTTCTCTTGACAGCTCGATCGTTTGATTTGCCCACCAACACACGTAGCGCCATACTTAGAGCTTCACTCTTCTTGCCACGATCATGAGCCATGCCAGCGTACAGCAGCAGCGCGTCTAGGTTCAACGTAGGAGCTGTCAGATCCGGTAACAAGTGCATGATAAGCGAGATGGCTGTCTCTTGGTTCTCGAAACTTTTTGTATCGTACAGAGCTCGAGCTTTCAGCACATCCATCTGCTCCTCCATTAACAACCGTTCGTCGGCGTCAGGAAAAAAGACTTTACGCTTGGATTCTCCACTATTAGTCACACTGTTCCAGCGTAGAAACGTCTGCACTTCGTCCAGAACCCTCACGGCCTCATTAAACGTCCCCAGTTCAACGTAACACTCCGCAAGTCTCAGTCCGGCCGTAAATGCCACTTCGGCATGCGCTTTCCACGCACATGTGTCGCCTCCATGCGCCTTCCACCACTTCAAAAAGTAGTTTTCCGCCGCTTCTCCGTGCTTCCCATTGGCCATTAGAATTTCCCCAAGTGCTACTAAAGCTTCGGCGTTGAGCGGATGCTTTTCCATTACCACATCAGTATAAATGTCCCTGGCAGCTCTGAATTTCCGCTGCTTCATGTACGTGGCGGCCAGCTCCAAAACTCGACGAAGCTTGGGATCCCGATCGTCTTCCTCACTTGATTCTGAGCGGGGTAAGCACTTTATCTTAGTCCTAAGCGCTTGTGGAGGCTCAGGGCCCAGCACTTTCCTTTGAGGCTCTTTGGGGACCACCACCAGCTCGAAATCGCACGTTTTCCCGCTCCTGAGCAGAATTTTGTCAGTGCAGCCTCCGGAGCTGCCAATCTGAGCTACTGATACGTCTAGCGACTGTAACAGACGACGAGAAGCTGCGTTTTGATGATATTCCACGTAAACGTCGACATTTTCCGGCTCGGGTGGGAGTTTTGAGCGGAACTTCGCGTTGTATGCAGTGAAGAAGCAGCGCAGCACTGATCGCACGGATGGGCACGCACTGGCTTCGTCCACTGGAGGCAAATTGAGCCGCTTGGTCCACGCCAGTGCCTCGTCCGACGGCTCGTAATGCACGTAGAGCCGCATCAAATGACGTCGATGTTGGAAGGATGCAAAATGAATGCGGAACACGTATGAAGGGTCAAATTGAAGTTACGTGTACATCACACGAAAAACAACGCATCCGCATGCGAAAAATGGCGAGAATGAAGAACTTGCGCAAGAGAAACAAGCCAAGCAACAGGAGGCCTCCGTATGCATGAGTACTCGTGCGGATACTATTCATCTTCCTCATTTTTTTTTATTTTTCTTTACTTTTCTGCATTAATTTGCCTCTCCTCGTAGGCGGCAAACGTTGATCTACTGGACTCAGCGAAATCTCTGTCCGACGCTGATGTCCACGTAAGCAAACGACACACACGTGACGATAGTGTGGCCTCCCAGGTAGAAGAAGGCTTGAGCTTCTTGGGCACCCATAAGTAGCTTAGTCGTCGGCGTGCAGACTCTTCTTCTGGGCCTCCTGGGCGTCGTACCACTTGTAGAATTGGCCGATACGGTCCAGCTCGCCGTCCTTAAAGTTGTTCCAGACCATGCCGGCGCCGATGCCAAGCACGGTGGCGATAACAATGTCCTTCAGGGGGGAGATCATGGCTGCTAACGATGCGATACAGGGGGCTTGTTGCTGACTGAGTAACGAGAGGCGTGGGGACGCTGTGGACCGTCAGAACCAGAGGGTTTGAGGACGGGAGCCATTCACGATAGATTTGTACACTACACAAAGCAAACAGATAAAGTATCAAATAGACACGAAACATGGGGGTGACACCTCTCCGTTCAAATAAGAGGGAGGATGGCAGCAAAAACCTAGCAGCAGTTTATGTCCTGTAGCAATTTATATTCCAAAATTTGAAAAGGCCTTTGAAAAAGATGCAATAAGTAATTTTCCCGTTAGAAACCGTCTCATGATGTTCGAGAAGGTCCTTTAAGCTGCAGCTATAAAAACGCGGCAGAATGTATTTTCTCTACGTTCGCATATCATTTTTTACTGGTAGAAAAGCACATTAATTACTACCAGTATTTTCTTACCGCTTGCCGCTTCAACAAGTGGATCTTTTGGAACCATGATGCTGGAAGTGTCGCCCCGTGAGGCCTGTGCACTCATCGTGTTCACAGTTGCACTGCTCACGGCCTGGAACGCCAACTCTAACGGCTTCGTGTGGGATGATCGCTCCGCCGTTCTAGCCAATGACGACGCTCAAAGCAGCAGTCTGATCGACGTCTTCTCGCATGATTTCTGGGGAACACCAATCCGATCCGTCCATAGCCACAAGAGCTATCGCCCGCTGACGATACTAAGCTTCCGACTCAATTATCTCATGGCCAAGGGTCATAGTGCCTGGCTTTACCACTTCACCAACGCAGTGGTGCATGCCGGGTGCTCGGTGCTCGTGTGGAAGGTGGCGGACGTACTGTTTCAGCAACATCAGCGGCGGATGGAGACCGTAACCATTAAGGAGAACCCACAAGATTCGTCACCAATAGAGAGCAATACTGTAATGAAGACAGAAAATGCTGTAGAGTGGACGAATCTGGTGGGGGCTTTGACAGCAGGTTTGCTGTTTGCTGTTCACCCGATTCATTGCGACGCTGTGGCAAGTATTGTCGGAAGGGCAGACTTGTTGTGCACCTCACTGTCATTGTCAGCGTTTCTAGCTTATACCAGTGGGGCGAAGAAGCGCGAGACGTCGTGGAGACATGTGATGGTGGCTTTGGCGCTGACGATTGTGGCGGGGTTGTGCAAGGAGTTGGGGTTCACGAACTTTGCCCTCCTGATGGTGTATGATCTATTGAGGATTCATCGGTACCGAAATGTGCAAAGAGGATTACAATTGGTGCAAAGGAGATTACTGGTGACGGTGACCACGGGGATAGTTGCTGCTCTTGTGCGGGTGTGGATAAATGGCGAGCACCGCCAGATGGAGTGGAACATCCTTGCCAACAGTGTGGTGGTACAGGAAAGCAGGTTGACCAGAATGCTGTCCTATTCACATCTGCACGCATGGTATTTGTGGAAGCTCGTGTGGCCTCGGTGGCTGTGTTTCGACTACGGATACAATACCATCCCAGTTATCGAATCTATCGTGGACCCACGTAACATATACACACTCTTTGCGTACGTGATTGTAGCGGTAGGCCTTCGCAGTGCCATACTCCAGCTGTTCGGATCAAGTAAAGCCCCACCATCGTCTTTATTTATGATGAGTATCGCGTTTGGAGTAGTCCCCTTTATCCCGGCTTCGAACATGTTATTCCCAGTTGGTACCGTGGTTGCAGAGAGGCTGTTGTACTTCCCTAGTGTCGGCTTCTGTCTTCTCGTTGGGTGTGTTATTGATCGAACGCTCTTCATTATTGCCAAGACCACTGCACAATTTCCTCCCACAAACACCAGCCACACGGTCCGATCTGCTTCAAGCTTCAAAGACTTATTCAGCGCAGCTCAGGTTGTGATACTTGTTTCCGGGCTGTTAATACTAATCGCAGGATGCTACCGAAGTCAGCTACGCAACGCTGACTGGATGAGTGAACAAACGCTCTTTAAGGCGGCAGTGGACGTAGTGCCCACTAACGTCAAAGTTCTTTCAAACGAAGCGAAAAATCTACTGAATCCGGATCCAAAAAAGGCTCTCGACTATCTGCGCATTGCGATCGGAATGATACCGAAGCACATTGAAAGTCAGACGAACGCTGGACTCGCTTTTATCACGCTCGCGGCAAGAAAGGGTCTGGACGAAGATCTCTATCTCCACGGAATACGTCACCTCCACAAGTCATCTGTGCTTGCTCCGAATCACTTCCAGGCTGTCGGATTTATTGGCGGCGAGCTCTATACACACTGGATGAACAAGGCACGACTACGCTCCGAAGAGGTTACTATCGGAGACTTTCTCGCGAGTGAATCCATTGTACAAGCGACGAAGTTCCTGGACCGCGCAATCGATCGCAATAGTGTCTACCCAACCCATTTCTACAACCGAGGCAGCATCGCCTACGAAAGTGGCGACTATGACGAAGCTATCCGGTTCTTCCGGCTGACAGAAGTGGCTAATGGCGTTATCCGGGACCGGAGAGTTGACCCCGAGCTGCTTGTGGAAGCTTCGTCTATCTACAATATGCTGGGTGTATCGTACAGGAATAAAGGGGAATCAGAGAAGGCTCTGGAGATGTTACGCAAAGGTATCGAGCTGTACCCGAAAGAGATCGATCTCCACATTAATGCTGCTCTGATTCTGCATAATATTGGTAATACGGATGAGGCTGCTGCACAAATAAAGGCTGGGTTGGCCACTGCCACGAAGCAAGAGCACATCGCGAGGCTTCGCAGTGCTGCAAAGCTACTGGAAAACTCGAAGATTATGTACGTTGTGGAGGCACTCTTGGATCACGCCGCAAAACTCGAGCAAGCCTTCCTATGAGCTCAAACTTGTTGAAGAAAATAATCTACTACTTGCAGCATCTTTTACTCGTTGTGGCTGAAATTTACATTTTCATGCCTTTACATGTATCGCCAGAATGTCTTCACGACATCTCCTTTGTCAGGATAACTTGCAGTCGATAAAGCGCCTCAGCTGCTGTCGGCCGGTCATTTGGATTCAACGAGACACAAGCTCGTCCTAGGTCCACTATACTAGCAGAGCTTGTTCGTGAGAATTCCACTTGCACGATCCCCATCGTCACCTGCTGCAGAATTGCTGCATCGGGTAATTTTCTTCCGTTTGCGTCTCGAGTCTGATCTTTGGCTCGTGCGTATGGCAACGTATGCAAATCCAGCTCCGATAGCACCACCCCAAACGAGAACAAGTCTGCCTTCACGTCGTATCTCTCGCCGAGCATCACCTCAGGTGCCATCCACAAGGAAGTCCCCACACCTGCTGTCATCGTTTGGTCAAGTCGCTCTCTCGAGATGCCAAAGTCAGTAAGTTTGGCTTCCATAGCTTGATTTAAGAGGATGTTCCGAGACTTGAGATCTCGGTGGATGACCGGAGGCATAAGCGAGTGTAAGTAGGTCAAAGCATGGCAAATATGCAGGGCAATAGTGGTCTTCTGACTGTCAAAGCCCGTAGGATGATGCGATTCTTCGTACTTGCTCAGCAAAGATCGCAGATCCCCACCATCCATGTACTCCAGCACGACGCAGACATCGGAGAGCGCATCCCATGCCACTCCAACGAAGGCGACAATATGTGCGTGATCCATCGTTGCTGTCATTTTGGCTTCAGCCAGGAAATCGTTGACTTGCTTTAGGTTTCCACGTGTGTGAGGCAGCAGCATCTTGACTGCGACCCGATTCCCATTGAAAACGCCGTCATAAACCTCACCAAATGCGCCACGACTCAAGAGTTTTTTCACACGAACTTTGTCTCGAGGAATGCGGTTGGCAGTGATGACGTCGTCGTCCCACAAACCGACCTGGCCATGCATAGCGACATCGAGTGAAGCAGTGTTTCCAGACTGAAGACTGGCGGTGGGTTGTTGCTGCGTCTCTGTTTGCTTCACATTCGACTTTCGCCTGCAGCAGCAAATCACGAGGGTGATGAGAACGAGCAATAGGAAAACTCCCACGATCATAGCAACGATGGTTGGCGTACTGATGCCGTTGCTCTGGTTGGACGAAGTTTCTTCATTTCCACTCAAATCTAACTCATCGTCTCCATCGAAATAGTACCATTTGGTCCATGAATCATCACACTGGTGCGTTGCAAGGGTGTATTTGTCGGCAGAATAGGTACCATACAGCTCTGAGTCATCACACACTGAATCATAATAGTAATCGAGCACCGCCGATCCATCAGATTCCAGTCTGGCAATAACATGGGCAACTTCACTCGCATTTAGGTTTGGAGACCCCTCGCAGTTATTCGACGCAAAGTAAGCTTCGGCATACTTCAGAGTCTCGCAGTTCCAGTCTTCAAAGGTTTCCACCACAATAAATGGCGAATTACCGAAGTAGCTTTTCATGCTGGTCATGTAGTCTGAAGTACACTCGATCGAGGCCACGCCAACTCGAGTAGTACCCAAATTCCCGTCCTCAAAGCATGAATACATGGTGCAGCTGACATCACTGTCGGTGTGCATGTTGTACGGCGTGCCTTTGCATGAGTTTCCGTCATAGTAGACCCACAGTTTGTACAAATCTGAGCCAGCCGTGAGCGATATCACTTGTGCTAGTAGAAATAGCCACAACATCGGCGACTTGATTATTGTACTGTGCGTGCGTGAGTCAGCAGGATCGGTTGTGTACGTGGAGATCGCAGCGCTGAAACCCGTAGAAATATATAACTGTGAAGTATTGTCAACCACTCCGGAGAGCTCCTGGTATCAAGTAAAGGTAAGATGGGTGCGTACCCATTTGATCGCCTCCAGGGTTAGAAGGAATAGCGATTGAGCTGGCCTGCAATCCAACGCCACTACTCCTAAAGGGCCGTTTTCTTATGGCAATAAATTCCACTCTCTACGGCAATAGGGAGCCAACAAATTTCCGCTAGAAGAGCTTATTCCCTCGGGCATTCAGATCCGACAAAATGATTCACTGCAGTACCCCGCATCCAAGGCATTTTGACGAAAACCACAAATTCTTGAGCGATTGATCAGCTCTAATTGTGAATGCAGCGGAGGAAAATTGGAATTCATTTGGTGACCAATAGCGTATGCTGTCATCGGTTTTAGTCTGCTTCACGGGATATTGTAGTGAAGGTACAGTACATTATGTTTCTGCTAATCATCAAGCAGGTTCTGACCCATTCTAATTCTGGCAACCGTGCCAGAAATAGCAAAAGAAATCCGTGCCCTCCTTTTTAGGAAATTCTAAACATTTTTGCTAAAGTTGATTTACCAATTTTTAGCCGAATGCATACTGTGGACGTGCTCGTCTGATTCATTTTTAGCGCAGAATCGATGGGGGACTCACGTCGCTGCATTTAGTTCCGAAAGGTCATCGTACAACCGAGGTGGCTTCTCTCAATGACACAGTACAAGGACCGAAGCGAGGCTTTGCGGCGCCAGATGCGGTTGCTGGCGACTTGCCTAGCGCTGGTGGCGTCATTAGGCACGAGCTATCGGTGCATGCAACTCGATGTCTATTCCAAGCTTGTTTCAGGCACGTCGAGTCTTGTGTTCCCGTCGGGTGACATCACGCTGGCCAAGCTACTGTGGCTCACGCTGGGAATGTGGCTGGCGGCTGTCCACCTTGGGGACATGTTGAGCAGATGTAGACACAAGAGGACGCAGTGTGGAGGCCGACTGTATCTGGTGGACAAGTGCAGCCCGCGTTCTAGAACTCCCATTCTTATTTCTGGAAGCAATTTACACCAGATTGAAGTGAACACGCCACATTTCCAGGGTCAAATGGCCATTGCAGCCAGTCGTAGCAGCTTCGGACTGCAAGTACAAGGCCGTTTCACTAGGAATGTACCAGCCAACAGCAGAATAGTCGTCGCTCTGGAGCTTCCAGTGGAGATTAAAGCTCTGAAGTGGACGCTGAGGGTCATTCTGGCTGTAGTGACGAAATTTTGCAGGTGGAGACGAGGTGGGTACAAGACCGACGCCATGGAGCTGCCACATTTTGCAGTCCCCTTACTGTCATGTGAACACTCGCACTTTGGTGTGAAATTCAGTGGACCAAGTGACAAACGCCAGGTGAAGAACTACACAGTCGGGAGAGCGTACACTCTGGAAGCGAGTATTACTGACTGGAAGTGGAGATACCTGGCGAGTGTGCTGCTTGCAGTGCTTAACTGGATCTCTCCTTTGCATCTTGCGGGGTATGTAGTGCCCTCTCCATCGAAACACGAAAAGCAAACACGGAAGAAGTCTCGCCAGAATACCATAAAGAAGCACTATCTATTTCGCTTCTCGGTGCACGGTCAGCAACACCCGCAGTCAGTTGCAGACTCTCAACGTCTGCGAGTTTCCCTTCTCGACGGTCCGTTTCCAGACTTCGAAGTCGGTTCGCCGATTGCGCTGTACAACGCCAATAGTCAACGAGGTGGCGGCGTGCCTCTAGCTCATGCAGAAGCGTGTCGACGGATTGCAGAAGATGCCCGAGCATTGGGCAGATTGAGTTTTTCACTCGACGTTTGGGTGGAGTTCGTCGATCGCGTAGCTGGACGTCGCAAAGTAGGGTATCTACTGCAAGTTGAAGATGTCACCAGGCATATTCGACGTACAGTGATGCGCAGTGCTACAACGGTCAAGAACGCGCTGCTTCTTCTACGTCTCGAGCATCAGATCGACCGGAAAGAAACAGAGCGTGAGACTGGCATCTCTGAAATTGAAGACCCAGACACGGACGAGTCTGTAGACTTCCAGAGCTTGAGCGTTGAATCGCGGGAGTATCGCTACGAGCAGATCGAACACGAGACGTCAGCTGTGGCCCACGTTCTCGATCAAATAGCGTCAACGCCATCCCAAGGACGTCTTCGATGGCGACTACCGCAGCGCTGCTACCAGAACCAGTTGGAGAAGGCCACACTCTACCGATGCCTCATGTCTCCGTCGCGCTTGCCTTCTGTACCAAGTTACCGAGCAATTGGTGTGCAGATGAACGAGTCTCAACACTTGGCTATGAATGTCGTGGCGGAAGCTGGAGTATATCGACTACACGGTGCTGGCGATGGAACGATACCACTGCTGCGTCAGGAGTGGTTTATCGTGTCTGCAGACAACTTGCACTTCTTCAGATCGTACTCGGTGGCTCCATCTCTGAGTGTTCCTGTCACCAACGTGCTCAATGTTCGCAGCGTCGACCACGTGGGATTACTGGATGGTAACAAACCTATCGATGTGCACCACGAACAAGGCGCAGTGTCGCAATGGTTTTGTCTGGAGATTCACCTCGTGCTGGAAGTTCTCACGCTGTTTGTAGAGACTCAAATAGAGCGTGACAGCCTAGTTGCATCACTGCAGCCTCTGACAATTGACGACTGTGACCTCCACGTCAAGACAGAAGCTGTGGCGGTGTCTCCACTCTTCTCTCCCATGACGTTGGATTCTCAGCATCAGCCTGTTTGTCTTAACCATCGCACATGTCGAATAGCTGACTCAGTTCTGAAAGATATCGACGCATCAACTCCACTGAAGCTGGTACAGGACAGCTTGACAGATGGACTCAACGTCTTCGCTCTGGGGGAGAAAGCTTCTCGTCTTCGCATCAACAGAAGCACCGTTCTTGCCTTCCTCGACAAGGTCGAAAAGCTTAACTGTCTTGATCTGGATAAACTTGCATCTCGAGTGTCGAGCGAAGATCGATTCGCTCTGGGGCTGAATCTGTACCACACGCTCTTCATCCACGCTGTGCTCGTTTTCGGCTACCCGCAGACGCACGAACAGTGGAAGTTACTGCAAACTGTACCGTGCTACCTCATGCGTGTCAAAAACAAGAGTGAGTCAGTAAGATATACGCTGGCTGACATCCAGCGTGTTATGCTGCGCTGTCCTGTGCCGGTGACGTTGGAAGCCTCCAGTATCAAGCGGAGTATATCCCAGAATGCGCTTATGGATCTCGCTATCGGCGGTGGAGATGCTATCGATGGATTGTCTAGAGCTGTTCTGGGTGTGTTGTGGACGCCTGTGCTGCCGAATAGCAGCTCTTATGCTGCTATCAAGAAGACTCCACTTCCCATTCCAACTGGACTGGCAGTGGATACCGCAGATATTCGCACGTGTTTTGTGCTTCAGATCAACAGCTCACCCCCAACGCTCAAAACGAGGGGAATCATGCGCGTATACGACGGTGGACAGAAGCTGAACGAACAGCTGACTGCTACGTGCACAACGTTTCTGAGTCGAGAGCTTCGGTTGAACGAAGTGAACCGCGTCATCTACTTACCTCGGGTCTGTGAATGGTATCGTGTGGGTAGCTACCCAGACGAAGACAGTGATGACAAGAGAAGAATGGGTCCGCTAACTCAGCGTCGTCGTCGAAGAAGTAGCAGCGGAAGTGCCAGCGGAGTGGCGGCACTGCCGACATCTCGAGGCTTTTACTGCTTGCAACGATTGCTTGGGTATATGGAAGTGGAACAGCATCATCGTGCGTTACATTTGCTGCTTGGTGCGGGTGAAGAATGTCGCTTTATATTCGACGAATTCTGGACGAAGCCGAGCCGGTCAACAGCTGCGAGTTTGTTGAGCAGCGCTGGAAATGTTGCACTCTCCGTCTTTACAAGTGCAATTTCTAGCAATATGTCGAGTATCACGCGCCCTCTAGACGAAAAGCCCGTGGACGCACTTCTATTCTGACAATTTGTAGCGATATGCAAAATAAAATATGTACAACGCAGCACTGTGTACTACTGTAGTATTTATTGTGCCTTGCACTCTTTCTGTCTAAGCAACGTCGTAACTCGTTGTTTAAGCAAATCTTGGGATCAGCACAACGTTGATTTAGTTAGGCAATTCGTCGAATTATGGTTGAATAGCTCGCTTATTAGAAGAATTAGAGTTGTGTTATACGAGGAATGGTTGAATGGCCATGATAAAAGCGCCTAACCAACGCTTTCACACTCGCTGTTTTATCGTCGACCCCCTGCAGTTGCCAAGAAACCATGACCGTCTCCATTGACATGCGTTGGCGGTCAGTAGTACTAACATACCTTTACGACATTGATGTATCTGTGGTGGCGTCGGTGATGGGAGTCTCTGCGAGGTCGATTTCTCGTTGGGGTATGCTATTTCGTCGTCGTGGAAACGTAATCCCCAACGCACGAATTGAGCGCAAGACCCGTTGGCCTCCAGAGTGCATCAAATTTGTGAACGGCTACGTAGAAGAGCATCCATGCTTCTACATTGAGGAACTGCAATCTACACTCAAGCAAAGGTTTCCTACGCTAAAAAATGTGTCGACAGCGACGATATGTCGTGCGCTTCGATTTGACCTCGGTCTTACTCGCAAAGTATTGACCAAGCGTGCAAGAGAGAGCATTCCTGCTGAAATCGATGCGTACTACAAAAAGCTCGCCCCGTTTTACAGCAACCCAGAGCAATTAGTTTTTCTGGATGAAACAGCAAAAGATGGTCGTGATGTGCTACGTCGGTTTGCCTGGTCAGCCAGAAACACGCCAGCAATTGTGCGGCAACCATTCGACCGAGGTATGTACTCAGTATTTTGATTTAACTGTTTTGCTTTTTCCCTCTTCTGATGTTAGCGAAATGTAGGTGACCGCGTATCCATTTTAGCTGCAATGGACATTTCAGGCTTTATTGCCTGGGAAACTACTCCAGGAACGTTTGACCGGAATCGCTTTCATGCTGCGTTTCTCAAGAATGTAGCACCACTTTTAAATCCGTGGCCGCTACCACGGTACGGCATCCTTCATGGTTTCATTGTTTGTACTTGGCACTAATCATGATTCAGTTCAATTGTCATTCTAGACAACGCCAAAATACACATGTACAAGGAGCTGGAAGACCTCGTACACTCGACAGGAGCGCTTTTACTTTTCTTACCACCTTATTCACCCCAGTTGAATCCGATTGAGGTTGGGTTTGGGCTTCCGAAGCGGTGGCTAACCCGTCACGCACATCTCGCGTTTCGATTTGATGCAAGAAGAACCTTGCAGGTTGCTATGCGTAAATGCATAGAGGAAGGAAAAGAAGAGAGTGGAAATTTGTATGGTCATTGCGGCTATGATAGAGTAGGTCTCAATCGAGAAATTTTCTTTAGGTAAATGCGCAATGCGATGAGTTCTTCTCTAATTTCTTACTCGCCAGCTTGTTCAGCATGATCAGTGTCACTCACGTTCTCAGTAGGACCAATAGCTTCAAGATCGGGGCGAAATGGAGGAAATAGATCGTAGGATGGCATCCCAACAGCTCGACGCAACTCAGCTACGTCTAATTCCAAGTGAATAATACCCCCGTTTAGTCTGCAAGCCACGCGCACAAATTGGTGACTCGGACTCGAGCCATTGCTATCTAATGTGGCGGAAATGTCAGAGTGCATCGCGTCAATTCGTTGTAGTTGCGCAAATGAAGCACTAGTTGGAGGCTCGATAGGGGTGCCCTCGGGCTGACGGGCATGAGAAATAGCCCAGTAGCGCTGTGCAGCAGGCCCGTAAGTGCTACTGCTTCCTTCTCTCTCCAGCACTTCTCTTATTGCAGCCGCCGAAGCTTCAACGCGTGCTTCTGTTGCACGGCGAATACCTAAATTGGTATTTCTACGTTGTACGTAAATGTACAACTCAAGCTGAAAGTCGGCTTGCCTAAATCATCGTGTAGTTATGTCATTTTGCATGTCAACAGAATTACGAAGTGTTTCGTACCCATGTTTGCGGCGGGCGGCTTGCTTCCATAAGCGGTCGATGCTGTTAGAAAACTCGTCTTGTGAAGAAGGGAGCGCTACATAGTTTACTTGCGATATGTTTGCTGATGGCTTGATCAAAATGGGAGCATCGGCGTCCCAAGTAACATCTTCAGCTAGCTGGTTGCTGATTCGAGCATGTAGAACGGCAAGCCCGTCTGTCGGCATGAACTCAAAGACAATGGGTGCTCCATACGGAGTTCTACAGTTGGTGTAAGGCTTTCCGACCTTCACAGTGAGAAGCACTTGTAGTTCCTGCGGCATTGGGAGTGACATGGCGACAATGCAGCTGTACAACAACGTTATAATGTGCGTATGTGACTCTCGAAGGGAACGAATATGGCTCTTACCGAGGTACAAAGTGGGGTGTGAGCAGTAAGAGCGCTTTTGCCTTGTTTGGAGGGCCATCCGTTGTTGAGGTTTTAGCTTATTTTTAGCATTGAGTTACGAGCATAAGCCAAGCTTATCTCATATGATTTGTCGTTGAGTTACGGGCCTAAATGGCACGCCAAAGTTTGTGCAAGGCACAATACTCCGTGGTAGTAAAAAAACTGACAGTGTTATTTCAACTCTCGTCTGTAAATTTCACTACCGGTATACCGGTACACCAGTCGTAATTTCATGTGCAAAAGAAAGATATTTATTATGTACACCAAATCTATCAATGAAGAGAGGAAAAGCGGCGTCGGATCACGACCCAAATCAGCAAAAGGACCTTACGCCAGCTCCTCCGACAAAATCATCTGAAGCCTGTACAGCGCTTCTGAGGCAGTGGGGCGGTTGAGTGGGTTTATGGATACACATGCGCGTCCAAGTTCTGCCAGAGCCATGGGGCCAGACTCCGAAAAGACCACGCGGAGACTGCCCTTGGTCACCTTCTCCAAGATAGCAGCATCCTGCAGTATGCACCAGCTCGAGTCGTGGATTTGTTTCCGCGCTTGAGAGTACGGAGCCGAGAGCATGTCGAGTTCCGACAGCAGAACACCGAACGAGAACATGTCGGCGTCGGTGCTTTGCTTCCCACCACGAAGGATCTCGGGAGCCATCCACAGCGTCTTTTTCTTGCTTTCAGTACCGAAATTGGTCACTTTGGCCTCCAACTCGCTGTTCAGCAACACATTCCTCGACTTGAGGTTGCCATGAATCACAGGAGGCGACTGCGAGTGCATGTGGGCGAGTGCGCTGCAAATCTGCATTGCGATTTTTGTCTTTTCCTGGTCAAAACCGACGACGTGTTTCTCAGCCTCGTACTTGTCCAGTAGCGACCGTAGATCGCCACCTTCCGCAAACTCTTGGATGACGTATACGTCGGACACGGAGGTCCAGGACACACCCACAAAGCCAACAATGTGCGGGTGATCGAGCGTGGCTGAGGTCTTCACTTCGGCCAGGAACTTGTTGACGTGCTCCTCATTTTCTTGCGTTTCTGTTCGGAGCTTCTTGACCGCCACCTTCTCGCCTCTTAACGATCCCGAGTAGACTTCCCCGGAAGCTCCTTGGCCAATGAGGTGGCCGAGTTGCACCTCTTCCTTCGGGATCTTTACGCTGGCAATGACCTGGTCGTTCCACAATTCTGAGGTTTCTTCTTCGTGTTTGGCATCTAATGCTAAGCAGCTGCCGTCCGTGTTCAAGTTGGTCTCTACTTTCAGCAAAAGTTTGGGCGATAGACTGCGACGCACGGCGATGCCCCCGATTTTGAGACGTTCCGTCACGGCGTTGGTGGCAAGACTGAGCATGGTAGTGAGGTGGTGGGTGGTATTTGTTGTGCGTTGAGCTGCAAAAGCGAAAGTGAACAACGCAGATCGAGTCTCTTGGGCGAGAGCGAGAGAAAAATACCCGGACACGTCCTGCCGTCGAAGTCCATTTGCTGACGCTTTATCAACGGCTGCTGCCTCACAAATGGTCGTTTCGTTCTGTCAAATCGCGGGCTGAATTTTTTTAAACTGCAGCTGCCATTTATCATAATAAAGAGCTTCTGGTGTTTAATACAGCTGTGAAAACAAATTCGGGATTACAGGGAAAGAAACTTAGTAGATTATGTAGTTTTTAAAAATTATCATGTATACGTTCTTAAAGGTTATTCGGTTTACGGTGTTTTTAGCTTAAGCAGATTTCTGAACTAAACTGTAGCTTATCATTGAGACAGGGACACACTTCTAGCAGCTTTGTGGCTCTGTGTCAGAATTTCACCGAGCCCGTAAGGTTGTCTTTCTCCTCCAGCTCCATGCGACGCTGACACGGCGAGAAGGAGCCGCTTCGAGAGAAAAATCTTGGACAGACGGATATTTGGTGCTTGGGCTGCATGTGACGCGTCGAAAGAGTCAGACACGAAAAGGCCTAGGCGGCTTACAAAACCCAAGACAAATAGGCGTGTCCTCATGTCAATAGCACCCGGCTCAGCAGCTTCAACTTCAGAGTCCGAGTCGGAAACGTCGTTGGGTTGCTGCGGCTCTGCGTGGATTCTGGGTGAGCATATCCTGGTCCTCTACCGCTACTGAGTGAGCTGGCACTGCTGTTACTAGCCCTGGCCTGTCCCCCCGGTTGAGGCTGCTAGAAGAGCACCATGAATGCTAGCTGAGGTCGCTGGTCGTTTGCCGCTCTGAAGATTAAGAGCCATGACAGCGTGCCATCGGCGGCTGCCTCGGGGACGATATCGTCCCCAAAAAGGAGTCCCCAAGTCTGGCGATTGTCAGCGGTGGTGCTACTTGAATGGGGTTCAACGGAAACGCAACGCTGAACGACACCGGAGTACATGAACTTGTAGTAAACATCAACACAAAGACCATTTTGTACCAGCTCTACCGAAGTTCGTTAAATCAGCGTCAAATCTAAAGAGACCAGTCCCCAAAGTAGGTTTGCTATCGATGGAAAACCTAATGAAGAGCAGACCATTCCCACAGATTCTGGAATCAACCTGCGCTTTCAACGGCGAGCGTCACGCCGAGATAGTTTATCATTTTTCTTTCAAAATCCAAGGCCATTGTTCGTACCGACGCTACTCGAGTGTGTTACTGCATACAAGCGCTGTGCCATTAAGCACAAAATAGTCAGGCTCGCCTTGACAAGGCAGCTCCATGGCCAGAACCAAATTCGTCGAAGTGCCAGTCGTCGATAATGTGCCTTTGCGCATCGCAGTACGATACACCGGACATAGGTATGTGTTCAACGGTAGAGAATCTTCCACTGCTTCGTTATCGGAGCTCGCCAAGTTTCGAGAACCTCTTCTGAAGGTATCTCCACGCTGAAATGGCTGCTTTGCACGTGCAGCTGTCTTCGTACCACTACCGACCACATTTCTCGAAGAAACGTTGGCAACATTATCACTCTGACTTGGTTCCTTCGCTGGCATACTTGAAGAAATCGAAGCAAGGGTCGAATCTCGATAAGCCAATACTTCGATAACTGGCATAATTTGCCGCATGGTGCCGGGTTGTGATCTGCTCAGACATCCAAGTTCCTGATTCCAATGTGCGCCTTCCACTACCAGACCTTTCAGGTACACGCCGTCATCCGCTTGTCCTGCTAATTCGCCTTCAAGATTCTGCTGTGCTGCAGCCTCCTCAACAGATGTGCTAAGCGCAGATTCGGATTCACCGAGAACCCGAAACTTGAAATCTAAAAAATGAATCGGGATTCCGTGCTTTCGAGAGTATCGTTGAAGAATTCCAGTAAACAATCCCTGCGGGAATGCAAAATATGGCAAGGGGAACACGCTTCCTGGCACGCGCCCATGTTCAGCCCAGTGACGTAAGAACTCGCAGCGATTGAGTAAATTCTTCACCCATTGTGATAAAGATTCCGTCGCAGATAACGAATGAATATCGTTGGCAAGCCAACCTAGAGGTACCTGTTGAGCTGCAATACTATGCAGCGTTTGCTCTATGGTTGTCGACATAACCGCTGTGCCTTGTATGACATGCTGCAACTCAACGCAACTCGCATCGACGAGTCGAACAACCTTGTGGCATGCAACTTCCTCCTGCCGCAACACAACATGAAGTGGATCCTGCCAATTATCACGCGTGCGGCTTAACAGACAAGCTTCGACGCTGTCTAGCGTCGCTGGTGGTGGGAGCTTCTCCTGAATTGTTTTGGATAACTCCATGACAGTCTGACCCTTGTCTACAACTTCTGCGTCATCCGCTACGTCACTTGTAGAATTGTCCAGAGATGATAAATCCTCCCCGCTAGTCTGTAGCTGCATCAGTAGTCTTACAAACCGATTGCTTTCTTGTCTTTGGTACGAAATAGATGCATTCGGATGCATGCCAAACACATGCGGTCCATCCATGTCAGAAAGACCGTCGACGAAACGTGCCATGTCGTCCTCGCTGTGAAATTCTGGAGCGAAGAAACTTCCATCACTGGATGAGATAATATTATTTTCCAAGAGCGAAGCACTCTTTGCCTTTGTCATGCGTCGGATCGCCGTCTTACTTTGGAGATTTTTGCACGACTTACGCTTGAAACATGACTCCGAACAAAATCGCCTCAGCACCGCCATCAGACACCGACGATCGAATTCATCCGTGACACGGCCGCCATAGTAAATCTCTCCAGCTAAGAAGAGCAGTGCGTCCCACGGCACCGCATCTAAGTGAAGGAACGTGCTTCTCGAACGTGGCTCTGGAGCATCGCTCGTACTATCCTCACTTGCTTCAACCTCACTGGTACTTTCGTTGGCCGCCAACATCTTTGCCGCACCATCAAGAAGCCGACGTTGCAGAGTTACTACACTCACGAAGTCAGCGTCACTGAAGTCGTACTTAAGGTTCCAGCCCAGAGACCCGAACTTGGAACGCTCTCGTACAATTGCGTGGAAGAAACTGAGTCCGAAAGCAAGACGAAGCTTCATTGATCCATTTGAAGCCAAGCTTAAGTTGTTCCCATCTGTATTCATCTGTTTCATGAGCGTCATACAGCGCTGTAAATTGGCTTTCACACCGATTGGAGACTCCGTCATCACTTTCACGCTGTTTTGAAGGATTGATATGGGGAAGTACGTCGCTGGGAAGGATGCGAGGAACAATCGGAAGTCTTCGTGAATTTCTCCATTCCGTGCCTCTATCTTGATGCCTGTAAGCAGCGTCTGAAGCTCAGGTAACCATGATTTAGCCAGATGCACATTCTGAAGAATAAGCCAGTATCCCTGCGTTTTGCACTCCACCAGTTTCGCTTCCACTATCGGACCTTGTCCTTGGCCCAGAGAGATAACGCGATACTTGTCTTCATCGATACCTATCTCCCGGGCATAGCGCTCTAACGTTGATATAGGGTCTGCCCCAGGCGACAGAATAAACAGGCATGGCGTAGATTTGTCGATATCATTGTAGACATCTTTGATCTCCATCTCTGCACTGGGACCGTCTATAAAATCTGCACCCAGCGCTTCTTCGATAAAACACCTTACTGCCGTCATAAACGCATCTTCGCGCAACCAGCGCACAAGCACAAGACGTTTAAAGCGAGGCAAAGTTTTATCCAAATCTTCAGGAAGCCGAGTTAGATATGGATTCTCACTCGCAATCCAGGTAGTCCACGCTATATTGTCCCGATAGTAAGAATCCAAGAGCTCAGTAAAACCCGGTTGGCGTCGAGAAAGTGCAAGAAATACGCGATCAACTGCATCAAAACTTTGCTTGGGGTCCCCAATTGCACCATCATTTGAGCAGTTGTCTATCACGGTAGTTGGGGGTACAGCTTCAACTGAAATAGGCGTGTCAGCATCCTCCGCCGAGCGGTCTAAGAGTGCAAAATCTCGCTGATTGAGTTCGTGTGCCTTGACCATGACTCTCAAGCAAATGACCAGAGCAAAAAGCTGTTTGTGCGCTTTAAAGAGACCTCGGCAGATATTCCGGTACACCGCCAGTGTAATATGATGCTTCAAGCTTTCCAATCGCTCAGGTAGATTTCGTTTCACAGGTGCCTCGTTCAAACTCTTAACAAAAAGTCGATTGAAATATTCCAACGAGAACTGGTACATGGGGTCGATCTCAGCCAAGTCTGCAATGACGAAGAAGAGCATGGCACCGCGAACTGCGACGTCTTGGTACTGATTTCGAATTAGTAGAACTTCCTGTTTCGTCACTTCCGACTCGGCAAGTCGCTGAGCCACCACAGTAGACGTTTTCTTTGACGTCTCGAGAGTTCGTATCAGCTCAACATCATCCAGAATATTTCCCTTGGCGTCAGAGAGAAGGTTGAGAATTCGAATCTCCAAATCTTGCAGCTGCTTTTGATCTCGCGCTATACTCGCCAAGAGGGTGTGCTTTCGCTCTTCAACCTCCATGCGCTCACGTCGAACAACATCACTAAGAAGCTGTTCCTCTAAGCCGTCACTGGTGACAGTGAAGTTGATAACGTTGACATATATATACACGTCAGGGACGAAATGAGGGTTGGCCAGCTTCGTTGTCAAGTACAAACGAAAGAGTTCTGCATCAGTCTCCACAAACCGATCGTCCAGTTTCACATTCACTTTTCTGGTCGTTCTTTTACTGTCTGCTGAGCGTTGTGATGGTTTTATTGCAACCACAGGCTCCAGAGACGGGTTCAGTGTTTCGGTCACATCTTCAATTAGTATTGGTTTCCCACCAACGAGCGAATCTTCGACAACTTGCATTAAGTTTTGGTCGTCTGCTTTCACTGTTTCCAACTGATGGAATGCCTCCAATCGCTTTATCCATTGTGTTGCTTGTTGTTGCGGGTCAATCATCAACGTCCAACGCTGTTTACTTTTTAAGGCGAATAGAGCATTGTCAGTCGAGAAACTATCACTTGGAAGACCCTGCAGTTGCCATTCGCGAAGCTCACGAGTGTCTCCATACGCATTAGCAAGAGTAAAGGATGGTGACACGCCAACTGACGACCTAGTCGTGTCCGACCACCGAGAGAGAAGGCGGCCTCGAAACTCGCCGTCAAAAGGCCCTAGATACGACATGGAAGCCGCTACCAGAAACGAATCTCCCAGAATCGAGCTTCCTTCCTGCTTGAGAAGTGCGATACTATTTTTCCAGCGTATGCGCTCATCACTGAGACCTTCGGTTAGCTTTTCAGCGTTCTTTAAGCGTAACTGCGTCAGTACTGACTCGTCCAGTAGCCGTTGCTTTTCTGTCAGTGCGGCATCACATTTTTCTTTCAGTTTTCGCACTTTATCCATCACTTTAGTCAGCTCTTGTTGTTTCGCTTCTAGTTTCGTATTTGCACCTTCGAGCACAGAATTCATCTCAGCCAGACGCTGACGCTTTGGAACGACTTCTTTTGCAACACGAGCGTACGTATCGATGGCGTGCACCCACATACACAGCGACATCGCTGCATGTGACACCTTCTTGACTTCATCCACTGCAAACTCCGGACTCTCAATATATTTGCGTATCCTTTTGAGAATTGCAGGCGAAATGCTGTCCTTATCGTACTCTTTGAGCTCAGCCATAAACGTGCTGCGAGACAAGATACGCTTGCTGTTGTCCCAGTCCGCTTTTTCCCCCAGCATGATACATACGGCCTCCATTACAACTTGCACAGCTTGTGGAGGCTTTACAAAGCCCTTGACTTCGGAGATATCTTTCTTGTCTAACGAATCCAAAGCTGCAACAGCAGCATTAAGAGCTGGCAATGCTTGGTCTAAATCACTCTGCGCATCAGCTTGGCAAACCGCAACATCTCGTTGTTGTTGCTTCACTACAGCTTCATCAGATCGGACGCGCTGAGCCACTTGTTCAGCTTCTGCTTGGTCGATTGCGACTTGACGGAGGAGTTCCTCGGCTTCCATGGTCTTACTGACTAGTATTGGTTGAAGGACAACTAGCTCTTCCTGTAGAGTACTCACGAGAGAGTTAGTTTCTTCCAGCTTGACCACGCCGGCCATCAATCGCTGTAACTTTGTTTCCCATTGTGCTTTCTTCTCTCGGTGTATCCGCCGAAATAGCGATATAAGATCGAGATAATGTTGCGACGTGATGTAGACACGGCGTCGGCACTTCACAAGGAAAGTCGCCAACGAAGCAGTAGCAGATAGATGAGCGTCGACACAAAGCGCTGTTACAGCTGATCGGATCATTGAAGAGCTCCCGAAGTCACGAGTATTTGCTCGTGTTATACTAGGGCCACTCCTAGGTTGAGCTTGAGACTCTTCCTGAGAGAGATAGAAGTCTGCAACATATTCAAGCGCGCTTTTAGGCCATTCGTCAAAGTAGTCGATGGTGGTGCAGTTAATAAGTGCTGGGAATTGACGTACACGTGCACGGAAAGATTCTCCAAGAGGATTCATGCACAGAGCGAAATGAAGTGAAGCGCGCACCATCATGTGGAAATAATCTTCGCAGTCTTTTCGCGAGAGTTCACCAACCTCCGATCTTCTCGCGTCACTGATATTTCGTTCAAGCAAAGTTCTTACATCATTGATAATGCGCTCCATTTCTTCAGGCGTAAACAGCTTGGGGATGTCCCCTCCATTCAGAATAATATTGACATCTTCAAGAAAAACATCCGAAGTCAATTGCGAGTCATCCAATAAAAACACTGTCGGCACAGCATCAATGCTTGAAACCTGGCGAGTCGAAGGACCCTCCCCCGTGTCCCCCAATACTGCCAGCTTCATCATCTGCTTTAAATCTTCTCGAAACTCTCCCAAGCCGTAGCCTTTACGCAATTCAATCTCGAAGCAGTAGTACCCTGTTAAGAACACAGCTAATCTCGCAAGAGATCGTTTACCACAACCCCCCATTCCAAGCAGTAAAGCATGTCCTCGCGGCTGTATCAAAATCCGCGCGATAGCAGCGGTGTGTATAAGTGCATCCTCAAACAGCACTAGCTCTAGCGCAGGGCGACAGGATGTCTGCACTGTCGGGCTGCAATTGTATTCCTTAATCTGTCCATTCAGAAACATTTTGAACTGCTTAAGATCACCGACCTGGTCGTATTTCACGATGTTAGCTGAAGAGTGGGAAGCTTCGTCAACTCGTCGCGGTGAAAAGAGCAAAGTACTGTGCTCCTGCTTGGGTGATTTTCCACTATCGATAGAGCTTTGTGTTCTCCGTCGGTCAGTCGTACAATCAACGCCAATGGTATCGGATGTCCATGAAACACCGAATATTTTATTCGCCACCTCCACTAGTTGCTCAGAAAACCATCGTCGATCAGTGCAGTCCATCAAACGGTCTCGGAAAACTCGAATCGCCTCGTGTGCCCACAAATTGACCACAGTTTGTGCAGTTAGACTGCAGGTAGATTGTGCGCCTCCTTTCTTAGAGCTCACGGGTGGTCCACATGTACGAGTACCGAGCACAATACCTAGCATAAGCTTAGTTACATCCCGCAAGTTAAAGGTGTAGTGACACTTTGTGGGGGTTGGAGGTAGTCCCTCTACAACTCGTTGAAACAATTGGCACGTTGCATCTGCAGTCAAAAGAATCGTATCCTTCACAGTTTTGATGAAAACAGTGCTGCCTCCGCAAGTTGTAATATGTGACGCGAGGATAGAGTTGAAAATAGTCTTCATAGCCGCTGAATCACAGCTAGGTAGACATAACACCGCAGCAAACTGTCTTACGAAGCGCGGGCAAAGGGTTTGACGGCCTCCTCCTGGTAGCCCACCAGCTGCAATGAGCACCGAGTCGTTAATATCTTTCCAGAAGAATCGTTCACGATCATAAAGTCCACCATTTTCCAAAAATTCTCTTAAAAGCTCAACAACAGGCTGAGCGCCGCTTTTTTCGGTGGTCGGCATATTAACATCGTCCACGAAAATAACGACGAGCTGCTTATTGACAGGTGCTCCAAGTATTGTTCTGCGTTTCTTGGAAAACTTGCTCTCGATACTCAATTGAGCACCAGCACTCGATGTCTGAGCAGACAGATTCAAGATCAGCGGCAGTATTTTTCCGTGTGGAATTGCCGAGAGCGGTGACTCTGTATTCGAATTCGTTGGATCGATATCGGCTGCAATCCGCGCGTGGTGATCCAGAATGTTGTGCACAATTGCTGACTTGCCCGATCCCGTCGCGCCAGTCAAGAGAATTGGTTGTCGTGCATCGATTGTCATCAATTCCACTAGGTAGCGGTACTTTAAGACATCCACCGTCGAGACAAGAAGGCTGCCACCTACTATTTCACTTGGTTGAGGCTGGTCCAAGCAAGCGCTAGCCCAGGGGGAGAAACTCAAATACTTGAAGTCGATGAAAAAGTCTTGTACGTCTCCTGTAGCCTGTGATATTCCTGCGGGTGTTCGGATTTTCCCGTCAATTGCCATGACATCTAGACTTAGATGGTGCTCGTTCAAAGAGATCAATCTGTCAAGAAACTCTTGAAAATCAGTCTTCACTTGGTCAAGATTCAGGTTACCGCCGATGGCCCACGCGAAGCTGAAGATAAACATGAGATCCAAACATCGGTTCCGCTGGTCTTCCAAAGACAGCAATAATTCTGGCGATGCTGCATCAGAAGGGTTACTTTTCAGGACCGGTGTTGTCGCAAAAATCTCTGGAGGTGCTCGATGAGCTAGAAGCGCCTGGAAGATATGGCAAATAGTTGCGACAAACGCCAAGTCGCAGGTAGTAATAGGAACTTGCGAGGATGTGCTCGATGATGAAGACACGGAATGAATAAACGCCAGGCCTGGTTCCACGAACAGCTCAAAGTGCTTGAGAACTCGGTTTTTCGCCTTGGTACTGAGTGGTGTCTGTGAGGATTCTATTGGGGCCGATGGAGAGGTTGCGTCCGCGACTGGAGCAAGAAGCTTGGACGTCCATGTCTCGACGAACGGCTTCCAGCCGAGGCAATTCGGATGATAGTAAACCACGCCAAGTCGACTGATGGTAGCAGGTGATGCTGCGGTTGTATCGGCAACTTCAAACAGAAGCTGAATCTTCGGTAGAAGTTTGATGCGCTCGCCGTTCGCCAGACAGAGCGTCATGTTATCATCTAGGACAGTATTCATGCTCTCGATCCAGTGTGCATCGATCGGACCATCAAAATTAATCCAATAGAACGGCAAGTTCCACGTCGACGGATCACTGCCGCCACCGTTTGCTTGATTTACTGACTGCCGTGCTAGAATTTCCTCATTCTTCTCCATTATACACGTGCGAAGCAACTTTGACGCTAACCCGTCGGTCCACTCGCGGGTAATCGGGTGGAAAAAGCCGTATAGCTCAACCATAGAAATGGACTTGGGGTTTAACGTAAATGTCATCACTCGTTGGAAACGCACGTCCGGATGCGCCATTCGCTCACGTAATGCGCTGACGGCTGCAGACAACATCTTCAGAGCAGTACTTTTCCCACTGCCAGTTGATCCAGTCTGAACAACACCGACACGAACTTCCAACGTCGCAAATAACTGTAGCAACTTCCCGATCCATTGCCGAGGTTCTTGTAGACCAGCTAGTCGAAGCTGCTCCTCGATTTCCTCCTCCAAAGCGACCATCCCGTTCGAACTACCCTGCCCAGATGATGGAGAGAATACCCCAACACCTTCAATAAGTCCGGTACACTCAACAGTGCCTAGAGATGACAGAGTGTCAGGGAATAAATCTCTGATAATTCCTTGAAACAGTCTATTGTCATCGTCTGTGAGCTTTGGTGTGTTTGCACCAACCATTGCTTTAATCAGAATGACATCTTCGTCATTCGACCTCGTTGCTGGGTCAGTAGCTGTTACGTTCTTCGAAGATGATCCAGAAGCCGCGTTAATTGCAGACGAGCGCTTCAAAGAACCCGCCATAGTCAGGACGGTTCTCACAGCTCTCATACCAAAGTCGTAATGGGCTTGCTGAGAAAGTTGTTCGCTGCATAATTTGTATAGTTTCGTCACTTTTCTCGAAAGGGACTTTGCGAGCAAGAAACCTTCGGCAAATAGCAGGATTTCAGCGATCAAAGCGTAGTCCGGCACCATCATGGCAACTGGCCGAAACGAGACTTTCAGGTTGTCAGGCAACTCAGTGCGCCCGACATAACCTGGATTCATAGTAATGATGACGTGGTGGTCACGCAAAGGAACGCATTTCCCATCCAGAACGACGTCGGCGGAATTCATAAGTCGCGCATTCCTCAGCACCGCCATTTGTTGCCCCACGACCGACAGCACTTCAATATCGATGCGGTTGAATTCATCCAGGCACACCCAAGCTCCAGCTTGAGTCACACCATTGAAAATACTCCCCATCATTGAGCAGCTCATTTGGTTGCTACAGTTGATCACAATGCATAAAATACCTAATGCTTTAGCGAGATCTTTCGATGTTTCAGTCTTTCCTGTTCCAGCAGGACCAGAGGGTGCCGCACCATAACGTAACTCTAATGCGCCTGTGATTGTCATCCAACAGCGATCAGTTAACGGGGTGATTACCAGGCGACTACAAGCGCCCATGTACTCGTAACCATACTTGATTCTGCAGTTGGCCTGGTAAATCTCACACTCGTCGCGATCTGCATACCATTGGTATCGAAGCTGCTGCTGCCATAAGAAATCGTTCGCGTCCGTAACATTCTTGATCACCAAAGATTCGACAATATCGCGAAAGTGAACATCGGTCGTCACCAGTGATACCACAACTCTCCGTTGAACGGAAGTCAAATTTGTTCGCACCAGTCGAGTGAGATTACCTAACTGCGTGCAAATGGTTTGGTGCCAGAGAGACAGCTCCTGAACAGGGTTTTGAGACCGTGACCGGAAGCAGCATTCGCATTCTTTGGCCCAAATGATGTAGGATACTACTGCAACGGCTTGCGCAGGGTGACGAAATAGCCACGTTTCCCTTGACGAGTGCTGGTAGTCTGCCAAACAGCTTTTTACGTGCTTGTGGAGTGTCACCTTCATATTAACGAGAACAGCATTAAGCCAATCCTCGATATTCCCACGAGCTTTTACAATTCGTCCGAAAGCAACACGTTCACCTTCGGGACTGAGCATTGCCACGATGTCTTGAGAGCTAGAGCTTCCATGCGCTGCATCACCGCTGATATCCAGCTTTGCTATGGCATCGAAGCACTTCGGTAAGTGGCGTTGAACGATTTGGGGTTCCTTTGCGTGCGCTAGCATTTCTAGTAACTCGTCGTTCGAAATGAAGTAAAACCGCGGGAACGATCGCCGCTTCATTTCCAGGTAGTCTTCCAGCGATTTCTCTATCCGCTCGAGAGATGCATTGTGCTTTGTGAGGTTGTCAACCAGCGCCTGTCCCACACCACCACCATTGCTGCCAACGCTACTACTGCTACCATCCTGGTAGCTCTTAGACCCACTAGACGCGCCAATCAATATAGCTCCTGTCACCTTTAAACAGCCCCGCTGATCCCGTGTTTTCCTCATCAAGTCTTTCCAGAACTGGTTGACCCCAATAAACGTAGCGCCTTCATTCGGAAGCTGTTTCTGTATGTCAGGTGCCGAAAAAATTGTTTCGAGATGCATCCACTTTCGCTGACACTCGATCCAAGCATCAAAAGTTTCTTGAAACAGAAGCAGTCGTTTATGCCACATCGCTGCTGTGTCTTTGATGGGGGCAACGAACTTTGAGTTTAGTACTGCGGTCATGTTCACTAAGGATTCTTCCAACATCGTGTAGACACTCTCAATTGAGTCGAGGATGTAGTAGTCCTTGGATTTCTTAAACGGTTTGACGTCGAACTCCAAGCGATCCCAAAGGGTGACGATTTTAGAGAGCATATCCTTTAGTTGCCGTTCCTGCGCTGCGTCTGACGCAATTCGGCTAACTTGGGGGCCAAAAGGAGCCAAGTGCATCTTCACGAGCTCTCCGAGCGTGATAACCGACGTGTTTAAGGAACCAGAGCTCGCACCTAAATGCCGGATATTGAAGCCAAGAAGCTCACGCAACTGGACAAAATGACGCTCCTCAAAACTCTGACAACACAAATCTGACAAAATCGGCATCGTAACGCGATATTCCTCCACACCTGACTTCAGATGTGTACACAAGGGCCCCATTCCCTCCGATAGTTTCTGTTCCCATTTCGTAATTTGAGCGTAAAGGCGCTCTATGTGCTCTGTAATCGAGCCATAATCTATTTTATCTGGGAACTGTTGTTTCTCCCACGAGAAAACGGCATCACTCCATTCTCGATAGGCTTTCCATAAAGCGATTTTTAAAGCCAAATCCGCCTTCAGCTCGTCCACCTCATCAAATGCAGTTGTCATGGGTAGACCAAGCGTTTTTTCATAATCAAAGTGCTGCTTCACAGCAGTTTCGAGTTGTAGGACATCCTCTTCAGTTTGCGTGAGGTAGACGATCGTATCGTTGGTATCGGACTTTAAATCGAACAAAATCGGATTTGAAAGCGCGTTGGCGACATTTGTAAGATCTGACACGAGACCTGGCAAGCGCGCCTCGAGTTCAACACTGAATTTCGCCACGTATTGGTCACAATTGTTTTCGAAAAGATCCATCGACGCTTTCAACTGGGATCTCTTTTGCGTGAGGACGAAAGAATTCACTTGGTCTGCGTCGGTCATTTTCACCCGATACTCTTCCAGTAAGTGATACAAGCTTCTAACATCGTTGTATTTTCCCTCCATGTCGTCTTGACCAATCTGCAGCTCGCGCAACAGCGCCAATGATTCTGAAAATGCTTTGACGGTTGTCGGGATTGTGCTGATTCGATCGTTTGCGACAGTATACTCGTTTGTTAGGTTGTCATTCAGCTGGTGGAGCACATTGGGAATTAGCTTGTAGAGACCATCCAAACACTTTCGTGGCGAAGGTTTGAGATACCCATTTAACCTCACTCGGTCCAGCAGTAACAGTCGGCATGGAGCACAATCAGCTACAAGATCCACCTCGTGCGCTTCTTGCAGTAATTTGTCAAGGTATCCTCGAAAGTCGTGCACATCCGTGCTCAGGTAGCGCGACGGATCTGACAGTTGCTTGCAAAACTTTCCGTTTTCTTGATACCTGTCCAGGAAAATTGCTAGCCCTCCACAGTTTTCTTCTGCGTGATCGTACGCATCCAGAACGATTGTATTCAGACTCTGTAGAGTCTCCACAAAAACACTGTCTTCCATGATCAAAATGTCCAGGTCCATTCGCTCACTAGATATTTCACCGCCATCATTATCCCCGTCCTCGCCTTGGATACTGTTCTCCATACTCGCCTCCACATAAACTTTAAACATCGAGTTGCGTATCAACCTGTCTCGGTTCGTTACAGCCGAAAGGCCGTTAAACACCATTGTTTCGAGCTGCGACCGAAGTTTTTCCTTGCTAGGAATAAACTCAAGCATCTCCATTGGTTCTTCACATGTGACTGGTATGTCTGTAAAGATATCTCCAGATACTGTGCTCATTCTTGTTCCGCGATTGCGGTCGGATGCGTCCGTTCTACTATACAGAGATGTTGTGGAAGCTTGAAGCACAACCTCGACACGCAAAAGGGGTTGGCTGGTTGAGCGAGGTATCGTAGGAAAGGTTGCGCTCCGTTTAATTTCTTCGCATCGTGAACCTTCGTCTTCTAATTCCTCATCATCGTCTAATTTACGGCTGTATATCGCCAGTGCATTCCGAAGATGCACGGTGGACGAGATGGCCATCCGCAGCATTGCATCTGAGAGCAAAAACTCCACCACCCGAAGAAACTTGGTGATGCGGCGGCACTGCGTTTTCATGGTTGCACGCTCAGTGTAAGTCATCGGCTTCGGTTCACTCGCATCATCTCGAATAGCCGTACTATTTTTCCGCTGGGCTGCAATAATTGACGATCGTGGTCTTCCATTGCCGCCTGATTTAATACTGTTGAAGCCAGTATTTTGAAGGAATGAGTACAGATACTTTTCACACGCGTGCTTTGCTGTCATTTCGGCATCCGAGACAAAGTGATCCACAAGCCGCTCAACTCGAGTCTTCTGGGCCTTCAGTCTCTGTAAGAACTCAGCTAATGTGTATGTCTTCTGTTGCTGGGCATCGGCATCCCATGGAGCGGCTTCTCCGGATGCTGTGGGGTGCTCAAAATCGAATAACCGAGCTTCTTGAAGATCAAGGCACGCGTGACGCAGCTGGAGTAGCGCTTCATGGAGATGCGGAAGCAAAATAAACAAGCTGTTATTGAGCGACATGCTCGCACCTATCCGCTTTCTGGTGCACACAACTTGCTTCCAGATTGTAAATCTCTTCCAAATGCGATACTTTCTAAAAAACGGTAGCTGTTGTGCAGATATAGGAGCAACGTTGCATTAGGACCAACGTGTACAAAACCGAATAATCAAGATACATCGTATGAGGACCGCCCTACCTTCACGAGCAGAGAGTAGATGTAGTTTTCACGCTCAAACTTCTGAAGAGGCTGAAAATCAACACCGTTAGACGAAAAGTGCGTGATTCCTAGTCGGCTTACAGTATAGTAGTTCTTTGGATTAATCTTCGCGTGTCTCGTCATCTCCAAATTGTACGGGTTCGAATCAACTCGTCGCAAGTAAAAGAAAGAGTCGCGCGGAACAGATCCGCCCGTTGTCGATGATACCATCCCTGCATCAGCTGCTGAGGCGTTGATGCCTTGAGTGAGCCCTTCTACTAACTTTTCTGTTAGTGTCCTGACTTCATCACGACGTGCCATCAGATCACCTCGTCGCGGAAGGCTCTGGTTGTTTTCGTCTAAGCCTTGAGCCCCAGGTATCCCAGCTAGAGCTGTTATTTCTTCCGTAATTCCATCACTATGAGCATATCCTCGAGTCATGACTGGTGGTCTCAGTCGACGTTTCTGTCTCATCCCTCCCGGTGCAGTGGTTGCTCGTTGCTCAACATAATATCGATCTCTTGCGCTCATCGGCTCCCCCTCCGGTTTTTCCCTCTCTATCGTAGAAATCTCCCTCGCTGTCTTTGCCCCTGCTGACATTAATAATCTCGGTCTCTGAGCCTTCGACGCTGTTGCCGATGATGACTTCGGTCGGGACGGAACCAACACCGCTCCAGTCGGATTGATATTCAGGGACGGCACCAGAGGCTTCAGCTCTAAATTGCTCTCTTCCGCGCTCTGATTGTTGCTCTGGTTACCGATCTCAAGTCGCTTTCTAGGCCGTAAGCCCTCCGACGTCTTTTGGCCCGGCACATCTGGGAACAATTGGGCTTGCACAACGCTGCGTTTGAGCCCTGATGCGTGTAATCGCTCGCTTAAAGGACGGTTTATTTCTTTATCTTCGCATACGTGTCGTTCATCACTGCTGGTGCCTCTATAAAATGCCGTCTTCATTGGTGAAGCCATTTGGGCAGTGTAAGGTCGTCTGGGAGTCGAGATGGGGAGAGATAAGCAAGGAAAAGTGGCATCGTTATGTCTCTTACCACCGAGTGTTAGTGGAGAAGGCGTGGGTGGACGCCGTCGAGCACCACGTGTACGAGGACGAGGGATACCAGGTGCCGGCGCCCCACTCGGTGCGGGCAAATCTTCCATAGCGGTGAGTGAATGTCAGAGCGGCGCTGGGTGTTGAAGTAAACGGTGCCAAAATGAGTGGGATCTTGGGTAATGTTAGTGGCAATAGAGGACGTGGTTGTTATGTGTCGAACACTAATTGGTGTTTGGAATATGTAAAGGCGTGTGCGGTGGTGCGCTCTCCCCCAAGAAACACAGTCACCAACTTACCGGAACATAAACCGCTGCGTAACTATGAGCCTCATCTCCAAGGTCGCGGGTCTGTACCAGAAGTCCATCAGCAAGTCGCTGGGCATGTACGGCCTTAAGTATGACGACGCACTCGTGGACACGGCCGCTGTGCAGACGGCGCTGCACTGGGTCAAGGGTGAGGACTACCAGGCTCGTACCAAGCGTATCGCTCGTGCCACCGACTGCTCGCTAAAGCGCAGCTACCTGCCCGAAGAAATCCAGGCTATTCAGCGCCCGCTCGACTTCTACGTGTTGGAAAAAGCCGTGGAGGCCGACAAGCTTGCCCAGGAGCGTGCCGATCTTACTCGGTGGTAAACAGTTGATAGCTCTGCGAGACTTCAGGAACCGAGAACAGTGGCAGCTACTGAAGCCGTTAGCGTCCACACACAGAAGCTGGACGGTGAACACACAGGGATGCTATCGATCTCTAAAAAGTCGAAGAATGATCAAAGGAGACTGAGAGAAACAAATTTCTCGCGGTTGATACCCTTTGTTCTACTTGCAGATCACGTGAACAAAGAATGAAAACAAAAGAAAAATGAGAAGAACCGAAGCTTTAATAAAGATCTGTGCTCTTTGGTGGGGTTCATGCTATGTTGGTGTTTGAAGGTGACGGTTCCGAGGCGAAGAGACACTTAGTGGGTGTTCATCTTTAGCAAAGAGAATTCGTATACTACTGTACAATGCTCGGCTCCTCTTCCTGGTCGACTGCAAGTACCAGGCCTCCTCGGCCTCGGCCGGTAAGTGCTAAACCAACGAGGAAGGTGCATACCGCTCGGCCAGAGATTGCTTCGCACAGTCAACAGAATAACATGGACGACGAAGAAGACGAAGAATTCGTGGAAGTCGACGATGGAGATGATGGTGACGGTGAGTTTGGTGCCGCAGCGGAGCGAGCGCACCAGCTGCAGCAGCAAGTAAAGCTACGTGTACAACCTCCGCACCCACGTCGACACTCACCTTCATCCGGTATGTAAGATTGGTTGCTCTTTTTAAAAAGGATAAATAGTATGCTGACTGTACAGAAGATGCAAAGTTCACTTTAAAGCCAAAGTTTCGGCCGTCATCGGCACCCGCAAGGAGGCCAAAGTCGGCTTCGCTTGCTCGTCATGCCCTAGACAATGACGAAAAGCTCAGACGATCTCCTGCGTCCATCTCAATCGCGTACCTGCGGGTCGCTGCCGAGAAGAAGAAGACGCGAGATCGCGAGTTTGCAGTGAGTATTACATGTATCACTTGAGCAATTGCACTATTCCAGTTGAGTTTAGCGCATGTATATCCCATTAAAACCACAGCGAGAGCTCTTCCGTGAGGAGAATGAACTCAAGAAGAAAATTTCCGTGAAAATCGAACAGGCAAACAAGATGATGACCATCATCGGCAGCTCAACATCATTCGGTCCAGCTCCAGTATGTGAATTACTGCTGAGAAGCTGACATTATAGGATTGAGAAATTCTCACACTTATTTATTTTCAGGACCGCGATGGTGTTCACATGGTCAAAGTTCTCGATCCGATGGCCGGCGACCGGGTCATCTCAGTCGAAATTTTTCATATCCTCTTCTCTCTATGCCCTCATTCTTGTATTCTTTATGCAGTCAAAGTTATGAGCTTTCCTTAACTATTTTTCTTTCTTCACTTCGCGAGTTCGAGCAGCTTGCATCCGTCCCGTTGGGTCACAACATACAGCAGCATTCCTTACACTCCAGCAATAACGCGATAAACAAACTGTCAAGAACTCCATCTTTTCGTACCAAGAGCATATTGACACGAGACAGTATCGCTCCACGAGCTGCTCGTGTGAGCATTCGACCATCCAGTGCCCAGGCAGCAATCGAAGGAATTCGTCCTCGAACCGCTAAGACCAAGCCTGCCGACCGCTCCCAAGTGCAAGAAGAGCTTCGAAGCGTGTTGGAAGGAACTATCGAACTTACGAAGGTTCTCCAAGAACAGCTCTACGAACTAAAACTCAAAGGTTGGAATGTAGCTCCGCGCTCTTAAACCGCAATCTGATAATAGCTCGAAATTCGAATTTATTCGCAATTAATTGATGTGGTCAATACTTGGTGTTAAAAATCATACGTGATGTGGCAAACATGCAGATTTTGACATACTCACGGCATGGACTCACAGGCATCAAATGCCGAGCGCACGGCTCGATACCTGCACGAGGAGAAGCTCAAGAACCAGGAAAATGGCGAGGCGGATAAGAAGATGGCGTGTCGGTGGTTCCTAGACCGTTCGTTCTACTGCGTCAGTACGTTGTTGTCGTCCATGTCGACGTTGCTGGGGTGTGTGGAGGAGAATGTCATCGCCTAACTGTGCTGTCATTTGACCCGTACCAGCGCCTGGCAATCAGATGGAGCATTTTTACCGATACGGCCAAGTGGATGAGTGCAAGTTCACGTGGAAGAATATGTATCTGTGCTACCGGGCGAGTATGATGGACGAAGAGAAGCGAGAGGACTTTCTCAAGGACACTCCTCTCGATGCATCCAACGGCCCGCAAATTACGGACGTGTGGGAGAAGAAGGAGACCCCAGGCTGGTAGAGTGGTCTACTTTTGATCTGGTTGTTCCTGTCTACAACAAGGATTTAGCAGACGGGATGCAAGTCTTGGAATTTGCACACTTGAATTTCACTCACTCACTTAACTCCATTTCCTAGCACTTGCGTTATGCTCGATAGCTGAACAGTAAGTACATACTTTTGGCTCTCTTTGGGTCCCGTTTCACCTCATTTGTGCTGTGATCTGCCTTGCCTACCGTTGAGCTTCTGCTAGCTTATTTGACTACCCCGACCCACACGACTTCACACCTTAATCTAATCCTTAAGCCATTCCTCCATGCCATGCAGGTCACCAGGTAGCGCAGACGGCAAATTCTGGTCACCGCCATGACCAATAGGCATAGGCAGCGACTCCAGCGAGGGTTCTAACAGCACATCTAACGGGTCCATAAGGTCTCCGTTCGCGCTTGAAAACGGGATCGGTTCGTTGCCAGTAGCAGCGCTGCTGTTGCTTTCGCTGTTCACTGATGTCATGGTGGCAGGAGAAATAGCCTGGTTTATGGGCGAGTTTGCGGCTCCAGGAGCACCACTAACATTGAAGCTTCGCATGGACAGCAGATCCAACTCGTTCTCAATGTTTTGCGTGAGCTGGAAGTCGAAGGCTTCAGTGGAGAGCGGCGGCAGGCCATCGAACGATTTTTTCGAGTTTATCTGCAGGTTCAAGAGTGTGTCGAGGTCTCCAGTCTCCTCGTAGTGTTCGAAAGCCTTGTGTAGCGCGGAATCATCTGACGCAATGAGTAGCATCTTAAGCGAGTCCTTCTGCTCTTTACTGATCTTGCCACTTGCTGCAAGTTTATTCACGAGCCAGAACTTGGACGACAAGCTGCGGCCACGCTTTGATTTGCGAGAGTTCCCCCGTGAGACTCCAGCAGGAGGCTGAATCTGTCCCACAGACTTAATCATGGGTTTAATCATGGGTTCAGGCGTCACCTTGGCCGCTGCATCATTTCCGGTTAGGTTCAAGCTGTCCGATGGGGTCAATCCCGTGCCAAAATCGACGGGAACATCAAAATCCAGCGTGTCCATAATGTCCAGCAGCTCGGGTGGCGGTCCTGTGGTCTCATCGAGTCGGAATCCTTCCAGAGACAGCAGATCTCCGTCTCGAATGGACCGATCCAGAGCGTTCTTCCGAATCTGTAGGAAATAAATAGCGCGCTTAGAACTGTTTTCTTATGTGTGAGTCTAATGGCGATGGTTGGTGGCTTACCACGACGCCTTTCTCGCTCTTCGACTTTGTAGGGTGTAGCAGCACTTTGCACTTGGCAAGGATGCTTGGCGCCGGGTCGTCGTCCGAGTTGGTGATGACTTGGTAGAAGTCACTCAGCACGCCTTCCCACTCAAGTGGGCGCTGCAGACACACGAGCGATGTGACGCCCGTCAGTGGATTGAGCAGCAGCACACGGATCACCTCGCCCATAATTGCGAACGTCGAGCGGCCAATTTTGTATGTGGAAGCTGTTTTGGCGTCAGGGGGAGACGGAAAAAAGCCAGCCTTCCATCGCGCGCTGATTGGCTGAAAGTGGAAATGATTACAGACCTCGTATTATGTAATCTGGAAGTCTTTTACAAATAATGAAGCTATTTTCGTTTATTGGCTACAGTCTGAAGCTGTTTAATTAAATAGTCTTCTTCAGCTGATTGTTTTGTTTTACGACTGTCGCTTATTTGAGCTGCTGTAGAGTATAATAATTGGGGGCGGTGCAGACTTGCGACCACGGTGCTCTACGCTTGTGCTTGTTGTCAAGTACAGCTTGTCATGTGGAGCAAAACAGAGTGCAGTGCTGTCGCATACTATCCGATAAGTAATGTGTATTGCGCCGCTTGTTTGGGCTCACCTTCATATCGTGTGCTGGATATTTTTGGGGGCAATCACAATTTGTGATTCACAAAGCGAAGCCATTTCGCCTTTCGTACGGGAAAGACAGGCGTCTTGAATTTAAGACGTGGGCGTTTTCCTGGTCGAAGAAATTTGGTCCGGGTCTAGTAGTCTACCGGTAGGTAAACATGGCACACGAATACGATGTCGACAATTACCAAATGTTTGGAATCTATGCTATGGATAGGGATGCTCCTGTGCAGCCCCCCCCCACCCCCCTCTCCACTGGAGAGGGGGGGGGCTAGACTCTACCCCACAAGGACAGTGGACAAATCGTTTTCTTCTGAAAAATTTGAAGCTCGAAGATTAATTGATTCGGTCTCCAAAACTCAGGGTGCTCCGAAAAGTGAATGAAATGTGCGCATCATACATAGAACTGTGCCTTCAACGCACCAATTTAGTTACCTAATAATGGCTCCAGTACCATTTTAAAAGACGTACCGCTCACTAGCTATTAATAAGTCACACATGATTGACGTTGGTGTGTGAGCTAGATAGCTTGGGAAGCGATTTGTGAGGACTCTTTATAAATAATTACTGAGAAAACAACGTATCCTGCGTCGACACCAGACAGCAGCGTTGCGATGATGCGCAACCGGTAGCCATTTGTCAAGCGTGACATCCAATGTAGTATGGGTTTTGTGGTGTCCGTTGGGTTACTGAGTACGTAAGTACGTAGTATTATTATTATAGTGAAATATGTTTTTGATAAAAAATGGCTTAGCTCTGCAAGGTGATAGTGCAGTTACTTCAGAGCCAGTGGAGCTCAGTTAAATGATCACCACTGCAGTTTATTTCGGCAGTAACAGGTTTTACTTGCAGCATCGCTGACGTCTTGGCACGGGTGTGCTCTGCGATCACTATACAACGTTATGTTATCCGATCTGGTTATAGATATTTTGGGGCTGCAATGTACGAAGGAAAGAAGAAAGCAACACGAAAAGCAGGATTGTGTGGCTATTTATCTAAGATTGCAATTTGATTTACACTACCGAAGAAACCATTTCGAATACGACGTCCAGTTTTAACCAGGTTACTTCTTACACCTTATTGGACACACGCGAGCTCATGAGGTTTTCCCGAAATTCCTTAGCGGACACCGGCCCGTTGCCTGCCTCCAAACGCGGCTTCACGCGGTACATAAAATATAGAGCTCCCACAGCAAAGTATTCGATGGCAACAAGCACAGATGCCAGCAATACGTAGCTGGACGTACCGCTGTAGATGATCGAAACCAGCGAGAAGATACTGAGGATGATGCAAATCACAGCACCGGGAATGCCGAACGGGCTTCTGTACGGACGTGGGCGCTCCGGTTCCCAGATGCGTAACATGATGAAGGCTGTAAGTTGGAACATGTACGACACGATGGCTCCGATAAGCGAGAGGTTGATCATCACCGATCCAAGCTTCGCGTCGCCGATAGCGTAGTGTAGCACAATCGCCAGCACCAGGGCAATGATACTTCCCGTAATCAATGCAACATGAGTCGTTCCGCGCGTCGGGTGCAGCTTCGTCAGCATTTGCGGTAGATATCCGTCGCAGGCGATAGCGTACAGCAGTTTTCTCATACAGAAGACGAACGAGTGGAAACTCGAGATTAAACCAATGAGGAGAAGCCAGGAGCAGCCGGAGGTGGTGCTGTTGTCTCCGAAGATGGTCTGGTATCCAGTAAGGAGCGGCGAAGTGTTGACGTACATTTCATCAGCTCCAGGGTCGATCATGGAGCTGAAGATGACGGTGCAGAACGAAATCACAATGAGCGAAATAATCGAGGCGATGAGACCACGCGGCATGTTTTTTGTAGGCTCGATGGTCTCGTCGATAGCCAGAGGAAGCTCTTCAATACCCAGGTAAAACCACAGTGTGAAGGACGCACCTTCAAGAATACCATCCCAGCCGTTGTAATTCCAGTCGCGGTCGACTACCCACTTTTGGTAGTCGATCACCGTGGCAGCTCCGATGTAGAACACGGCCAGTAGGACCACCGAGACAATCAGGGGTGCTCATAATGTAATTATTAAAACAATTAATTGAGATTTTTAAATTTAATTATTAATTGGTAGTACAAAATTTAATTTTAAAAGTTTCCCCAATTTTTACAGTAGCAGACACAGTAAAAATATTGTTTTTTACTGTGCTACTCACCTCAAGCATTGACAACCAGTAGTTTTAAAACCGAGAAGGAAGCTAACAAGACGCTGAATCCATTCATCCACGCATACTAGCACATTAGTCATTCTGCAATTTACCATGCCCCTCGAAACTCGCATTCTTGTCCGCACTCTCACGACCCAGGAGACGCCTGGGTTGTACAGCTGTAACAGCTGCTCCAAGGCGATCAAGTCCGTTAACGGCTACACTAATGTGATTAACCATCTCAAGCGCTACCACCCTACCTACGCAACCGACGCCGAAGCTGCACTTCGGACACAGAACCTTTTGTCGCTGCGTCTTGTTGATCAAGCCACCACCGATATGTTTCGTTGGATTGAGTGGACGGTGATGGATAGTCTACCCCTAACGTTTTGTGAGCGGGAAATGGTTCGTCAAAACGCCAAGCTTCCTCGCACTTGCGCCAGAACGCTAAAGCTGTATCTGGATGGAATGGTGCTCGCCGTTGTGCCGTCCATCGTTAAGGTTTTGCCTACGCGGTTTGGTATCGTCCTGGACGGATGGACAAGTGGTGGACGACACTTTATTGCGATCTACGCTGTTTTCGATGATAAGGACAGTATTGAAGTCCCCCGAAAGAGTGACTACCAAGATGACCTGGAGTGCCACTCACGCCAGTTTATTTTGCTGGCGTTTAGCCCAATGGAGGATGAGGGTGATTTAAGCGCTCAAAGTCTGTTTGACTTGATCGCGGACACCTTGAGCCGCTACAAGCAGCCATGGGAGTCGGTAGCCTTCATGGTTGGTGACAATTGCAGTGTAAATCAGTGTATTGGCCGTCGGGTTGGAGCTATCCCGCTAATCGGGTGCGCTAGCCATCGTTTTGCACTGGCAGTGAAGGACTTCATGAAGCAAGACGAAGGACTAATTGATAAAGTCCACAACCTGATGAAGAAGCTAATTACGATCAAGGGAAGAGCGCTGCTGCGCTCCCACACGAGTCTTTCGCCTGTTATGCGCAATGATACACGCTGGTCAAGTACGTACGAGATGCTGCGACGCTGCACGAAACTGGAACCGGTGTTGCGCTCACTAGATGACGAAACCGTTGCTGCTTCGGAATTGGAGCCGCTTTTGTTAAGACGCTCGGAAAACATTCGCGTCATTTCACTACTTGCTGATTTGACCAACTTTGAGTCGGTTACTAAGACTCTTCAAGGTACAAGTTTGACGCTATCCGCCGCTCGGCGCCTTTTCGACAACGCTATTTCCAAATACCCGGAAATGAAACCCCGACTGTCCCCAACCGCCGCAATCGTCAATTATCCTGCACTCGAATCCGGTCTGGTCAAGATCCAGCGAGGTCAATCTCTCACGCCGCCTGAGCGAGCTGCCTGTGCGGCGTTTCGTGTCACCAGCAGCCCTGATAAAGATGAAGCTGAAGAGAGCCCTGAAGGTCCGTCATTTGCAGCTCAAGCGCTCAAGAGGCTCAAGACGAGTGCGTATGTCGACGTCGGGTACGTACCGCCTACATCGAATGAGTGCAAGAGACTTTTTTCACGTGCAAAGCTTATATTTAGTGACGTGAGGAAGACTATGGATCGCGTCACTCTGGAGACGCTAGTCTTCCTGCACTGCAACCGTTCACTGTGGAGTGTGTACACTGTAGAAGAAGTTCGAGCTACAATCCGCCGCAATTCTGGCAATTCTGGCAATTAACTCAATAATTCATTCTTGATGTTTTCAGGTCAAGATTAATCTAACATTTTAATTTTCACAGCCCTGGAGACAATCGTCACGAATACTTGGACACGGAAAGTCATCTCGACACCGACGACATTGAGTGTCACGAAGATGATGTAGCATGCGATCCACCAGATCGGACCGTAATCTTCTCCGACACCAATGAGCACAGCGAAGTACGAGGCGATTCCTGTGGCGGCAACGGCCGTCGTAACGACAGCTTTAAGGCATTCGGCAATACCAGCGAGGAACGCAGCCGTCTTGCCAATACCGTGCAGTGCGAACACGTACGGGCCGCCCCCGTGGGGAACTGTTGCCGACAGTTCCGCAATGGAGAACGACAGCAGCACATATTGCACCGTCACGATGGAGAGCAGGATCAAAAGACCATCAAAGCCAGCGACCAGCGACGACTGCCAGCCGTAGAAGTTACCGCTAATGACGGTACCCACACCCAAAGCCCAGAGGTGCGGCACCTTGGCATAGCGGTGAGTGCTCTCGCCTTCGATGATGGGGCCGTTGATACTCAGGTTCGAGATGCGATTCATCTAATAAGGCTTCTGGGAACGAGTTGGTCGGAGTTAGATCGTTGCGGGGCGTAGTAAATTGCAAAGTGAGCGATCGATAGAGGGGTCATTTTTCCGTCGAAAGACCCGACTTCCTGATCTACGCCTCCTTCATGGCAGACCTGGCACAGCGGCAGGACATTGCACAGCTGGGTGCTCTCGAGAGCGCAAAAAGCGCAATGTGCGAGCGTACGCGGCTCCAAGGGCAACGAGTACAACGTGAGTTCAAGGACCTCGTACGGTTCGGCCAGCGCACACGGTCATTGGTTGTCAGTGACAATGTCACGGGTGCGTCGGCAATTTCGGATTGGCTGCCAAGCTGGCAGTCCGAGCGGCGGGATCACCAAATGAGGATTAAAAATCTTAGCTAGGGCAAAGGAGGTGACCTGCAGGCTTTTGCAGCGGATGCCTTCAGTGATCACCGTAATGGAGGCGGCAGTAACAATTGCTCTCGAGCAGTTTGCTTGAAGGGGTGAGCCTGTCTCAATCCCCGTCTTTGGACTCTATTTCGCTGACCGCTCGGTCAGCACAAAGTTTGTAACCGTGCAACAACTCGCCGGGCTTCGATACGCTGCCGATGGGTCGAAGATCTGCATCTACATTCGTGAAAATGTATCCCCATTCGCTACGCTGTTTTTAGTGGCTGTTCCCGACACCGGCATGAAATGGAAGTGAAAAGTACAGTGCTGCACCCCGTTTTCGCGCCCTTGGACCTTCGATAAACTTCTGGATGTGATGATCCTGAATCCAAATGAACTTATCTTTGTAAGCTAAAATCTGGTTTATTTGCAAAGCTATATGGTCCACCCCCGCGAAAACGGGGTGCAGTACTGTACATGTATGATCGCTCGGAGCCGGGCGTCGACTCGAGGCCTCCTGAAACATACGGCATGCGGACGGGGATGCTCTGTAAGCACAGCTTTGCCGCGCGACCGCTGCGTGTACAGTACTGTATCAATAGCAAGGATGTTCTTTGGCGTCCACGAAAGGTGGCAGCATTTTGGAACTTCCAATATGCTTCCAATTTGGAAGTGACCGGCAATGACGAGCATCTTGCACCACTGCCATCACAGTTGCTAGTACAGCACTGTAGCAGCACGAGATATAAATCTCGACTTGTGAATCGCAAGGTGCCCAAGATTGCCGAACTGTCGTAACGTCAAACTTCAGTTTGATGCCTGAGCAGGGCCGACACTGAAGGACCGGCTGTAAGTCATCTATAATCCATTTGTTGCTGAGCGACGAAAGGATGTCCACACCACCACCTTCGAGCATGATCGAAATCGAGGACACTACATGTATCCCAAAATGTTCATGATTCGACGACTGACATTCCTAAACCACTCCGCGGTGATGAGTATCGACGCAGCAAATATCGTCCCGGCCTTGACTCAAGGCCGGGACACAGCTCTTAAGGCTTGACTCAAGCCTTCTGGTTGAACAGCTCTCAAGCCTTTAGTGCTGTTCAACCAGAAGCTCAATGTGCGAGCGTACAGAGCGGTCAAGCAAAACTACATTAGTTGAGCAAGAATGAACCAACGTGGACGGGGCGCAGCAACCATTTTGGAAACTGTGTGTACATGTAGTCTTCCAAGTTGGAGCTTCAATTTGTCTGTGTCGATCCTATTGGATGATCACTTCAACTAAGGCCCGCAAAACATTTCACAACTTTATTGCAATTTAAAAAAATCTCTACTCGCCACGTACTTTCAAAGCACAGGCTTTTCAAACCTTGGACGAAGTGTTGCTCAACAGATTTTCACGGAGTTTCGGCGTAGGAGCCGCGTCGATGCGTGGCTTCACCCGCATGAAGAAGTACACCGCGCCGATGCCAAAGTACAGAATTGCCACAATGATGGACGCCAGGAACTCGTAGCTCGATGTTCCGCTGTAGATAATCGACACCATGCCGGCAACGCACAATGCCATTGAGAATAAGCAAACAGCAACGAAGTACAGAGCAAAAGAGCGTCATTCGTTTTGACGGGGGGAACGTCTGGGTTCGCAGTGGGCTTCCCAGTGTTAAAAAATTGCTGAGGTTTTCAGGAGAGATCATTTTTGCTACGGTCTTACAAGATGTGAAAATAGTTCTTTAAAAGCTGCTGTCTGTGCCGTGAAAAACGCTTTTGACCAATTACATCTATGTAATAGCAGTCTGACAAATTTTAGATCTCGCAGAAGGTGAAAATAAATAAAACAAGGTGTGTAGAAAAAAGTTCATTAAGAAATAAAAGATACTAATTTTCAGTTGGTGGCGCCTTCATTTTTTTTAAGTGTCTCCTGGCCCTTTCTAGATACCAAAGGGTCGCAAGGCAATGAGGTTGGAAGCACTCCGTTGCGAATGTGGTGCTTCGAAACTCGGGGGGTTGTATGTATTGTCTCCCCCACACGCAATGACAGATTCTATAATAGTATTTATTGTGCTGTCACAAAGCACTTATCTATCGTCTTACTTGGAAGATCACAGTAAGCTTTTTCAACTTCCGCAATTAAAACATCGACCTTGTACGTTGGTGTTCGGTATTGAACCGACTGTAGCGAATTAAACAGACCCAAGTCGAGTACGTTCATATCGGGTGACTTCGCTGGCTGGTATTTGATAGCGATGTTGACAACATCAACATTTGTTGTGCCTGCCGTTAGAGCGATCAGACGGCAGCACATCATGCTTATCTGCACAGCTGACACGTATTATGTAGCTGCCAGCCACAAATTAGAAAATAGCAAATCTCTATGGCAGTCGTTATATCACCCGAATGGCAACATGCTTTAGGATTTGCACACACCCGAGTGCGCCCGAATGTGTCCGAGCTACCCGAATGGGGGCATTCGATGTATACATGCGAATCATGTATAGCTGGATAAATAGTTCAGTGAAGTGTAGCCAAGTTCAATGACATCCCAGGCAGTGTCAGAGTAAAATGCATCAGAAATGTAAAGTCTCATATTATGCCGAAGAAACTTACACAGACATACAGAGGTACCGGTATCGTAGAAGCTGCAACCTTTGCTTGTTCACATATCCCACGTCAGAAGCTCCCGTAAAGGCTTCGAATGCCAAGAGAACGTAAATGCCACAATTGTAGTTGTCGGTCTGGATACCAATGCTCGATACGTACGACTGGTGATGATACCTATCCTTCGGTATCGGTAGGACCCCCACCAATTTGTGCGCGATAGCTCGGACGCTGGCCGCATAGGATGATGACATCGGGTCGTAAGTGTATATGCTTTCGGTCGATAGGTCGATCATGATAGCGCACCAATGATTTCCATTACAATTGATAGGAACGAGCACCTTTTCGTCCGAAACCCCGGCGAAAAGAGACGCAAGGCCCTCCATGTCTGTAGTATTTTTCCCGTTGACAACTACACCGACGTGGCTCGAATCAATGGTGACCACCCCTGGTGTGGACGCAAACATCACGTTCATCACCGCATACATGCACTCGTCCCCGAGTGACCCTCTGGCAGCAAGGTCTAGTAGATGTATCTGTGCTCCAATGTTAGTCTTACTAGCCTTATTTCGAGGTAGTACAGTGACAAGATGACGTACCGAGTCAGAGCGAATCTGTAGCTGCTTAAGCTTGTTTGGTATCTCATGGTCTGCTTCAATAGTGTAGTCCGGGCTAAGCGGCTGGGTGAAGTCGATTCGGCTGATCCAGTTCAGCGTTTTGTCAATAGAGTCGAAGATTGTAATTGCGTGATGCCAACCTTTCATCATTCGTAATGTCGTTGTTGAGAACACACCCAGACTAATAATCTCGACCGATACGTCTCTCTCCGATAATCCAGACGTTTTGCGTTGAAGCGCGGAAACCTTCGCGTCACACTTTCTGAGTATGTCTTTGGAAAGCACTCGAGTCAGCAAACTTGAGTCTGTCAGCGTCTTGCCTGCAGGGAGTTTGCTCGTCTGTCGGGCCACTGGGGGTTTAGGCTTAGTCCCAAATGTATACACTTGTAGTCGTCGAGCAAGTTCAGCGGAGGATGAATAGGTAGCGTTCGTGGAAAGGCTTTCGTGAACGGACCGCAAGCTTATTTGCAAGTCAAACAGCGTTGAATCTGCCTCTACACTCCGAATCAGCCTGTTTCGGTTTGCTTTCTTTGCTTTTGGCGTGACTTTAGGTCCCCCTCGGTGACGCACTGGACTCGCAATTTCGAACTCCACATCTCTGTCTTCAATATCAACTGTAGATAATCTGGATGTAGTCGCCTATTGATCTCCTTCACTGGCTTGAGCTACTGATGGTGTTTCATTGACTGGTTTTGATAGTGCAGAAATGCTATGTTCGGGCGCAATCGGGCTCGGTTCAGGCACAGTTGGTCTCATATTAACCGCGGTTGTAGGTGCCACAGCCTCTCTCAGATACTTCAACACGTGAAACTGACAGAGCAGTATAGAGGCATCCGGAAACGCTGCCCTGAGTACCGACAACTCCGTAAAGTCTTTGTCGATAAGTATGCTTTGGACTCGAGTCCATGCCGGATTGTTCTGCTTAAACTCCTCGATTGCAGTGACGAGAGTGTGACGACGTTCATTCTGCAGAAGGGCGTGCTGAACAAACTGTCCGTGGCCGAAAACATCGTGCGCCATGAACGAAAATACCTTGTACTTAGAAGCATTGGTGCAGAAGGTTTGGCGGTTGACGACATGATTGTGTACGGGGTTACACTTTGTGATACAAACTGCAAACGCGTGCTTGGCTTTGTCAGCTAGTCGGACGCAGGCGTTGATCTATGCCAGATTTATTAACGTTAGTACCGATAATTGAGACAATAGTACCCGCAATGCCCGAACAAACCCGAACGAACCCGAGCAGAAGTAAAACTTGAAGCCGTATCTTACCTGGGCTTTGCAGTCCGATAACCGGGTCTCTTGACGTGGGCGCTTGCTGTTTCCCTTCGACTTGTACTTGCCGAAGCAAGTACAGACTAACGTCTTCGCGTAGTATTTCCATTCGGACGGGATTTCAGGTGCTTTAGAGTTCTTGTTTCGGATGTCTGTGTTACGACGCTCAACGGTCGTGTTTGTACGAACACGGAAGACCTTCATAGCACACAATGGGATCAGCAAAGAAGCCTATTGCAGTGTAAATCCACTTTACCTGGTAAGATGCGGCAAAATACCGGTCTAAATACGAGTGGAAAGCGTCCCACGATGTGAAGTGGTGCTTGTCGGGCACAGCCAGCGTTACATTGATAGACTCAGAGTCGTCGGTGTTGGTCCAGTCGCTGGAGCGGCTGCTGTTGTCGCCAGATTCCATCGAGAGCGATTAGTCGACCAATTCCTTTTCGCTGGACTCGACCGAGACGTTGGATGCGTCATCATCGCTTCGTGACACTGATCCACGACGTTTTTGAGACGTCCGCGCCCTTAGCTCCATCTACAACGTTTGCGCCGATCGATTCTTGCCCTGTGCACCCAGTCGGCTCGGCAGCACGCGCAGATTCGTGGCGATCGTCCAGCAGTATTCAGACGAAAAATGTGTGGTCGCCCCCCTTTACTATACGGTATACTTTGTCCGGAAAGGGGTATTTATCTGAGGAGGTTTAGGGTCGACTCGACTCAGATTTGGCAGATTTTCATTCGGGCAAATGAATCACTCTCAATCTCTATTCTTAGTCTAATAATAGCCAATGATATCATGTAATTTTCTGCGGTAGATGGAACAGAGTGGTACTTGCAAAGCACAGGCTGTTCAAACCTTGGACGAAGTGTTGCTCAACAGATTTTCACGGAGTTTCGGCGTAGGAGCCGCGTCGATGCGTGGCTTCACCCGCATGAAGAAGTACACCGCGCCGATGCCAAAGTACAGAATTGCCACAATGATGGACGCCAGGAACTCGTAGCTCGATGTTCCGCTGTAGATAATCGACACCATGCCGGCAACGCACAATGCCATTGAGACTAAGGCGCCAGGGACTCCGAAAGGGCTACAGTAAGGGCGCGGTCGGTTCGGCTCCTTTAAACGGAGGCTGATGAACGAGGTCAGTTGGAAGCTGTACGAAATCACGGCGCCAATCAGCGCGAGGTTGATCATCACAGACCCGAGACGGGTGTCACCGATAATAAAGTGCAACAGCAGTACGACAGTGAAGCCTATGGAGCTACCAGCGATCAATGAGACATACATCGTGCCTCGAGTAGGGTGTAGCCTCGTCAGGATCTGGGGCAGATAGCCATCACGAGCAATAGCGTAGAGCAGTTGACCCATACAGAAGACGAATGAGTGGAAACTGGCAATGAGACCGAGAATGAGCATCCAAGAGAAACCAGACGTAGTGCTATTGTCACCAAACACGCTTTGGTAGCCAGTGAGAAGGGGAGACGAGCTGCTGTATATTTCCTCGGCACCCGGAGAGATCATCGAGTTGAAAGTAACAGTGCAGAATGCCAGACACGCCAGCGTGGAGATTGACGTGACAAGTCCGATCGGCATGTTGCGTTCCGGGTTGACGGTCACCTCAATAGCAAGAGGAAGCTCCTCGATGCCGAGGTAGAACCAGAGAGCGAAAGAATAGCCTTTGACGGCGCCATCCCAGCCTTCTGGATATTTCCAGCCCACGTTTGACACCCACTCGGTGTACGATACTTTGGTCGCTGCGCCAACGTAAAATACCAGTAGAATCAATACCGACACGACCGTCGTGAAGGCCTGGACACGGAACGTCATCTCGACGCCCACGATGTTGAGCGACACGAAGAGCACATAGAAGATGAGCCACCAGATTGGACCGTAGTCCGAGCTCAGACTCAGTAGCTGGTTCATGTACGAGCTGATGCCAGTGACCACCACCGCGCAGGTGATGACGACCTTGAGGCTCTCGGCCAGGCCCGCGAAGAAGGCGGCGCGTGGGCCGATGGCATGCAGTGCGAAGACGTAGGGACCACCACCCGACGGTACCGTCGTGGACAGTTCGGCGATAGAGAAGGCCAGCAGCACGTAGAGCACCGTGACGAAGGACAGGATGATGAGCAGTCCGTCAAAACCCGCTACGAGGCCCGATTGCCAGCCGAAAAAGTCGCCGCTGACGACGGCGCCCACGCCCAGCGCCCAGAGATGAGGTGCTTTAGCGTAGCGTCGGGACTCCGAGGCATCGTTCACGCTCTCCGACATGGCGCTTGGACAGTATGTCGACAGATGAAGAATGGCCAACATAACCTCTTCAATTGCGGCTTTCCGCTGATACAATTAGATGTGTAGAGAGGTGTACGGATGCCATCCGTCCTAAGAACCGTTTGACAGCTTCAACTTAACTGGAATCGGAATCTCTTGGTCACACGTCATTGGATTTTTGATGTCTCTAAACACTACCATTGGATGAAATGTGCTGCTCACAGCTCCAGTTCGTTACGAAACAGACGGAATCTGGATGGGGGGTCGCGTAATGGAGCGTGCTAATGCGAACACTAGCGAGATGCTCTTTCGTGTCCGGCTCTTTGATTCGCCAAAACCTTCAAAATGAATCCTCTTCTGATTGAACAAAAAGGGAGAGGGAAACCTCAGCATCCCCACTTGACGATCTTCCTGCAGCTCCATCCTTCCCCCATCTACACTGCCCCGCAATGACGCCTCTGGACTACCGCTGGGCGCACGCCGTCAACTCCAATGCCTTGTTGACGTCGGTGCAGCGTCAGATCCAGCTGGCGGAGCAGCGTCACTTCGCCACTTCAGACTTTGACAATGCTATCGAGGCCGACATCATCTGGAGCGAGGTCAAGGAGATTCCCGTCATGGGCCACCCACCTGCCACCGACGGCGACTTATCCGTTGCACAATTCTTGGATGTCATGTTGGAGCTCACTGCAAAGTTCCAGAGCTCGATGCCAAGTAATGAGACCCCGTTGATCGTGAAGCTCGACTTCAAGAGCAGTCGTGCGTTCGAGGCGTCGTTAGCAAAGCTGGCCAAGTTCGTGACGCAGTTCCCGTTTAGCAAGGGCATTTTCATCAATGCCGACATATTGCCGGGTCCTGCGAACTCGAACTTCGTGGCTTTTGACGCAGAAACGTTTTTGAAACAGGTCAATGACCTTAGCGAGTGTGACGATGGAAAACACCGTCACAAACTCGTGCTTTCAGTCGGGTGGACGACGGCGAACTCCAATGAGGAAGAGATCCATCGCGAATACTCTTCAGCTATGGTTAACAATATGTTGCGGGTCTTAAAACCATACGGAGATAGCATAAGTGTGACGTTCCCACTGCGCGCGACAAGTGTGCGCAAGTCGTGGCCAGCGTTGCGCGCGTTACTTGCGCCGAAAAACTATGGCTTAACGCTTTGGTGGGCAATCACTCAGATGTCCAATGATGAACTAGAATGGTTGTTTTCAACACTGGAGCTTGAGACTCACGAGGATGTCACCGGTGTTGTAACATACGCTGGACGAACCTTTTACGACATCAAGGGCTTCGACAGCTTTTGGGGCAGGAGGGGATACTCAAAGCTTCCGAATTGAGAGACTACATGTCGAAATATGTACAAATCGCATGAAGCTCGCAAGTTTAGCTCTTGGATACCGACAAATGCTTTGGCTGTTTTCTTGCTTAGAATTTTCTACTGCATTACACCTGCAACTCAAGCATTTCAAAATCACCAAGACTGATCCTACGCTCGCACGGAGGTTCCTTTGCGCTTGATAGTAAAATAAACCCCACTGCCCGACGTCACGGCGTCGTGTGCATGCAGCTTGGAGTTGTGGCCGACAACGCGTTCTTCGGTAGAATTGTCTTTCAGCGCACGCATCTTCGTCTGCACACGTCGAATTGCATAGCGCAGTTCTGCCGTGCTCACCCACTGCAACAACGTCCGATTCTCCATCACGCAGCCACACATTTCCTTGGTGTGTCGAAGACATGACAATCGACTGGGGTTGCACGAGCAGATCACACCCGAGAAGAAAACGTTGTGCCTGCATCGAAAACATTGCCGCACGTCATCCACCTCCATCGACTGCTCGTCCAGCATGACGTCGCCACTCAACTCCTCGACGTTCTCCAATCCGTCAGCGAGAAAAGCTTTCTTGTAGTCGCGTTCTTCGTGGAACAAGCGTCGCAGCTCCTTCAACAGCAACTCACAGTCGGTGAGCGAGTACTCGTCGAGGTTTTGAGTCGACCCGAAGTGGAACACGAACCGATCGTGCGAAAAGATCGAAACGCGACTGTACTTACGGTACATCTCGACACATTCCCGGCCATAGTCGATCCAGTTGGGGAGAACAAAGTTCACTGCCTCGTTGCAGTTGAAACCTTCGCTGAAGCCGCAGTGATAGGCCTTGGGGAAGGTCAGAATGATGTCTCCGGGTTGCTGGACGACAGTAAACACCTTGACACCCCGACCATGCAAGACAGACGGTGGGATCATGGTAGTCAGGTGAAGCAGCAGGTCCGGATTCTCTCGGAAACGCTCGGGTACTTGCGTTCTCATTGCGGCTTCGAACTTCTCGGCATCTGAGGACGGAATTCCGTACCATCGCTTCTTGGCACCTAGGTGCTGGTAATTGATGCTGGACATGAAGTTGTCTTCCGCGTGCCAGCAAAAAGACGCGAACAGCATCCCGCAATAGAGCCACGGTACGTTGACACCGTTGATTGCAGCGCCCAAGTGACGGAGAAGTGAGCCGTACGCGTCCGGCAGGTTGTTCAGATTCCATCCCGTATTGCGGTAGTATTCGGGGTCTGCGAAATCAATCGCTTCCTCTCCTGTGTTCCATAAAACGCAATTATCAGGTGCTGTGAGACTAAGACAAAAGGCTCGTTCGACGCACCTTTCGTTGCCTGAGATGCATAGCGCTTCTTTGAGCGAAGAAATCCACTGCCGACCTGAGAGATGTCAAGATCGTTGGCATATTCCACCTGCAGAGTACAAAAGAAATGTGACCAATCAGCTCCTTGAAACCATCTTCACAGTAATTAACTTGCGGTCACCTGGACACTGGGCTCTCCGGTCTGGATAATCCGCCAGTATTCCTGCTCGATTTCCTCGGACGTCATCGAGTCGGGGTCCAATCCTCTTGACATGAACCAGTTATCTCGAAATGCGTCCGCATCGGCGCGAAACGACTTGAACGTATGCGTTCGTCCGTCGCCGTAAGCATGTCCTTCCTGCAAGTGACAAAGAAACAATTTATTTTTCATTAGATCGAGGTATCAATTTAAGTTAATAAAAACTAACTCCACCGACCTGCAGCTCGTGAATTTTCTGCTTCCTTGTGTCAAACTGCACCCCGTCGTTCTCCAGGTCAATAGCAAACGGTGGATTCCAACCACGCGGTGGCACAATCTTGCAGATACCAGTTCGAGAGGCTTCTTTTTCGATACTGCAAAAACAAGCAAATATCTCAAAAATCCAAACGAAAATATTGTAAAATTTGCAAAAGCGCACCTCGAGATGTACTTGATGGGGTCGGCGAACTGCTCCATGGTCGGGTAGAACACGGCACCTTGCGGCAATGCCGTCGCCCGCACCATCTTGGTGTCCACAACGGACTTGGCCAGCGCTAGCTTCAACATCTTCCTGGCCTCGGGCGAATCTGAGTCCGTGTCTGATTCCATGGTTGCACGCTTTTTTTTGTAACGCCCGCTGCTCCGAGATGTACCGGTGGGACTGGTACCACTGACGGCTGAACGCTGACTTTCAGCTTGTCGGCGCAGTAGAGCTCCTGGAGAAGAGACCGAGTCGCGACTACCGAGCGAAGTCGACGCTGCCTGCGCGCGAACTTGCGTGAAGTGACCGTGGACCGAGTGATTTACCATGGTATCGGATAAAATGATGGCAAAAACGAATCGGCAGCGACTGCGAGCCGCTGGTGGAGTCTCGCTTGACAGTAGCAAAATGCCGGCAGAGGTCGAAATGCTGGAAAAACGGCCACATCCGCGACAAGAACTTGGGAAAGAAACACATTTGACGGGGTTTGCAAAGATTTTCGTCCAATCGTCAACGAGTTTTAATTAAATCGGTGCCCCCAGTTCGGCCTCCCATATTGGCACCAGACTGAAAATGCAACCTGCAATTGCCAATCCGCAACTCGCCGTTACCGTGGCGGAGGATGCGGCAATCGTGGCCATGGCTGCGACCAACAGCAACGAACTGGCTGCAAATACGAACAAGCCGGACGCCGACATGGATCCCAAAAAGAAGCGTAGGAAGATATTGCGCGCAGCGGAGAGCTCCGTGCAACAACAACGCGCAAGCGTGAAACTCAAATCTGGCGCCGATATGACGCTGCAGGTGCGGCAACACTTTGAGAACCGCACGCAAGCCAAGGAGTACATTCAGGATTTTGCACTGGCACAGGGGAAGCGAGCGAAACTGGACCCTAAGACAAGTGGTGGCAAAAACTTCACTTTCGTCTGCAACAGCCAGACGCCGTGCAACTTCGTGGTGCGTGTGTGCAAGTACAAAACCTCACACTTTCCGGGTCATTTCTATGTGAGTTCATTCAACGTCGATCACGGATCCGAATGCACGGGAATGGAGTCGGTGACCACCCGCCAAGTGGTGAATCACATCATGAATGCCAATGCAGCGCTAAGCGGGGTGCCAAAGTTGTCAGGGCCGAGTGTCCGTGCTATCGTCCAGGCGCAAGACGGCATCACTGTGCCTTCTCGCATGGCATATCGAGCGAAGCAAGAGATCACAGGCAACATAATGAAAGACGTCGCTATGGGTATCCAGAAGCTCGAGTCGTTGTTGCTTCAGTTCCAGCAACTCAACCCGTCAACAAAGCTCAACGTTGAGGTCGATCAGTGGTCACATGAGTTTAAACGGGCGTTCTTGATGCTGCCACATGCGCTACTGATACAGCGTAATAGCCTGCGGATCCTGGGTCTTGATGGACTCAATATGGTCCATACAAGCAACTACCAAGGCATGTTCTTGGAGCTTGTGACCAAAGATGGGAATAACGACGTGTGCACGCTCGCCGTTGCTCTTTGTGACAGCAAAAGCGTCGACAACTACATGTGGTTTTTCCAGGGTTGTCTCGACGGAGGGTTATCTCTGGACGTGCCAATGTTTTGCGATCGATCGCCAGCGTTATTGCGCGCTGCTGCGTCGTTTTCCGGTGCTTCGCCCATCTTGATTCAGTGCACTGCGCACCTTATCAGTGCAATGGAGGACACCTTCAAGACGACTTTTGAACGAGATTTGCATCAGTTCGTGTGGCGGGCACAGGCGGCCGACACGCGAGAAGAGTTTGACTCTTTTATTAACTCTCTTAGTCTGGCGAACTCGCGTGCGGCTGAGTATCTTCGCTCCATGGATCCAAATACCTGGGCGAAGCACTGTTTCCTCAAGCGCCATGCTCTCTACGGATGGCAGACGACGAGCTTGGCCGAGTCGGAGAATCCGTCTGTCAAAGTGACTCGGATGTTGCCTCCCTTTGACTTTTTCCAGGGGTATATGGAGCGCAGTATGGGCGATCTCTACCAGCGCAAGATCAATGGTAAGAACTGGCTACAAGCCGGTCGCATTCTCACGTCGTATGCGGCGAAAATCCTCGAGCAGCAGCAACTGGAGGCTGCTGCGTGTTGCGTGTCTCCCAGTGATGGCGACACTGGTATTGCGTACGTCTGGGACGCTCGAAATGCTGCTGTTAAGAAACGCCGAGTGAATTTGAGTACCAAATCGTGTTCGTGTCCGTACCGTGATCAGTATGGACTACCGTGCAAACACCTGTACGCTGCTGCCATCTTTTTCAATAAGGGTGGGGGGTCGTGGGATCTCACGCAGCTCTGCCATCCCGTTTACACGGTGGTCAGCTATACGCAGGCGTATGGCCCATTGGTGGAACCAGTGCAGATCCCCGTGGACGAGGAGCTGGTACGCAACAACACCATTCAGATGAAATCGACGGGTACGAAGCGATGCTCAGTGTGCAAGACGCTTGGCCACAACAAACGGAAGTGCACAGCGTTACAAGTATGATTCGTTAGGTGGTGCGACGTTTGTACTTAATTCTTTTGATTATCTCGCCATTCCAGCGCAACTTACTTATCATGTGCAACTAAAAAAGTTTGCCGTGTTTTGCCACTTAAACCTCATAGGATTTCCTGGTTCAACATACGTTGTTTTTTGTAGCATTTGGTCGTTTATCTTGACATTTGTAAGCTTGACGGTTCACAGGTGGTTTGCCTTTTGACCAATCGTTGCGCGTAGTTTTGACGGTCTTCGATCTTTTTCGTCGAAGATAACGCTTCGGAGCATATTGAGCATCAGTCAAAGATTTGGCAGTTGGCGACAACGCGAGGGGCTCACATCGAGATCCACTGAGTTGAGCGCAGCAGACCTGCGGACGGACCCAGCAACCATGATGCAAAGCCTGCAGCATCTAAGCAGCTACAACAGCAACAGCGAGTTCGAGCCGCCGCAACTGGACCCTCCGACGCGTAAAGAGCGCAAGCCTGTGTGCAAGTGGACGGAGAAGGAAGATCTCTTGATGCTCAAGCTCGTGCAGAAGTACGGCACGCGTCACTGGACTATCATCGGCACTAAACTGCCTGGCCGTAATGGCAAGCAATGCCGCGAAAGGTTTGGCGCGAAGTGATATCAGAAATAATACCCATTGGAATTGAAAACTAACTGAAGCGCTCTTCAGGTGGCACAACCAGCTTGACCCCGCAATTCGCAAAGAGCCTTGGACACCCGAGGAGGAGCGCATCCTAAAGGAATTGCACGACAAGTTCGGCAACAAGTGGGCGGAGATCGCCAAGATGTTGCCGGGCAGGACAGACAACGCCATAAAGAACCACTGGAACTCAAGCAAACGTCGTCTCAAGCGCGGCTTCACTCCGACGTCCACCTCGCAACGCAAACGCCGTGATAGCTCCGGCTCGGACAGCTCTTCCAGCAGGGAAATTTCAGAGATACCGTCGCCTGTGTTAGGTGGAGTCAACGACGTCTATCCACTCAGCACACTGCTCACGGACCAAGTCGACTTTGCAAGTCTGTACCCGAACAATTACCTTCAATCTCCTCTTGCCATTCAAACAGCGCAACTCGGTAGTCCACAGATCTCTCTGTGTTGGACCCCAACGGACGCGACGTACAACCGACTGAACGCCATGTGGAACATCCCCGCGATGCCTAATTGGGTTTCTTCTGGCTTCAGCAACCCTCTGAACAAAGCTACGACGATTGAGCCGAGTAGAACTAAACTGGCGTCTGACCGAGCCCCCGCCATGAACGGCAAACGTATTTTGGACGACACGATTGATGTTAGCAAGATACAGTCGCCGCTTACGAAGAAAGTGAAGAAAGACGACCCATCCCTGGAGATCCTGGCCAACGCGGCACTACTGCAGTCGATAGGCCACACGGTGTAGCTGCTTGCAGACCGATGCGTTTCTTATTTGTACGTGGCTTGCAACAGCAAGCTACCCTTCTATTATTCGTGGGCATTGATATTTAGTAAGTAAAGCATCTCTTTCGCGTTGCATCTGTTGCATTTGATTGGCAAGTTCATCTGATAACTCGTATACGCTTTTGCAGTTCTTTATCCGGATTTGACCTGGATTACAAATTTCAGCGTTGAGACGCATTTCTTTGTATCACTATACACAGTCTACATGTCTTTGGTTCCTCTTACAAAAGGGAATACAAAATTCTGAAAATTTTGCGGGTGGTGCGTCGCAATTTTAGGCCTCACACTCGCCCTTCCTCCCCACCGCACAGAAGATGTTCGGCCAGATCGTCAAGCAGACCGCCAACAAGATGACTGTGGCCGGCCGCCGCGGCATCTCGGCCTCGGCCAAGCGCATGTCCGCCGAGGGCGAGCACCACCAGCACCTGGTGTTCGAGGGTGACTTCCCTAAGGGCCTCGTGCTGGGCCTGACCCTGTTTGTGACCGCGGGCGGCATTGGTGTTCCCGTGATCCTGTACCGCTACCAGAACTGGAAGCACGGATTCCCGCAGCAGTAAGCCGAACAAGCAGAAGAAACAGTACAGAACGAGATGGAAGCTAGCATCAGACGTCGAGTTGCCGCTGAGCTGAAGAAAGTATTTTGTTTGCTTTCTATTTCGAGTTTCTCTACTTTTTCTCTTACTCAGAATATGAAATAAGAGAGGGACAAGAATAGCAGACAAGAAAAATGGACAGATTAAACATGGTTTTTGGTGTTGTGCGTGAGGCCACGAAACTTTACTGTAGTGAGCTACCGAGGCAGGTTAAGCCACGGTTTTGGTCTTTATCCACCCACATCTTACAGCTCCTGTTTCTTGCTCTTATCGTCACCGTACAGGTGCTGGAAGAAGTCCATTTTTTCAACGTGGTTGGTCTTAATGGTCTCACCTCCAGGCTTCCAGTTGGCAGGACACACCTCGTGAGGGTGTGACGCAGCATACTGGAAGGCCTTGAGGATACGTAGCGTTTCGTCGACACTGCGTCCGACCGCGTCATCGTTGATCTGGATGGAGCGGATTGTGCCTTCCGGGTCGATAACAAACAGTCCTCGAAGTGCAGCACCGAACATCTCGTCCTCTTCGTCCGTGACCAGCACGCCGTAGTCCTCGGAGATGCGCTTACTGATGTCGGCAATGAGTGGGATGTTCATCTTGCCCAAGCCTCCTTCACTACGGGGAGTCTTGACCCAGGCTAAGTGCGTGTGGTGCGAGTCTGTGGAGATAGCCACAACTTCGGCATTGATGCTGCGGAATTGGTCCACGCTGTCACTGAAGCTCACGATCTCAGTGGGACACACAAAAGTGAAGTCGAAGGGGTAGAAGAACAAGATGAGCCACTTGCCCCTGTAGTCGCTAAGCGACAACTTCTCGAACTTCTCGTTGATCACGGCGTTTACGTTGCTAAAGGTCGGCGCTGGCTTGCGAGGCGTTACCTTAAAAGCTGACGCGGAGTAGCGGTTCTTCTTCTGGTAGCCTAGCTGTTCCAGAAGCGCCTCCGACACATGGGGGAACTGCACCTCCACACTTAAGCGAGATCATTAGATTGCAAGTCTTTAATTGCCTTATATAGGGAGTTTTCCTCACCTTTTCTTGCTGTTTGAGGGGGATTCCGCACTGATGACGGAGGTGGAGAGCTGAAGTAGGACTGCAATGAGCAGCAGCGCCAACTGAAAGGCACGCATACGCAGCATAGAGGCCTGAACACAGCTCGGGAGGCAAGCGAAATGGGGCGTAGCCGCTGTGGTTGCGACGCGTTTTTCAGTTCAATGACAATAAATCGGTTCGGTGGTGTTGCGTGTGGTTCAAAATGCTGACACCGACCGGATCGTGTATTGAAATTCATGTGGCATTAGCCTCTGACGTGTCTTCGCTCTCCTGTGATGGTGAGTGCACAGCATAGACACTGGGATTAGCTCTGAACAATTAAGAAGGCTGCGAGCACTGTCGGTACGTAGACACTGCATGGTAATCAAAAGCTGCAACTTTCCCACCGCCTTTGACGAGTGCCATTCCTGAAGTTTCCGTTTATAGGCACAGAATGGGAACGTTTCGCGTGTTATGCTTGCACGGTTTCGGCCAGGACGCTCTCAAGTTTCGCAACCGCATCTCGTCGCTCCGACGAGCACTCAAGTCCAGCTTTGATTTTGGTACGTGGCGCACAGCATTACATTGAAATTTGGCGCATTCTAACTTTGATTTCTCTGTGCTCGTCAGTGTTCCCGGAAGCTCCATTCCTGGTGACCAGCTTTCCAAATTCAACACCAGAGGAGCAGGCCAAAATGTACGATGGGATGTGCTGAAGCATTTGAGAGCGTGTCATACTGATGGATATTTCGATCATCTCGACTGTTAATTTAGTGCTGAAGCGGAGCCGACGTATAAGTGGTGGGACTTCGAGATCGATGAGGAGTCAGGCAAGCACACGTATGGACGCGTGGACGAGGCTGATTACCTTGCGGAGTTTGTGCGTAAGGAAGGCCCTTTTGACGGCATCTTCGGCTTCAGCCAGGGTGGCATGACGGCCAATCTGCTCTTACAGCGGCAGTGTAAGTCTCGTGTTTTTGTATTTATTTTGTACAGTTGCTTGGATGCTGACAGGCGAAAAATGCCATTTTACTTGTAGGTGCTGACCCAAACAACTCGCCGTTCTCGTTCAAATTCGCTTTGTTCTTCGCTTCCTGTGACCTTGGGGATCCGGTGCCATCAATACACTTCATGGGAGAGACCGACGCAATCGTTTCGATGGCAGAGGCCAAAAATTGCTCGAGTTATATAACAACCCAAAGGTTTTCGTGCACCCTGGAGGTCACTTTATCCCGACCAACAAGGAGGCAAAAGATGCGCTGCGAGAATTTGCCCAAGAAATGGCTGCAGCTCACGGCGCAAAGTAGAGATTTTAACAATAGAAAAAGAAGAAAAATACCATAATACGTATTCAAAAGGTATCGCGTCAACTGCTCTGGCAAACGAATATCCCTTTATTAGAACAGTCCAATCGCTGTGACACCCGATGTATACAGTATGTCATTATTCCAAGCAGACGCCACTGACGTCACATCATTCTTCGTGTCCTCCGTTGCGGCCATGAACAAGTTTCGCGTCTTGTGTCTTCATGGCTACCGCCAAGACGCTCTGAAGCTGCGTGGCCGCATTGCCGCCTTGCGTCGGACGTTCAAGTCCAGCGTTGAGTTCGGTTCGTGGAGACTTGATACTTATGTCAACTCCGGATCTAAGTGTGTTTGTTGTTCTATCCTTTGTGACTGCGCTGTAGTGTGTCTGGATGCTCCGTTCGAAGTGCCGTATGAACCCACAGCGGAAGAACACGCCAACAAGTACAAAGGACTCATCAGTCTCTCGTGTGGCTTAAAGTGGACTGACGTGGATTTTGTTTACTGTGATAGTGGCGAGACTGGCGAGAACGTAAAGCAACTGAAGTGGTGCGACTTCACTCGCGACGAAGAGACCGGCCAGTATCTCTTGTCGCGGGTGGAAGAAGCGATTGAGTACATTGCCAATTTTGTCACGAAAGAGGGACCGTTCGACGGCATCTTCGGGTTCAGCCAGGGAGGTTCCATGGCGTCGATGATCTTGCAGAGACAAGGTATGAAATGTGATATTATTTTGGTCGGTGCATGCTCGTATGAATGCTGAGATCGCTGTGACTGTGTACATGTGATCAGTGAGCACTTCCGAGTCGCCCTTCGCGTTTCGCTTCTCCATCTTCGTGTCGGCTGGCGCTATTGGAGATCCAAAGTACATGAGCGATGTGAAGGTAGACATGCCGTCATTGCACGTCATCGGCGAGACGGACGCCGTCGTGGATAACGAGAGGAGTCTCGCACTTAAAGATATCTTTGTAAACCCCACGGTTTTTATGCATCCCGGCGGCCACTACATCCCCACGAATAAAGAGCCGAAGGACGCATTCCGAGCTTTTTTCAAAGAGCTACAAGAAGCTGACGAAGCACAGTAAACACTTGACATGCTGCAATTTAGAGAATGAAGCCAAACCGTTCGCAACTGTATCCATCTTGAGTTTGATGTGGTCCACGTTTTTGCTTGTCAATCATTGCGATCTTCCAACAAAAGGTCATTAGTGTATCCATGCCATCATTGCGAGTGCTCCTCGCTGCATTCATCTGTTTATGGGGCTTTTATCGACCCACTCAAGCCGGTACAGTACTAGTCGTGACTCCTGAGAATGAGGCGTCTCTCACACTCGCTGCTGAGCTCTATCACGCGGCGCAAGAGTCGGATCAGACTCACGACAAGGAGAGACTTCTTCGACAAAGTATCGACGTGTATCCAGAGATTGCAGCAGCTTACAACAACTTGGCTATGCTAATTTTCGGGCGAAATGAACGAGATGAAGCTCTGCAGCTGCTGGAACGAGGTCTACAAGCCGCTGAAGCCACCCAAGACTGGGAAAATGTGGCCAACATCCACAACAATATCGGGTTTATCGCTCGAGAACGCGGCAAATGGAGCGTTGCGTACTCGTTAGAAGCTCTCGGCCACTTTGAGGAGGCGTTGGAAATTGATCCGGAGTTTGTGGGGGCCTTATACAACAAAGCTTCGGTGTTGTTGGCTCTCCGTAGAGACATGGAGTCGAAGGAGATGCTTTTAAAGGTGCTGGAGCTTGAGCCGGATGATCGACAGGCTCACCTGGATCTGGGTAGGATTTACTTTGAACATGGAGATCTGGAGAAGGCGTTGGAGCATGAAGATTACGTCATTAACATGGCTACAACGTCCAAAGAAAAACTGCAGGGAATGCACAACAAAGGAGTGTTTCTGAAGGAGTACGACTTGCTCTCTCGTGCTCTTAAAGTGTACGAGGAGATGCTGTTAATCGACACAGTGGAGACCTATGTGCTCGTCGATATGATGAACGCGAAGCGGTCGTTCTGTGACTGGGAGGGCATGGAGAAGCTCGAGAATCAGGTGCTGGCTGCTGCTCAACGCCAGTTCGAGCTTGAGATCTCTCAGGAACAGGCCGTTTTCCTGCCATTCGACTCCACGCTAGTCAAAGTTTCCGACGCTTTCCGCAGAAATTTGGCAATTCGAGCGTCTAAAATCTACGAACAGCCGAGTACACTAGAGCTACTTCCGTTATCTTGGAGTGTTAATGAGCCGTCCTGGGATCGTCCTACGACTCGTCAACGCTTGAAGATTGGGTATTTGAGCTTCGATTTCCGTGATCATCCCATGGGACACCTCACTTTGGGGCTCATTGAGCAGCATGCGGCATTGGCGAGTGGTGTAGACACAATTTGCTACTCGTACGGACCCAATTCCGAAGCCTCCGCACCGTGGCGTCGCCAATTCGAAGACAAATGTGGCGTTTTCCGGGACTTGTTGGGCATGTCGGACCTCCAGGCTGCGCAGACGATCGGCCTCGATGGAATTGATGTGTTGGTGGATCTGATGGCGCACACGAAAGGTGCCAGACTGGGGATTCCGTCGCTTCGACCGAGTCGGATTGTTGTCAATTATCTAGGATATCCGGGAACAATGGGCTCGAGCTTCACGGATTTCGCAATGGTGGATAAACTCGTCCTCCCGCCTGAAGTAGCAGCAGCAAGTATGACGGAACAAGTTGTGTATCTCCCATTCACGTACCAAGCGAATCGCTATGAGCCCTGGATCTCTGCATGTGGCGATGTGGACTGTCAACGAGCGAACAGGTCGCAGCATGGCTTACCCACCGATGGCTTGGTCTTCTGCAATTTCAATACAATTAACAAGATGGAGAGTGAGTCGTTCGCAGTCTGGATGAGTATTCTGAGGCAGATTCCCAACAGTGTGCTCTGGCTACTCGCCCCATCCGGTCCAGATGCGCTTCGTGTGATGGAAAAGCTGCATGACCAAGCAATGGCGCATGGCGTTCTCCCGTCGAGAGTGATCTTCGCTCCACGAGTGGATAAATATTCCCATCTTGCACGGATTACAGTGGCTGATATCTTCTTGGACTCTTTCGTTTACAACGCTCACTCGACTGCGGCAGATGCGCTGTGGGCGAATGTTCCCATTGTTACGTTGTGGGGAGACACCTTCCCGTCTCGAGTTGCTGCGTCGCTGATACGGAACGCCATTCCGTACCCAGAATTGGTATCACAGAGTGTTAAAGACTACGAACGAATGGCAGTTTACCTGGCTAGAACACCGAAAGTGTTACGTCGTATTCGCAACGCCCTGGCAGCCAACACACTGACCTCACCGCTGTTTAATACCAAGCAAACCACAGAAAGCATAGAGACTGCGTACGAAGTGATGCACGACGTGGTGAATCGCTTGCATTCTTTAAGTAACAACGAGAGAAAGTTACGCTTCCAACTGATAATTCAACCGGAACGCGCGGCGGACTCATTCGGGAGCGTGGAAAGCATCCATTCTCGTGTGAATGAAGTGATTCAGCAAGGGATTTCTCTCCAAGAACGAGGAGACTACACTGGCGCTGAGAATGTCTACTTACGCGTACTACGTGCGAGTCCCGGGAATGCGGACGCTGTTCATTTATTGGGCACTATTCACTTCCAGAATGAGCGGTTTATGCTGGCTATCGAGTATATTACGCGTGCCGTGGCAATAAATCCACATGTGACGTGGTATCACTCCAATCTGGCACTATGTTACATGGCGATGGACCAATTCGAGACTGCAAAAGAAGCGTTTGATACAGCTTTGCAACTCGATGCGTCCAATCACATGGCTGTATCGAAGCTTGGTGAGATTTACGCCAGTCAGAAAGCGCTCGACAAGGTAGTTAACCTCTACGCGACGTACGGAGAAGCTGCGTATTCCTTCTCAGGACAACCAACAAGTGCCAGGCAAGACGAGATGCGACAAGCCTACATGGACTACTCCAATGCATTAGACAAGACTGGGCAGTCTCTGGAGGCCACTCAACTGCTACAAGCAGCAGTAGAGCAGCATCCCGACATCTTTCAACTCCGTTACAGCCTCGGCGTACTGTACAACAAGCTGGAGAAATATGACGAGGGCAATCAGCAACAATTCGACGCTGTGGTTGCTCAAGCTCGCTATCTTTTCGAGACTCAAGGGCGACATTTCATAAAAATTCCTCGTCCCGACCACAAAGTGGTGATCGCTTTTTACTGCCACGAGTACGACCAATCGTGGTGGGGGCAGTGGGGGCCTTCTTCCCTAAAAACAGGTCTGGGTGGGTCGGAAGAAGCAGTCGTGTTCCTGTCTCGTGAGCTTCAGAAACTCGGCTACTGGGTGGAAGTCTACGGTGATCCGTCGACGCAAGATATCTCGACTTTAGACGACGCAGACGAAGATAAAGCTCGCTGGTATCCTCACTATACGTACGATGTTGACGACAAAGGCGTCGACATTTTCGTGGCTTGGAGATATCATATTTCTATGGCTATGGGACGAGCTGCTCGCAAAAAATTCATGTGGATGCACGACCTTCCTCAAGAAGATGCGAGACGCTCAACTGAGTTGCTCAACAATGCTGACGGGATCTTCTGTGTCAGTGAGTTTCATGCCTCTGCGTTCCCTGAAACTCTCCGGTCAAAACTTACAGTCAGTACCAACGCAGTCGATCGCTCCTTCTTCGTCCACGGACCAAACCACGCAGATCGATTCGTCTACGGCAGCTCACCCAGTCGAGGGCTGCACACTCTACTGAAGGCGTGGCCACGTATCCGAGAGAAGATTCCGACGGCTGAACTGTCTGTATTTTATGGCTTTACACCTGCATTTATGAAGTGGGGGGACTCTCACATGGCCAACTTTACCGACTGGATGAGCGAGATGAATCAACTACTTAGTGAGACGCCAGGTGTGCGCTTTGTGGGTCTCGTTAACCATGCGCAACTGGCGAAAGAATACTCGAACGCGGGGTTCTACCTGTACCCGACGACTTTTTCAGAGACGAGCTGCATTTCCCTCATGAAAGCCATGACGAACGGCGCCATCCCAATCACCAGTCGCTTCTCTGTCTCCGCGTTACCTGAGACGGTCGACGACTTTGATCTTGGGCCACGAGCTCTGCAACAACGCAACATTGGTACATTCAGGTCTCGTTGTTGCTTTAAAAACTTTTTTTTAACTGTTATGCACATGCTAGACGACGATCCGGAATGGCTGGAGCTCTGGATACAAAGCATTGTCGATGCTGTACACAACGAGCAGCAGGCAACAACAGTCCGTCATCGTATGAAGCGCTTCGCTCGGAAGAAATATCGCTGGGAGAATATTGCATTGCAGTGGCATCGCGTGGTCTCCAAACCGAAATTTCCGTAAATAATGGTGTCACGTCTTTCATCTTTTGTGTATTTTTCGCTTTTACCCATCTGTCCCTTACAGATTCAGAGTCGCCCGGCATTTCTTGCAATACCAGTCGTCGGCAGGAACAGCATCAAGCTTGGCGCATTTCTAATAGCAAAGAAAAACACTAAATTAGCAATACTCGATGAAAAATACGAACACAAAAGACGTACCAGGTGGAAAACGCGGTCGCAGCCCTTGGTGCCGTCCTCGGAGCCGCAGATCACGTGCGAGTCCAGTCGAATCCGGTTCTTCTTACAGGCCCCACACGTCTGCAGATTACACTCGTTGCAGAACCATTCCGTCTCTGGAATTTTCTCCAGTCCGATGCAAGTAACATGGAAGGCACGAGGACATCCGTCGCAGCAGAGCAGCTCTCCTCCCAGGCCACAGACACTGCAGTCGACATCCCATTGGTCGTCCGGATTCTTCGGTCCCGTGTGGTTCTCCACGTGCGCTGGTCGCACTGGAGAAGATTTCCTTGATGGCAGACGATGCGACGACGTGGCAGACACAGCTGAATCCGAGTCTGCGCCGCTCTCCGAGTCGGAATCCCCCGACTTTGTCTTGGCTTGCTTGCGACGTCGACCTCGTGACGTTGGCGACTGGGAGCGTCTCGGCCGCTTGGCTGCTGCTTTGCCGTTCTTCTTGGCAGGGAGCACTGGATTCACTGATGTATCGCACTCGTGACAGAAGATCTTGCCACGAGGGACGCGACGCAGACCAATGCACGAGTAGTGGAAGACATGAGGACATCCGTCGCAACACACGAGCTCGCCGCCTTCGCTGCAGATATAGCAGTCCTCTTCCCACTCGTCCACCGACTCGCGCGTCCGACCGGCATCGTCGGCTTCTTCGTCCTGTTTCTTCTTCTTGACTGCGCGTTCCTTGCGCGATCGCTTCTCCTTCTCACTCTTCGCACGCGTCTTCATGGCATCTTCAGCCGACACATTCAGAAAGCCCAGCACCTCCAGACGATGCATCAGTGAGGCCAACGCAGTGGCCAAAACAGCGACAGTCTTGCCGCGTTTCACACTCTGAATCCAGCGCTCCCGACAATACTTGGAGGGCCACAACCTCGTCCCATCATCCACCAGAGCGTCCATCGTCTCCTCTTCTTCGTCGTCGTCCTCTTCGTCGCTCTTGTCGTCGACTTCCTCGCTCGTACTACTCGCACTCTTCACATCCGTTTGAGGAGTACTCGACGCTGCCGCAGTGTCCGGTTTCAGCTTCGTTTGAGCCGCCATCAGCTCGGTTTCTAACGCCAACAACAAACCACAAAAGTCCTCCATCTTGTCAACATCTTGCACTGATTTCCTCCACCTCCAATTCCGCCGTTTCAGGGCGATCAGGCCACGTCGAGCCAAGCGTACGAAGACACTTGCAGATCCAGTCCTGACCCTTGAGCAGATCTTCGCGAAAGGACTCGACACTGGGCTCTGCATGCTCAACAGCTTTACGCTTCGAGTGTTTGCCGTTCTTCCACTGTAGAAACGCCGTTTCCTCGTCAGCCGACGCACGTGGCGGCCGCTTCTTGGCACTCTCCTCGTTCAAGAGATCGGAAATCAGCAAACCAGGCTTCGACACGGGCATCTCGCTCGAGAGTTCGTCCATGTGGTCATTCAGCGCTGATCGCAGCTGCGCCTCGCGAGAGATACGCCCATCTAGCGCCTGCAACAGCGAGTTCACCTCCGTCTGCGACGAATAGCAGTACCACGTGGCAGTGCTGTCGTCCTCCGGGATCAACGAGTCTCTCGGAGATCCGCTCTTCGCCAGAGACTCGTACTTGCGCTTCAACGTGCTCGGGAGGCCTGGTACCTCCACATACAGTCGCTGTAAATCTCCTCGCAGGATCCAGTACCGTAACTGGTCTCGATCTCGTCCGAGAGGCTCCGACCGTACGAAAGCCTGGAGAAGCAGAGCGTTAAACTTGCGCTTCTTGTGCATCACTTCTTCTTCGCGAGCTGCGTCCGCTTCGAGAATCTCCAGAACGTGCGTGGCAGACACGATAATCCGCTCCGGAAGGCCACACTCCTTGCCCTTTTCGATGGCACTTTGCAGCAGAGTGGCGTCTTTGGACGTCAAGCCATCGGTGATGCCGTTCTTGGCTTGACTGCGCTTACGCTCGATCTGTTCCTGTCGCTGCAGCTTGCGTTGCTTCACTTCCATCTTCTGTCGAAGACGCTCCCGCTGCTTGTCGAGTTTCTTCTTGCGCGCAATGTATTCGTGTCGAGAGATAAAGTCCTGCAGCTGCAGATTCTCCAGCTCGTCCTCGTTCCTCGTCAGAGCTTCTTCGCTATACGCAAGATCGTCCAAGTCCGAGTCGCTAGCAGAGCCAGTGTCGCCATCAAAGTCGCTCTTGGTCTCCTCCGTACCCAGCCACGACTTGATCGACGTCTTGCTGGGCTCCACAATGCTCGTGAGTTCGGCTCGCTGCTTCTCGCGCAGTTTCTTCTCGTCTTCCAGCGTCACTTTCTTGTCCAGCAGCACAGCGCGATTGTATTCCTTCGTGCCCTGGAGCATGTCGTTGAGATGTTTGCCCAACAGGTTTCGGACCTTTTCCGTGCCCACCAGACGACCGACCAGGAACTGCAGTAGCGCCAGTTTGTGCTGCACTTGTAATGCCGGGTAGTCGACGTCCTGTAGAGCTCTAAATGCCGCCAAGAAGGTCGACGTCGCGTGTGCTGTGTAGCGAGGCACAGCCGCAATCAAGCTGCAGAGAATCGATGGCCACGTGAGCGACGTCAGCATCGAGCGGGTCGGCACGCCTACAGTCAACGGCGCGTGCTGGATCTCGTAGCGATAGCGCTCGCTGTCGTCGATGGAGTTTTCGTCATCCGATACGTAGTCGTCGTCCTCTCTGTCCGCTAGGATCTTCTCCAGTAAGCACATGTGGATCTCTGTCAGCATAGCAGAGTACTTTGAGTGGCTTAGAGCGCGACTGAACTGGTCCACGGATACGTCCGAGAGCTCCAGGATGTCGCGGAAGGCGTAGATGCAGTCCCACACAGCCAGCAGCTTCCCAACGCATTGCGTCGGGATATCTGCAAAGTCACACGGCGTCGGCCTGTATAAAAGCAAGCGTTAGAAAGATATACCTCCGAAGTATACGTATACTCCAGGACGTACGTTGGTTTGTCCGGACGCGACGTGTCTTCGATCACTTCACGCGGGATTTCGTCCACTCCGCGTCTCTTCTTGTTGTGGAACGACTCCTCCTTCCTTCTGAGCGCTGCGTCCTCTTTCTCCAGCTTCTCCACTTTGTCTTTCGCTGCACGCACAGTCTTGCCGAGATCTTCTGCCAGTCTGCCGAGTTTCTCCTCCTCCTTGTCTTTGTACTTGACTTTTTTGCGACTGAGGATGCGGTCCTGCATCTCCAACACGCGCTTGGCCTTGTGCTCGATCGCCTCCACCGACTTCTTGGCCAGCAGCTCCTCCCTCATCTGCTCAGCCATGCGACGTCGAGCGTCACGCTCCAGTTTCTCCGTCTCGCGCATCACACGCGCCTTCTCCTTCGACTCTTTCTTCAATCGACGTCGGTCCAAGCATTCGCTAAAATATTTATTCAATAAATAAATAATTTATAGCAAAAAAAAAAACACTGGAGAGCGGTTTTAAACACGTACGAGCACATTTTGCAGTACCACTCGCTATCTGGAATCATATCTTCACTCATTCCCAAACTAAAAATAATAAAATAAAAAATAATTAGCAACTGATAAAAATAAATAATTGCCAATGCAACACGTACCAATTCATGTGGAACGCTCGGGGACAGCGATCGCAACACAGCAACTCTCCTCCGTCCTTGCAAATGTTGCAGTACCATCGATTATGATCCGCCCAGCCGTCGTCTCCCGTGTCGTTGCCGTCCTCGTCGGCTGAGTGGATGGGCGTGTCGATGGCTGTAGTTGCCACACTCTCTGCGTCTTCTTCGCTGTTGTTACACAGCTCCACGACACTCAGCATGTGGGCGGGTCGGGCGTGGAGTCCGTCCATGTCGCTGTTTGTGGCGTATATCTGGTCGTTCACACCCTGATATGTGGCATGTCCAGACGGAGTAAGTTTGTGCTCGGTCTTTTTGCGTGGCTTCTTGCCTCGCGCTTTGGGTTTCCCGGTATCTCGGCTGGAATAGACCGAAGACTGGATGAAGCGAGCCTTGCCGGTGTATTTAGACTTGCTCGAATAGGGAGGCGGAGATCCCGGCGGTGGAGGTGGCGGAGGCATCATCATGAAGCCAGCCGAGTCCAGGTCGCTGTCTTCGTCACTCATGTTTATCTGGAAATGGGTCATTGCCATCATGTAGGTTAGTGAAAATGGGTTCCTTTTTTCAAGTTAAACGGCAAAGTTTGCCACGTACGTTGATGCGGGTGCAGTGGGTGCTATGAGGACGGAAAGGAGCGAAACAAGACTTCAGGCGACGAACTAGCCACGTTTACGCCCGCCAAGAAGAGATGAGGGCGTGGACTAGCGCTTTTTCCTTCTGTTGCCGCACTGCCACGGCGAAAGTGGCGGGTCGCTCGCTCGATTGGAATTGAGCCTCGAGTTGAGCGCTATGCCATCGGGTCAAACCATGATTCTCACATTTCATACACAGCTTTTCCTCATTCCCTACAACAAACTAACTATGATACTCTACAAACTTATACGTGACGCATAAAACATCCAGTTTATTTGCCTTCCGCCATTTTTGGCAAAACGCCACGTCCACACCCCCACCCGATAGCCAGCCAATCTTTTCTTCTCCCCCCTTACGTAGGTTCCTCCTCACTTCCACATCCAATTGCAATCAGATTCACTGCCACATCCAACGGGATCGTAAAACGTTGACGGCAAGCATGGAACACATTTTCGCAAACCGAAAGCGAAACAATGGAAAACTTCAACTAAGTTATCGGAATGGCAACATCATAAAGCAGTCGCAAACTAGCAGTAAAAAGCTGCCAACAATGGAATTGTGAATTTTATCGACGCATAGATAACGACAATCTAGCTGCTGGACGCTTCAACAGTCAACGCATCCTCAACTAACAGCCTCGACTGAATGCATAAGCTGCTTTCCATTGTCGATACACGCTGCAACGGCTTCGTGGTGATGATGCATTTCGATTGTCTTCGCTCTTCATTTTACCCACTACGACGGCATGAGTACGATATATCGCCACCATTGAGGCTGTGGTAGTGTGCAATGGTGATGAGGGATTGCAGAGGAAAATAAAAAGTTGCTCTAATTTCTTTAACAGGAAAGACTTACCATTGGTAGTGATGGGCACTCAGCTATGAGTTTCCTATTGAGTGCGCTCGGAGATAAGTGCTATTACTTCATCTTTATTAATTAATTCATGCGTGAATATGTGATCTCAGCCAATAACCATGCTGCCCTGTAGGTTGGTTGTCCTGGGGTAGCTTGCCGCTCCAGCCAACTAACAATCCCAGCATGCCCAGTACTTAGCAACTGACTGGCGTGTGAGTTTGCGTAACATATATTCAGCTCAGCAAAATGCGAAGAAATTTTACCAGGAAATACTCTTAGCTGCAGCAAGTATCACCGCAATTGACCTGGTAGACACCGCAGTCTCCGCGATACGCGTATGGAGCAATACGCATGCGAATCATTCCCCCAAAACTAAACAGGTATTCGGAATCTAGCGAAGATCTTTTACCCCAGGGAGGATCGGTTCCAGCGTTAGCGACACCACTTGATGTGTGCAGCATTATAGAGCGTTGCGCTTCACTGTTTGAGCAAGGCGCGCTACGCTCGAGTAGCATTGTAGTCCTCACACAGGCAGAAAGCAGTAGGAATGGCGATTTCTGAGCCTTCAAAGATCCATTTTTACCAGTTCGCGGCGTGTTTTGCATCCAGTTAGTACCACAGCGGCGAAGTAAATCAGGAGATGAACGGTGAGGAGTGCAACACAGCACGGAACGCGAGTTTGCGAGGCCGTGGTGAGGTCGCGAACTGAAACTCCTTCTGCTTGTGGAAACAGGTTAAGTTATGGCTACCATTGTCCAAAACTAAGTCCCATAAATAGTGCATCTGGGGTAAATGAAGCCACAAATAAGGTGATGTAGGTTATTGTGTTATGGTGCACGCATTGATGTGCATGTAGCATACTGTATGCATCGGTATTAATTCAGCTTAGGTATTTGGTAGCTGTAACAACTTGAAAGTGTTTGTGTGCTTGCATGAGATTACTGTACCTACTCTCGGCTCAACTCTGGGTCGTCAATGAGATTGTCGATGTCATCGTCGTCAATTGCAGGCGAGACAATCCCCACTCCCTCCTCCACTTTTTCTTCCTCTCGTCGCTCAGCCTCTCGTCTGTCGTCGTGCAGCTGAGATGACTTAGCATCCTCGTGTGACAAAGCCGCTTCCTCACCTCTCTTTCTTTCATCACCAGGATCGTTGCCACCGTGTTGGTCATCACTCTCGTCAGCTTGACTCCCGTAGCTGGATCGAATCGAGAGAAGCTCACGATGAAGCAGCATTTCTTCTAACGCCGGTGGAGGAAGTTTCTCCTCGTACTCATCCTGCTGCACTAACTCGGTCTCATTGGCCCTAGTCACAGGCGAACGTCCCTCAGCTATCGTAGGCAGCTCCTCGTCAAACTCTTCTTCGATTTCCTCGGGGATTGTCGGTTGCAGTGCAGTCGCAGTCGTAGCCTCTTGTTCATGTTTCTCTTGAGCTAGTCGCGTGAAGCCAAGGAACAAACGTTGCCTCATAGCTTCGGTTTTGGCCTCCAAGACTAGTTGTTTACCGTCGCTACAGCGGATGGATACACAAAGAGCTTCACGCTCAGGTGTCGACCTAGCCATGACGTTAGCACTACCGTGGACTCCTTTCTGAACACTTTCGATGAGCTCAGTTTTAAGGCTGCTCTTTCGTGTTTGCCGCTTGATCGCCGCGATCGAGTTCCAAAACACAACCTGCATGTCGGCAGTGATGTACAATTTGCGCGAAGCCACACGGCCACTTTTCTGACAGAGTTTCTTCAAGGCAAGACCGTCAAGAAGCTCGCGGACGAACTCAAGGTATTCGTACACCTGCATTTCGTCGTCCTCCAAGTTTTCATAAGACACGTCTTCCCGTGCCAAGGTCACACGTCTCTCTGCCCGAACGGCCATAGATTGACGATGTGATGCAGCACGCACAAAATCCTCCTTGGTTTCTACCACGCTAGCGCCTGAATTTCCACGAGAGCGACGACCGATGGACTCAGCTTTGACAGAGCTCGCATCGCTACCGAGTCGTGCACTGCGTTGTTGTATCCTCCCCGCAGACGGTGGCGACGGTGGTGGTACCGATACGAAGATACTGGAGCGACTCGAAGGACGACTAGTTGGTTTAGCAGCCCTATATTCCACAGCAGCTGGTCTCACAACCTGGCTTGGAGCTTGCTGTGGTGGAGGAGGCTTCATCTCAAGCTCATCTGTAGCGTCAGTGACGATTATCTGAGGAGATGATGATGGCTCACTCGTAGGTATTGCAATACTCTCGTACGTCTTGGCAGTCGCAGCCGATGCAGCCAATTGCTGCGTCATATCCGCATGGAAGCGATAGCGCATATCAGCGTCAGGACTCGGAGCATCCGCGAAAATCCTGTTCAGAGTCCTCATCAGCCAGGACGAGACTTGTTGCCACACACTCTCTTTCTCAGCTAATTGCTCTTCTGGGTTCTTCTCCACACGCTTCACTTTCTTCTTCTTCTTTTTGGCAGACCCAAACCATAACACAAAAGGTGCCTCCATCTTCTCGTTACTCGCGAAGCGCACTGGAATCACCGACAAGAGCAAAACCCCGCCCACCACAAACAACACATACACTCCCAGCAGCAACATCCACGTCGGCGCTACATCGAAGTGCGTCCCGTACGCATTGCGGTACGTGTGGGCTACAGGCGGCTTCTCCCCAGGCTGCAGATTCGCCGCCACAGTCTGCATCGCCGTCATAAACGTCCTTTCAAGCTCCGATAAATATGTACACCACATTAATTCGTACTTAACGTCATTCCCCCTCTTATCCCAGTCCATAATAAGCATGTACGGCCCGAGTCGTAAGCGCTCGTTCGATGACAACGACCGCGAGGGTGGCTACAAGCGCTCGCGCGTGGATGACCGCTATGGAGGCTCCAGGCGCTTCGACCGACGTGACCGTGACCGCTTCAACGAGAGCGATCGCGCACGTGCGTGGCGTCTGGCCAAGAAGGCAGTCGTGGAGCTCGGAGACGGTGTAGAGCGCGAGCAGCTCTCACGTACCAGCGATCTGCTTCTGCGCGAGCTAGAGCCGGATGCTCAAGACGTGAAGCTTGGTCATTTGGCCACGCTGGTGCTCCGTGGCGCCTCGCGTCTGGCTCACAAGACGGCGCTGTATGCGACGCTCGTGGGTCTCGTAAATGCTCGCAAACCCGCATTTGGACGCGAAATCGTGGCCGGAGCTACGCGCTCGCTGCAGAGAGATGTGGATTTCCTCAGTCTTGAGAACGTTGAAGAGTCTGACACGCCCGACACGGACGTACTGCGTCGGGATGGAGATGTGAATGGAGTCGCCACGAGAGTGAGACTTACAGTGAGACTATTGGCCGGATTGGTGGCTGCTAAAGTGTGCAAGGCCGAGGATGTGCTGGCTATGCTGGACTCACTACAGGGACTGTGCACACCTGACGATTGGGACGCAGACGACGAGACTCATGCGTCTCTAAGAGAAAGGGAGGACGCGGCAGCGTGGAAAGATTTCTTCGCGTCTGTGGTGCTGGATGCGTTGTTGCACAGTGGGAAATCTTTGGCTGCTGCGTCCGAGAATTTGTTTGACAGTTTATTGAGTCGATGCAGAGAGTACGTCTCGCATCGTGAAGAGGAGAACAATCCTCGTGGGTCCAGTGCCGGTCCGTCTTCATGGCGGACGAGACGCTTGCAACTGGATCTGCTCTGGGGACCTGAGAGTGACGATGAGTTGCCTGCGTTGTGCGCGTCCAGTGACGCGCTATCACTTGTCTGGGACGCGTTGAACGCTGTTAGGAACGGAGAGGGAGACGACAAGTGGAAGCTGCCGGGTATCAACCATCCACAGGATGCTTTCGCTACGGACTTTGCCAACTCCGAGACGCATACGCTGGCAGTGTCACTGTCTATCGACCTGACAAAGGTATACGTACAATATGGCCTTGTTTGGTAAGTATACGCGGATTAACCCTCTCTTATCTCTCCACAGCTCGACGCCAACAAGATGCCAGCGTATACAACCTGGTTCCGAGTTCTGTCGGACGAATCTGGAGCTGCTGGTGCGGCAATTGCGACGTTGCCATTGGCCTCGTACCTCATCGCACGCAGCCACTTTATTGACGCACTGGAGACATCACACCCGAAACCTGCTATTGCTGCCAAGTTGCTGCTGGGTCTGTGCAAAGCTTATAACGATCGCTTCGCTGCGACGCAGACCGAAGGAGCTACTCCCGTCAAGAGCGAGTATTTGCTGGTGGAGACGCTGTTAGTGGCTGCTCTGAGTGAGAGTGGCAATGCCAAGTTGGCGTACTACTGCTCGGTGCTGTATCATCTCGTCAAGACCGATGCTCGTGTCGTGTCTCCTGCCCTGGCTGTTGTAGTGGAGCTTCTGTTCCGTGAAGTGCCGACGATGAGAGCAGCTGCTGTGGACTCGTTCGTGCTGCTCTTGAGTCATTTCCTGTCCAACTTTGAGTTTAAATGGCGTTGGGCAGCCTGGTCGTACGTGCTGGAAGCCAGCGAGGACGACCCGCAGCGTCTGTTTGTCAGCGCTGTCATTGAGCGCTGCGTGCGTCTCTCGTATCTGCAGCACATGCAGAGTGCGCTACCTGCTGAGTTCCACGTGCTGCTGCCGCCTGCACCCAAGCCTCGTATCCGCTTCCAGATCGTCAAGGAGGAAGACGCCGCTAGTGCTCCTGCCGCAGCCAGTCCTGCGTCTGATTTCTACCAATCTGTGACAACTAAGCTCAAGGGCCATCCGCCTGCATCTGCACTGCGCTCTTGGCTGAACGAAGAGCTTCCGCGTCTCGAGATCTCGCGTGCTGAAGCTGTGGAAGTTGTGTGGACTTGTATCCTGGAAGCGGGTGCCGCCACGTTCACGCACATGCGTCTGCTATTGGAAAAGTACGGTAAGCGCAGCGAGCTGTTCGGTGGCGACGAGCAATCGGCCGAGGAGACGGAAGCTGACGAGCTTGTGGTGGTCAAGACTGTGGCTTCTGTGTGGCTCAAGTCGCCTCAACACATCGGACTGATCCTGAACTCGATGCTGCGTCAAGGTCTGCTCCGTCCGGCGACGATCGTCACGTGGGTGTTCACTCCTGACGCCGTGCAGCAGTACAGTTGGCCGTACGTGTGGGAGATCTTGAACGACACGCTCAAGTTTGTACAGGACGCTATTGCTGCCAAGACGCAGCAGTTGGAGCAGGCTTCGGCACCCAGATCTTCGGACGACCGCGACAACGAGGAGATGCCGGACGTTGCCGCGCTTGAGGACGGTCGTAAGCGGCTGCAGGATGAACTGCGACAGCTGCTGGTGATGCTGTTCCGTGGGCTCAACCGCGTGATTACAGAGCACAAGGCCGAATGCGACTCTGAGGGCTCAGACCCGCGTGACAACTGGTTCCGTAGTGCGCTGGCTCAGATGCAGGCTGTGGGTCTCCGACACCGTGTGCCGCTTGAGGGCGCTCTCGACGAACTGCAGCTGGAGGTGTTCAGCGTCAGTGCCTCGGCTGATGTGGACGCCACGAAGATCTTCCAGCTTATTCGTGACTCGTATCGCAGCGCTTGATCAACCTGACTAGAAAGAAGAGAAACAAGAAGAACCGATTGACATCACAGGCGTTGAGTAAGTCGCCTCAACACAAGAGAAGTACTAGCATTGCTCGTTTCGTCCTGATGTATTTGCCGCGTTTGCTGCCCCTTTCATTTGCTGTCAGCTTCGGCCTTCTCGTCTACTTTCCGCTTCTTTACTGGGATCACATTCACTGCTGGGGCAGAAGAGTCGGTCTGTCCGAATCCAATGCTAGTCACAGCCTTCTCCTCCTTCGTCTCCTTCGCCACAGCGCCAGCAATGGTCTCCTTGATCCCGTCCACCTTCTCCTTGAGCTCCAAGTAGATCTCCATGTACTCCAGCAACGTCTTCTGGTCCTCCGTCATCTTGTCCTTCTCGTCTTCCTTGACTCCAACAACCTTCAAGAACTCCTCCTTTACCGCCTCTGGGTGGTCTCCCTTGAACTGCAACGAGAGCGTGGAATCCTCACTGGACGGCGCCTTCCTCTTGCCTTTTCCCTTTGGCTCCGTTTCCTCTTCAAGGGAATATTTTGGGATCTTCTCCGCAAACTTCTGCAGCTTGTCGTCGCATTTCTTGGCTACACGATGAAGATTCTCCGCCATGACTCGTCCCGCCATCACATAGTGCGTCAGTTCTTCATTAGGCACCACTTCCACTTCCTTGTCCTTATCAGCTGTGGAGTCTCTGTAGATACAGGCAATGGCTAGTTGACAGTACAGATCTGCCAGCTGCGTCGTGTCGTCGGCCTTCGTAGCCTTTAGCAGCTTCCTCCGCAGTAGTAGAGCTTTCTCAAAGTCCACCTTGGCCTGTTCGAACTGATCGCTTTCCAGTCCCAAGTCTCCGAGTCGCGTATACACTCGAGCCAGCTGCGTCTCAACCGCCTGGTCTCCTGGGTAGCGCGAGTAGATGACGCGTGCCAGTTCCATGACTTCCCAAGCGGCCTCGAGGTCGTCTGCCGCCTCCTTGGCGTCTTGTTCTCCGTCTCCGCTGCCACTGGCGGCTGCACCTTCTACTGCGCCACCGAAGAGACTGGCTGTGGCCTCTGTAAGACTCAACAGAGCGTGGCCGTACTCGTAGTATACCGGGGCGACAGCTAGCGAGTCGCTCTTACCCTCCGCCTCGCACATAGTGCGCAGAAGATCCCCAAAAGCCACCACAGCCTCCTCCAGACGCTTCTCCTTCAGCAGCGACACGCCACGCACGTAGCGAGGGTCCGTCAGCGTCTTCTCGAGCTCCTGCGCAGTCTCGGTCGTCATGGTTAGTGAGCTCTTGGCGCCAAATAGTGCGCGGGAGAGTTGAACCTCTGATATCAAATAATTGATGTGACTAGCACTGATAGGTTAAAAATGAGACGTTTTATAGGTTAATTGTAACATGGCTACATGTGCAAGTTGCAGTGCCATAACTTGGTTTACAAGGCTCGGAGTAATCTCTTGGAGTCCTTGGAGCTGGAGCCTTTAAAGACTCCTAGCACTGCAAGGAGGATGAGGAGCACGAGCACGGCGCAGACACCCAGAAGGATCGTGAGCTTGACGTTCTTCCACCACATTTGCCGGCGCAACTTCCGACCAGTGTTGCGAAAAACTTTGGCCTGCTCGTTCAAGTCGTTGGTCTTCTGCTCCACGACCTCCATCTTCTCCGTATTAGACAACACCACTTGGATATTGTTGTGCATGACTGTCTTGACGCCATCCACTTGGTTCATCACCTCGGACAGTTTATCCACCTTGGTGCGGTCGTCGTATCCGGTAGCGATACCTGCGAGCGCCTTGGCGCAGTCCTTATCCAGTCCGTTCTGCGTACGCACAATAACAACAGTATACTCAGTACGTCGCAATATACAGTCATGTTGCAGCCGAAGAGACGTACCTCTCGACAGGTCAGCGCCTTGGATCCGAATTTCGGTACAACGTCCGTCTGCACCGCCGAGATCATCTGAAAAGCCAATCGGATGGGGTAGTCCTTGGCAGTGATGGCTGCAAACACGAGCTCATCGTTGTTCATAGTGAAGTGGAACTTATTAGGGTCGCACTCGAGCGAGTGACGGCCGTTGGGCGTCACCTGTGTCTTCCATGTCGGGGCTCGGATCACCTTGCTCAACATCTCTCTGAACGTGGCCATCTCAGCCTCCCCACCGCGTGCAGGCTTGCCACCTGACGGGTGCATGTAACTGGCAACAATCACTTTGTCCGTAGCGCGTGCGATGGCCAGGAACTTGATGTTGTCGCGTGTCAGCGACGCTGACGCTGCAGTCGCCGGTGCCATAACACCAAAATACGAGAAGCAATTGATAAAGGTCTCTTCTTCTTCTTCTTCTTCTCTTTGGCGAGTTGCTTAATGCACTCAATTGGTGCAATGCAACGTCAATGCGATCAAGCAAAACGGCCGACCAGGACGAGGGCCAATTGAGGAATGAAGACGGCGAAAATGAGATATTTTGGGCCTTTCTCGTGGTGACATTTACGGCAGAATCCAGCATACCTAACGTTTGGTGAACTTTACAAGATGGCTACGTGCAGCTCTAAAATGGATACATGGGGCTTGCCACGAGGTCTATTCAGTTGATAATTCACTTCTCGACGGTAAGATGAGGCCGCGCAAGAGCTGCGATCTGCTGCAGTTGGGCGCTGGAGAATCTGTGGGTGAAAGGCAGCGAGGTTGACGCGGGGAGCTGTTCTTCGAGCAACGTGATGTCCATGCCAGCGCTGAGCACCGCCATCACTGCAATTTCTTGAATGCTCGTCTTGTCGGACGGGAGTAGTCCCTTCTCCTTCCACGCGTTCATCACGTTGGTCGCGCGGTCGGCGTCCACTAACTATCGGATGTAGACAACCATAAACAAGGTCAGTCCTGCGAGAATGCATCAAAGTGAAGGTCACTGGGAGACGTACCTCAACAGATCTAGTGAAACACTTGAGCAGCTGGTTCATGGCCATTGAGTAAGCGAAACCTAACTCCTCGGTCTCCTTGTGCTTGTTGAACTCCTTGACGGTCGCATCTAAGCGAGGGAAGATCTGCGTCTCACGAACATATCTCCAGACCTGAAGGTTGTCAAAGTGGCTGTGCTGGTTGGCCAAAATGTGGCCCCATGCCACGTCCTCCGGTGGCGGGAGATCAAGGTGCCCCTTCTCAGGACGAATGTTCTCTACGTACTTCTTCTCCACCGCGATAGCAAGATTAAACGCCGTCTTCAGCAACAACGCCACATCTTCACCTGCCATGCCGTTGTATGTGGTCAGATGGAACGGGTTGCCACTTGACAAGATCGTCTCCAGTGGCCGGTCGCCAATAAGCAGCATCTCACGCTCCTTACGGAACTGCATCACCGCCTCAGGCAAAGGGAAGATTGCACTGCCGACATTTTGAGCCAATTGCAACGAGGCGAACCGTCCAAACTGTTCTGACAACGGAGTGAACGTCTTCTCCACCAACTCTTCCAACGGTTTACTCGAGGAGTCAAAACTCGGCAACGAGAAGCCGTAACTCTGCACTTTTCCGTCATTGCACAGCTGTTCCAATGCATCACACGTAGCTTTTAACTTCTCCATCAGTTCACCCTGTTTACTCGAGACCAGAGCCAGCTCTTCGGGGATCTGACACACGACATGGTCTAGCGTCTCGACATCCAACTCGTTCATCGTGATCTCCACGCCTTTCTCCACGTACGCTTTGATCAGTCTGTCGTCTGCATTTGGATTGGTCGGATGCACCACGTTGCTGCCAATGAGAGTGGACACTACGAAACACTCGCGAGGGATGTCTAGATCTTTTACAGCCTCGTTTAGGGCCAGTGCCTCAACGTAGGCCTGCTTCTCGCCGGCTTTGGTAACCACCTCCGGGTTTACCGCTGCTTGGATAAAGTTGCTGGTGTAAGACGACGTCAAAGTCTTGCTGATGTCGACGCGGGGCATGTCTTTTGCCCACAGGTCGGGGCTGCCGATACCTCGTGGGGCCACACTGATAAACTGTGCATCGTCTCCTGACTCACCCACGCGAAGCTTGGGACTCGTGCTAGCCTGGAATGGAGAGCGCACAACAAAGTCCTCCGTCGCAGGGCCCGTAGCGCGACCGACATGCAGATGGGCAATGCGCAGCGCCGACGCCCGCACGCGGCAAGGAGCGCAGATCACCCACATGTGTGTCAAAATCGACTGAGTCGTGTACACCACACAGTTCTTCTGAGAAAACTTCGATTTATTAAAATCTGGAAAATCAAATTTTGGGCTTGGCATACATGTATTCTCGAATGTAGTTTCTGAAAGAAGATATTTGCAAAAATCCGAATTTGCCAAGAGTACATTTCCGTGTGGTTATTTTGAGATGCTCCAATACTTTCTAGAGGTTATCACGGTTGGAAAGCCAATTATACAAAAATCTTCGCGTCCTGTTTTCTTCAACTCAAATTTTCCTTGAAAAAGTGGACCACCAGTGAAGGTTAGCTGTGATTGGCGGAGAACCGTACCAGAAGGTTTAATTTGGCTGTACTAATTTTTAATACGCAAGCCAACAGCCAGTGAAAGTAGTTACAGCTAAGTATCAGCGCTAGGATCTTGCTGTCAAGTGATCACCACTCTCGTCAGCATCGCTGTCGTCACCATCGAGCAGCTCCGTCATAGTTAGGAGCTGTATACACAGAAGCACCGCGCGCAGGCTTCCTGTCATTCTACCTGTGCGTGCTGCTCGCCGATGAGCTAAAACCCCGTCAAATAAAGTGCCTTTTCTGCACGGTTTTGGCCCTCACAGTTGACGGGTGAAGATTTGATTTAATTGGCTGGACAAACATACCTAATTTCCAACCGTGATAAAACTTACTAACGTTAAAGGTATTAGGGGAAGTCTAGCTCCAAAGAGTCTATTGTTTAAGCTTCATTACCCTCGATAACCTTGGAATACTCCAACAACTACATATCTATACTATGGTATTTTGCTTGTATTTTAGGCATTTCTCTTATTGATTTACTTTAAAAAAAGTAGGCTTCAAAGTTAAAAAGTATGGGGCATTCGAGACATAACGGCGCGAACCCCTCCCCTCTCTGACAGGTCAGCTGTTAAGCTGCTTTAGGGCCATTTTTGAGGTCAAATAGCAGCACTACCGAGTCCAAGCAAATCAGTCATCACCAAGGCAGAAAAATCTGCGTATAAGTACGGAGGCAGCACCTTGCGGTGGCAGTGTCACGACCGAAGTCAAGGCGGAGGCTGCAGCGTACGGCAGCAGTAGCACCGCCCAGGCCAAGCCAGACAGCGACACCAATGCGAAAGAAGCTGCGTAGACAGTGATTTCTACTGCACATAATCAGTATGGCTCGTTCTGCGGTGGAACCAGATGTACTCACTGGCTAATGGTATCTACAGCGTCCAGAAGAACATTTCCCATCGGCTGGGGAAACGACGAGGTGAATAGCGGCCCACCCAGCGTCGACATTATTTTCAAGTGGCTCATGACAGCCGGTAAAATGCATCAGTGAACGACGCGCCTGTACCACATGTTCCCACACGCCATGCAGTCAGGACCTCCAACAGCATGACATTGCAGATCTACTCTCCCCATTCACAGAGCATCTTCAGAACCACCGCGTAGCTGGTCCCGTAGCCCAGGCACGTGCTCTCGCAGTCATGCCGGAGGCAAAGGGTGGCCCACCCTTGTGAACATTAGCAAGCCACCTCAGTCTGAAACCGCCCGTCCCGGTACGCAACTGCGTGCATATCATTTCCTGCCACCGACCCTGTGTGCGTGCAGCGACTTTGTGCCCGCAGTAGTGTACAGCCTCGCTGCCCACCGACTCAATCCGTACTTGCTCAGCCCCGATGGCATCCACGATACTCCGATGCCATTAGTCCTACGTATTGCGCATGCTCGACAGCCTTAGCTTTGACGATAGCCTGCCAGTATCCGGCGCAACTGTCGGTGCCTGATTCGACCGTTACGGCGTCTCGATCGTGCATTACAGTTCGCGACGAGCGCGCCGCTCAACTAGTGGCAGGCTCTCCTGACACCAACTTCAGCTTAGACTTCGGGCCCAACGTGCCCGCGTGTACGACGTATTTTTATTTTCTCGGCGCCATTTAGGGCCATATGATATTAGCTCACGCTGATTGGAATGAAGCATTCATACGGCCATTGGTGCTGTTGAGCAAAGCTTTTGAATCTGAAACCTGGAAAATTGTTCCAGGTTCGAGGGGAAATGTGTTTAGCATCGCCAGATTACCCCTGAAACAGGAGAAAATGCCACTAAAAGTTCCAAGAATCACCGCGCTTTAGTGCCTTTGTTTCAGTGACGTCAGGAGCTTCCTGAAATTTGGAACTTGCAAAACTAAATGTTCTTCAGCGCCTCTTCGTGGCGTTCTCTCAGCACAACAAGATCCCCCCTCGAGAAGGAATGGGGAAAGCTAGCAAGCCGGGTAGGCAGAAGAATGAAAATGCAGCTGCTGTCGTCGACGGCACCAGCACCGAAAACGATGCGGAATGTAAACCAGCGCCTTTCGAGAAGCGCAACTGGACAGGGGAAACGACGCTTGGTCTTGTGCGAGCGTGGAAGAAAGTAATGACAGGAGAGCGTCGCAAGGACGAGAAAACAAGCATGATCACCCAAAAAATCTTTGACGAGTATAACACACAACAGCTGCCACTTCTTTTACGATGCCGGCCACCGTAGCTGGGCCGATGGCAAAGCGATCTACCGTGACGCGAGTTGATGAGCCGTGTGCGCACAGGTATAGAAACACCGCAAGACGCTTTGGCGGCACAACGGCATCGGGTGCCTTTCGCAACGGCACTAGCCCAGCGCAAATGGTCCTGAAGAGGCTAGCAATACTGTTGCTATTCATGCGAAATAGGCCCTTCATGCTGGAGTCGAAATACACTCTTGATGAGAAGAGCATCTGAGACCAATGACTACTTTGTTCCTTTGCAATCCATTCTCGATCTCGTGGACGAAAGAGCCCGCTAACTACGTCCACCTCCATCTCATGCTGCTGTACGAGCAGGTTCACCGCTCTAGAAGTAGAAGGATCTGGTGCTCTCATCATCTCCAACACCACAACAGCTGCCAAGCACGAAACAGGATCCATAATACTGCTCTCCACTGCGAAATAAGGTAACCGCGTCGTGTGCAAAGTGCTGGTACGGTGTTTAGATAGCTGTCAGCAACAGCAGCTCACCTATGTAGGCAATGCCGACCAAAGCAGCACGGGTTTTCACTGTTCATAGCACCAAAAACGCCATACAAAAGGTTAGAACGACGTACTGATCATTGTAGAGCTGCTACGCACCTGCCGTAGACTCGGGCAAGACGGGAGGTGGAGAGAGCGGCGCAGAACTCGCAGTGTAAGGGAACCGGGCTGTCCAAGTGGCGTTGGACTGCGCGCCTCTGTGCCTTCGAGACTCTATATCCAAACTGACCAGTCGTCGAGCAAAGGATCCAGTCAAATGGATACTAACCACTCAGCAAACCTGGAGGCTTGGAAAACGTTTGTTCCAGGTTCCAGTTTGACACAGAAGCTAAACGGGGCCATTGTATCGCGCTAGAAAGTTCGCTGTGGTCAACATCAGCGTAGACCAAAATTACACTCTGAGGCGTGTACAGCGCACCTTGAATAGTTAAAGCACCGCCTCGGCGCCGTGTATGCTCATATGGCCATTGTTTCGCTATACTGGTGGCGCGAGCTCTCACCCGGGGCCTTGAGAATCGAGTTCGGCTCTGTTGAGTAAGATCTAGCAGCTTGCCCAAGCACCTAGTCCAGTCATTACCACCGACGCTCAGCGTCGCATCAGTAGCGCAACCGCGGAGGTATCACAGTCGCGGCACGTCAAGCACGTCGATGACCAGCGAGTACCGCCGCCCGCCCTAGTGGAATCCTGGCCAACATCCGAGCACTCATCCCCCGTGACGCCAGCGGCGTGGAGTCGTGACTCCGATATTTCGGTGGTGGAATGCGCTTGGGCGGGACGCGACAAACAAGCGCTTTTGCTAAGCACACACGCCTGGCCCGATGCCCCTCATGACATATATATCGAGGAAGTTTGGGCGTCGCCGCCCGTAGTCGCGACGCCGCGCTTGACGTGGCCGAGGCACTGCTGGTTTGCCAGCGCTTCAGTCCCCTCAGCACAGGCGTAATCTCAATACATTTTCGTCGACTTCAGCTTTGGGTACTAATTAAACACAATCACTTAGCGCAACAAACGCGGACGCTCGGCTTGACCCTCCCATTCGAGCACAAGATACCGTCATCATTGGCAGTGTCGGCTTTTGCACGCAAGAAAGAGTCGATACCTGGGGTAGAGCCGCAAGACCGAAGTCCTTCTTACACCGCCGATACCCCTGACAACTCTGCCAGCCAATGGGTTCGGGTTTCCCTGCGCACTTTCCGGTGAGAGCCCAACCATCTCGGGTGCCGAATATTTAACCTACGCGTGCTCTCGCCTCAGCGCTGATATTGACGCAGCATCGACTATGTCTGATCTCCATACTGCCAACAGCTTCCCTCCTCGGGTGGGCACCCTGACGCTTCGATCGACCCCATCGACCGTAGCCCTAAGGCATCTCCAGGATATCGAGCATATGGTGGATAACACAGTTCAGTCCATCCGCCACGCTTCAGTTTCCGCTGCACTCAACAGGGTAGGCGCTTCGTGGCCAGCGCTTTATTCAAACCCTGGCAACGGTCCCGTCGATCCATACCGGCTCAACAAGCCCCTGCAGGCGTCACCATCAGTATTCATTCACCGCACTCGGATACCTTCAAAGCAATTAACGGAGCCCATCCGCTGTCAAATACCAAACGATTACACGCCACACAAAGGGCTGCTGCCTGACCTACTGCGTGCGTACTGGCCGGATTTTGATCGTATCGGAGACCTCATTCGAATAGCCATCAAAGGTATTCGCGTCCAGCTGGCGACTCCGCTGCCGCGTCCAATCACCTTCCCCTGCAACCGTCCGTCTGCGAGTGTCTGAAACAGCGTCCTGCGAGCCAACATCCGTAAAGAACAGGACGCGTTTCGCTATATGGTCGCGGACCCGGATATCATCGACGTATAGCCCACGCATTTCATCTTTGGCTTGGTAGATGCGGCCAATGGTGATCCACGCACCACGGGGAGAGTCATCCACAACTTATCTTTCCCCGGATGACGACTCCGTAATTTTTATACCGACTCTGCCACCACTTCGAGTGCATCGTTTGTGCCCTGCTTCAGCATGGTGAGGGAAATGTTCGTTGCCGGCGGACAAAATTAACCAACAGCGTCAAGATAATGACAGGCGACGTCGCTCCAGCATACTGCAACGCTTGTACACACAGCAAGAGTGACCACATCTTCGCCGGTCATTACCCCGAGGACAACGCGATCATCATCGACCTGTTCGCTGCGTTTGGATATACCAACACCTCGGATACATCCTGAGATCTCGGTGAAGCCGTCGCAATCATTCACGGATTCACAGCCTGTCCCACCCAACCCAATGAATATTACAACTACCACTTTGTAGACGACCACGTCAACGTTGCATCTGATGTAGGGTCCAACTGCGCCGGGGTCAGCCGATCAATTGGATGGGCAATGACAATTGTCATGAGACCCAAGGCGATAAACGAAGAGAAGTTGACAGTCTTGGAGCACGTACCTCAAGGTGTTGGGTCTATTTTTGGAACAGCCGCTGGGACCGTTGCCATGTCCCTGTCGAAGAACACGAAAGCCAAGCGGATGATAGCTAAGGCATGCCACACCACTGAAATATCATGAAGTGACTATCGTGCACTACTGGGATCGCTCCGTCGTGTTGCCACGTGCGTTCGACCGGCGCGGGTAATTATTCAGCGGCTTCGGGAAGAAGAGCAGCACCTAATTCGCATGAGAAGGTTCCAAGTCACGTTATCTTCGGCCATGCGCGACGACCTGGCACATTCTGAGCTCTCCCCCTAATGACACCCCCTTCGATTCCTGGTCTCACGGGCATAATATATACTCCTGAGGACCATTGTCCCCTCCGCACAGCGGCTCCTCACGTACAAATTGCCCCCAGCCGAACTTGGGCTGATCGCTAAATATCATGAAGGCGCCACGAACAAGTTCGATATCAACCATCAAGAGTTATTAGCCTGCGTGATCGAAGTTCAATCATGGGCACACCTGTGGCACGAGCAGCACAGCCAGACAATGTCATTCCGAGTGCACTTCGGTATTGACGAAACCACCAATGTGTCGTGGCAGTCGAAAACAGCGTCGGTCAATTCGCGCGCTCAGCTCTTTGTTCGGTGTAGAATGTCCAATTTGGCTTGAGACTTTCGGTGTCCGGCGACGAGAACACGATCGCTGACGCCGGCTCGCGGCGGTAGGAAACTTCCTCACACGAGCTCAACTTCTCAAAACTAACGTATAAGCTGTCGCAGGATCCCTCGCCAACATCGACTACAGAGCCCGAGACAGCACGGTACAGCATTTCCGTGAACGCTCCGTCGCAGCCTCCCCCTTCACAACTAACGCTCGAGACTTTGCCTGCTGAAAGTCTTGGAGAGCCCCGCGCGGTATCGCCTGAAAGATGCAGCTCTCGCCTGCCGACCAACTGGGATGTATTTCGAACTTCATCATTGATGCCCGCCTTCGCGGAATGGGATCCAACAAACCCTTCCAATTCCTCAATCTGACTTACGCTACAGAGCACCCACCACTTCTTTATGGCCGCTGGATAATCATTTCCTGCAGCAGGTCCGCATGTTCTTGAAGGGCGTCAGCAAGCGTGACACACATCGCCGCTAGAAGCATTTTGCTCTATTAGAGGATTGACAATGGTTGTCAGACCCTTAAGACGCTGCAGACCAAGTCTAATGATGGGGGTACTGTGTCTGGCCTTCTTCGTGCTGACACGATCCGAGATCGTGACCAGAACGCTCCGCTGCCTCGCTCTTTAAGGATACAGGAATCCGTGGTCGACGCAAGTTGCAATACTACGCTGAGCCCGACCATCGCGGCAGCCAAATGCATCTGAGTAAAAGGGTCGAAGACGAACCAAGGTGAACCACCAGTTTCGCCCATGTTGACCAGACCAGGACACGCGCTCTTGTGCCCCGTACTTGGAGCGCTGCTACTGCTGCAATCTTTACAGGGGTCTTACTAGTAGTGGTACCAGCAGTCGTATACACGTACAAGTGCAGCGAGCCCTCTTGCGTCACCACAGCCCGAGTTGCGGAGACGTTTGTAACAGTGCATGATACACTGATGAAGATCCACGGCACTAAAGCACATACTTACTGAGAGCTAGCGGAGCCACGAGCATGTATCAAGCTGATTTCGATGCGCTGATCCTCCAATTTCACGGGTGATGGGAAATCGACGCATACAAGATTTGTGCAGCGATTCCGTCGTGAGTGCTGTGGCGAAGGCGGTTACACTATGTGTTTCCAGCAGCTGATTTCTGCGACCGTCACAGAGTGTTTGCGAACGAAGTGATAGCCAGATTTAAGTCGAACAGATCGCGGACAGATTTCGGGACTCTTTCTGGAATAGGAGCTATTAGTTTCGAGAGCACAATGGGTAGACTTTGTCGCGGCTGGCTTAATGATAGCCATGTCGACTTCTGCCTTGAAACACTGAGTGCATTTGTGAGAATGTGTCACGTGCTTCCGTCGCTGATGTGGGCTGTTCGATGGCCTCCTACACCAAGGAAGTCACTTGCAGACATCAACTCCATCCTGTACCCGGTGCATCTCAACGCCAATCACTGGAAAATCAATATGACTCTTCTGCAGGCTACAGTACTACCAGGGCTCTGTGTGTACGCGTGCATATGCATGATCCCCTCACCGACGAGCTCTATCACAATGAAATGCGCACGATTTGAAAAAAATAACCAAAGACGAGGGCAACCTGAGCAGCTACCGTGGGTTCTTGGAGAGGTGGCTCCTGGCGCCAATGCCTGACTTACAGATTTGCATTACCAAGGTGGATTAGATGAATACCCTCTCCCTCACAAAACGTGCTTGCGTAATGCAGAAGCCAAGACGGGCGTTGGTGGTAGCGATACCGCGCTGCAGCTCGTACATGTAGCGTGACCCAAACGAGGATCCGCTGACATTTTCAATCTCGCTGCGAACCGTATCCAGATGCATTAGCACCGATGCAAAGGCTCAATTAGTGGCATCCAGCGCGACATTAAATCGGGCGTTTTAGAACCAAGTACGTAGCGGTAGAGCTCGTCTCGAAGGATTTCAAGCTGACCAAATTCGTCAAGCGATGCTGTAGGGCACGAATCGTCGGCGTTTCTACAGGTAGGTCTGGAGCCTGATACTCTGCTAAGACTTGGCTACGCTCTGATCTTCCTGAACTATCGATCCAATGTAGGCAAACAACTTCGTTAGATACTCCAACAGCCAAGCCCAACGAGTGGTAACCTACTAAATCGACAGCTTCGGCGACGCAGCGGCTCCACGGTGAGTGGAGGCTGGTCGAATTTGGGGTCAGAGTCCGGCTAAGAGCGGAAAGCATCGATGTCAACGAATTTCTAATGACCTCAGAAACATAACTTGCGAAGTTTGGTCTAGTTTCTCTTTTGCTTTTGAGGCGGCTCCGACTCGCTGCTTTCTTCGTCTAAAATTTTAATTCAGTATAGCACAGCTTCCTCATGTGAATACGTTTGGCTGTCAGGCAAGTCGGGCTCAGAGAATTTAGGTGACAATGGGAACTAGTGCTCTGGAGGTTCGTTGTAGCAGATAAAAAGTAACCCCTAAGCGCGAAGCGTACACTGTCGATCTATCCGGAGCTTATAAATTGAGACACCTTGTACTACAGAAGTTTTGATATTGGCTATAAATGAGAGCTGTTGCTTACATGCAAAACATATATCGAGAGCTCTTCCGAACGCATGACACACCATTGTCATCCGTGCCGCATCATGTACAGGCTGTAGCAATATTCGTGTTAGTAACTATATACCCAGCGAGCACACTTAGATTCATCACATTACATCCGGGAGCGTCATTGGTTTGCATATTCGCACGCAAATTTCTTTCTTTGATGTGACTGGCCATTTTTGTCTCGAATTTTGCTTAAAGCCACCAAGTGACTTAGTGCAGCGATCGCGAAGTATGTTCGCGACTTGTGACAAGTAGCCTAGAGCTGCTGCCGTTGCGAGCACCTCATCTGCAGCTCTGGATTTGTTGCTCTTTTTTGTCTGCACGAAAATCGACAACGCTATCCATATCTACTTTAGATAAGCCTATTGAGGTAAGAAACACTTCAAACATCTTCTCCTCAGCCTCCTGTCCTAATGTACTTACCGGTGTGTCGAGCTCACGCGATGCTCTCCTCGTGGCCCTTCATTGTTTTGTGATGAAGAAGAATGACCCTTGATGGTAGAGCGCATTTGCGCTCTGCCAAAAAAACTGTAAAAGTACCCTTATTCAATTGCTTCTAACAAGGGCATTTAAATAGCACTTGAATCTCTAAAATTATAAAAATTATTGAACTCACAACATTCTGTCATTTCGAGGGCCCATAAATGGAGATAATATTTTAGAGCGACCACAACTTCTTCGGTTTTAAGTATAATGTAGCTTACGAGGGCTCGGAGACGCCCCGCTTTCGTTTAGATGCTTATTAAATCGCGATTCGTACTTAGGTTCGTAAGTATCATTTTGTTTTGCGTGGTCTCAGTTGTCTCCGCCATAGAATGCAACCACTCTAGTCAATTAGAGAGCCGTAGTTTCTGGAGTTGGACTAAGGAGTACATAATAGGATAAGCCAAAAATAGATCTCCGTGTGGATATTTTGAGATGCTCCTGCACTTATCTCCGCTCTAACTCCAAGGAGTCTACTTTAGGGGAAACGCTTCCAGAAACTACAGATGCAATTATCCCAGTTTTATGAGCAGGTTAAACCTATCCCCTAGAAAGATTTAATTGGCTGAATTCACTGTAACTCGGGATTATAGTACAGTACAATATTTAAGAAAGCCATAGGTTTGTTTTTGGCGGCTGTTCGAGGCCAGGATTATCGACGTGGAATCATACATGTAAATAATCAAGAATATCTGGCGACAAATTCTAACTAAAATAAGTATCCATATGGGGAAGTTTCGAGAGGATTCGATGAGGACGTGGGAAGATATAAACGTGGGGCTATCGTATAACCAGGATTTAATCCTGTTGTGACCAGGACTAAGTCCTGGTCACAGATTCGTACTGTAATGAAAAGGCCATTTTGCATGATTAATCAGGTAAATGGCCATGATTTAATCCTGGCAGCCGACTTGAAGTCTGGATTCCTGTCTGTAAATACAATCGAAGAGCTCTCACTACGACGAAGTTCTATCAATGCTGCCTCTACGAAAAGCTCCATGTCAAATTTACTGAGTTGCAAGGTATAACAAACTTGCATTCAATAAAGTTAGAGACATGTATTCAATGTAGTTAATGCAAGCGAGACTTACAACCAGCACAATTAGCTTGTCGACGTCGCGATAATGGTGGAAGGGATTTCTTATATACGTCCGCTGGTACGGGTCGTAGACGTCGGGTACCAACTGGGACTCGTCTTCACCCTTCTTCGTCTTCTTGAACCTCTTGTTGCGCTCTGCTCTGGACATGGTCCCTTGACTGGTATTACTTGCAGCGTCCATTGGCAGTAGTCCTCAAAATATTCTTGCCAAGCTTCCCAACTGGCGTGATACAACACCGGCGGGTCCGCAGACGTAATAGCAGCGTCATCATCGTCCGCTCCAGCTGTTTCCGGCGGACGTTCAGCCTCAACATCTTCCTCCGCCTCTCCACCGCTCGCCTGACCTTCCATTTCATCCATTTCGCCGTCACTGTTGCGATTCTCGCCGGGTTTGCTCTCTCCACCTTCCAAAGGGCTATCTCCGCCTCCAGCCAAGGGTTCAGGTGGCGCCACTTGGTCTCCCCACTGTGTATCGGAAAGGCCCGGGCATCGGCATCGGGGCAGGAGCCGTCGTTCGCCAGCGCGCCCGCGAGCGCCGGTTGCATTAGCGGTAACCGCGTCCTGGAACATCTTATCTGGAGGCGGCACAAAATAAAATGAAATGCTTTCGATTTTTTCATTTCGGATATAGGAGAGCGGTAATGTAATGTAATGGTTTACGTGCTCGCGCAGCCAAATTATGCTTGCGCTAGACTCAGTTTAGCTAGTCGGCAGCATAGGGTGGTGTCCGCATACGGAGAGCGGTAATGTATTGTACCTATTTTAATCAAGGACGAGGACATGATTAATAGCATGTGTGTTTCCATGTAAATAATCCTGGCCTGCAACGGTTTCGTTTGTTTTTTTGGTTGTAAATCAGGTTTGCCATTGGGTGCCTTCCAAAACCCATATAAAACAGTTTAATCGCAATTTTTTATCAATTCTTTAATCACCCTTTTATCACGGTGATGCGTTTTTATATCGGCATTTAGAAAAACCTACATCCAAAACCCCCTATTAAAAAGTGTTTTGTCCCAAATTGGCTGTGTTTGAAGCTCAAAACATACGGTGTTGAAAATAGGTTGACGATCGTGACAAGTCATTATAGGACAAAAATAGCTCTACAATCTCTATTTATCAAGATTGCAAAAGATCGCTAAATGATTTGCACCCCCCTTCCCTGCAACATCCTGGTAGAAGATCTCGATAGAGAAGCTGCTATGAGCAGCGACGGAGCGGTGTTAGTGCTCAGTGCTGCTATGCGGCGACGCGACAAACGTCGCAAACAGTACTCTCTACTTTTGAGTCGCCTGCCTGCGACGAAGCCTCCATGAAGAGAAGCTACGTATTAAGTGGCAGAGACTCGTACGAATGAGGCACTACGTAACTCTCGACTGCTTAAAGCACCCCATGGAGTCCGACTGGATGCAATTGTGGCTTAACGGCACCGATGGGAACCTGATAACAAAGACGAGCTTACCTCGGTATAATATATCTGTGTCTATCTACATAAATAGCGACCTGACAGTACAAATTGTGTATTCTGGATAGCGCTGCGTTCGAGATTCTATTAGAGCGTTTTGCGCTTTATTTTGAGCTTACTCAGTACTCTCCGCGTGGGGGGAGACCCAGGAAGTTACAGCACCACCATCAGGTTCTGGGTCTGTTGTTGTCGTTTTACGTAGGTACCATGAAAAGGGAATCGCTTTGCCTCATGTTCGCAGTGCCACCCTCCACACTCTCTCGCGTGTTAAATGCTGCGGAGGACGTCATGTCTAGAGCTTTAAATGGCTTTGCACCTGCGCGAATTGTGTGGCCATCACCACTTCGACAAAAGGTTTTGGCAAAGTTAGTGGAAGCCGCCAGCCGCTCTTGCGATACACTTAATTTTTTTTAGACGGTAACAATTACAAGGTGAGTGGATATACTGTTTTTACTCCATATATAAAATCTAATATGTGCTGTTGTTGTAGGTGCAGCAGCCGCCAGATACTGACGTACAGAATGCACATTATAATGGCTGGCTGCACCATGTATTTGTCACTGGGACCCTTTGTTTCAGTGCTGACGGGCTAATTGTGTGGGCTAAACACAATTGCCCGGGCAGCTGGAACGACGGGGATACGAGTTTAAGCTTCCGGCAAAAGCTGGTGGACTCGAGATTAAATCCAGATTCGCGTTACGGCGTCGTAGCGGATAGCGCTTTTCCATGCGCTAACGAGATGAAAGGACGCATATTAAGTCCTCTAAAAGATGGAGATTTGGGACGTTTAACTCCATCGGTGCGGCCAGTTGCAAGAGCTCTCTCTGGGGTCATCACGTTCATTCGCCAGTCGGCAGAGTTGGGCATGGGCTCCATTGAGAAGGTGTATGGACGTCTACTAATGCCGCTCCCATTAGAGATGTCTAAGCGTCAAAAGCGACTTGACAACCTCTTTCGGTTGGCGAACTTCCGAGTCCGCGCAGTGGGTATTAGCCAAATTCGCACTAGACATCTACACGGCAGAGACAAGAACAATTGACATTAAATGTATTGTGTCTATCATTGTTGATGTTGCCTCAACTATTCTTAATCATTTTCTTCCACTCATGTTACAAAACAGAATCATCATCTGCTCATGCCGCTGCCTGGCTTCCGCTCTCTCCAACTCCATTCGCTCTTCGTGTCGCCTTCGTTCTTCAGCCCGCTCTTGGTCTCTCTTTGCTCGGGCCGCTACTTCCTTCCGCTCCTCTTCTTCACGACGCAGTTTCTCCTAAAGTCGCTGTTGTTGTAGCCGTTGTTCAACTAAGGCTGTCCCCGCTCTACGGTCACGATCTCGTTGTTCGCGCTCTCTTTTATCTGCGAGCTCTCGTTCTTCTCGTTCCTCGCGTCTGCGTTTGGCATCCGCAGCAGCTCTAAGGCCGGCTTCTTCACGAAAGAAAACCAATAGTCTTGTCATCTCTCCAGCTCCAGATTCATGCTGTTTCTCCATAGATGCCAGCTCTCGTTCTAGTTCCTCCATCCTTTTTTTGGCTCGAACACGTTTGGCAGTGGTGCACGTCGGCATGCCCCTCCGGACTCCGTCTGCGTACGCTTCCCTATCGAATTAGTATACACTCCTCCAACCGCCTCGAAATTATCTCTTAGCACTCGCAAGTCGCCAACCCCCAGACGGTTAAACGCAATTGACATAGAGGGATGTTTAACTCTCTCACGCGCATCTGTCTCCGCACGACTGCGGTCGCGTTCAAGAGGTGCTCCTCCACCTGATGAAATCGCTGGCAGAACGGCAGTATTACTGGATCGAGGTTGGCGTGTAGTGCGTGATCTGGTAGATGTACTGCTAGGTACAGAAGAATCGGAAGGATCTCTCTGCATCGTCGAATTGCTAGACAGCGGACTGGCACGACTTTCGGCAGGACTTGGAGGGGTCCCTGATGTCCGTCCCATGTTAAGTAACTAAGAAGGGGATAAAAAAGACGCAGCTACGCCGGGTCTTCCCAACGTGGCAACAGTGTTTTGTTCGGACGACTCGTCATCGTTACCGACTATAGTCGAGGACTCCTTCTCTTCTTGATCGCCGTCGGACTCTACGGCGTCCGCAAATCGTATGTCGATAGGACCCGAAGTCGTCATTATCGTCCCCAGTTGGTTGTCGCCGTGGATTGGCTTGGGGGCTGATGCGTACTGCATCTGTGACTGGGAATCTTCTTCAGCGTCTGAGTCTGCATCGTCGTGCTCGTCGCTGTCGGATTCAAGTGCACCTGCGATTGTCTGACCCGCTCCCAAAGGCATACTGCGCGTGGTTGAGTGGGATTCAATAAGGGCGTCAACGTCAGCCAGGAGCTGCCTATCGTCTCCTCCATTGTCTTCGCCGTCGTGGCTCTCTAAAGCTCCACCTTTCTGGTCTATCGCATGTTGCAATTCCATTGCCCATAGAACGGGTTTTGACTTCTTGATAGAGTCGTCATTAACGCCGCTTGGCTTGTTCTTCGCGTATAGTGCACGAAATTTACGCTTGAGAGACTCGTAGTCTCGCTGTAGCCAAGAGGAACGACGCCGATCGTTGTAGATGCGGGCTACGTCTTCCCACAGGAGCAGAGCAGCATCTGCTCCTGTGTGGAGTAGTTTGTGTAGCCGTGTCTGCGGCCTCTCTACAAGCGACACATCAGTTGGGGTTACTCAGCTGTATGTAGAACAAGGAACTACAATCCGTACTTCTTACCTTCGACGTCGTTGTTTTGGATGGCTTTGTCATGGAGGAGGTCGGGGAAACGAGGACCGGTAAAGAGCGCAGTAGTGGAGGGGGAAAGGAGCAATATCTTTGTGAAACACATTAATATTTCTGTTGAATCAAGCATCTTATATTTTGCATTGCATGCTGCAACTGTTACTTACACTCCTAAAAAAGGGAAAAAAGTTCGAAACAGTCACTGGGGGGAGTATATCTGCGTTGCTAGGGTCTCAACTACGACGGGTCGGCTCAGCAACAGGAAGCATGCGGAGGTGCTGGATGTCTCGGTGTTGGCATCCCCACCACCCACATCGGCATATGAACCAGAGTTTGTCACTATAGGAAACAGTCACCTCTTCTCGAGGAAACACGTCTCGAACAGTGATAGCCACTACTGTTAGCGCACTGCCAGTTTGCACCTCGTGGAATCGAGAACAAGGGCGACACGAGTGATTCATCAAGCGCGTTAAGCCACCTCCATATAGCACATCCAACACGACTGTCTTGTTGCGCTTCGAAGGCGTCTTTAATTGCATCCGGAACCCCTCGTTCAAATGTGAATCGGAACTGGACTCGTCGATGAATCTCATATCCCCAAAGTACTGGCCGATTGCTTCCCCCGCTGGTATGGCGACCGACGCAGTCAGTCCTCGCATTTCAGTACGCGTATTACGCATGATTTGTAGTCCGGGGTGTTCGATAAGAGCGTTGCCACATGCACCACCGAACGCGCAATTACTCGCATTACAGAAACGACTTTCACTTGCGCTCTGAGACGTACGTGCATTGCAGCGAGTGGTGCATCTACAGCCGGCGCCGTTGTTGACTCCGACATCGACGGAATCGAACATCCACTTAGAGCAGAAGCACTGCTCCGAGAGCCGCTCGACTCCACTCGGCCAAGATGCCGGAACCCAATCGTCACGAGCTGAGTTGAGCGAGGAGTCACTAATAA